ATTTCAAAAATTTATCAACTAATATAATTTTTTTCATAAAATTTCCAGCATTTCTTTAGTTTACAAAAACTTGATACCTCTTATAGGGAACGAGATAACTAAGCACAAAGTTGAAGTGTTGAGGTGGCCACCTCCAAACGCAAGCACTTTGAACTTCATTATCTCGGTTCCATTAAGATATATAAAAAATCTGTCCACTCATAAAATATTCATCATAATATCACCAACATTTTCATAGTTTTCAACTTTTTGATATCTATTATAGGAACCGAGATAGCTGAGCACAAAGATTTTTAACTGAATTAAAAATTACATTTTGATCTCTCCCTCCCCCCAAACCGAATTCTCACCTTTCCCACTGACCCCATCAATTAATATATCTCTCCCATTCACTAAAAAAGAAACACGGTCACGGATTTCTGTGTTAAGATAACACACAACACACTCTCGTGATAAGTTTATCACTTCGTTTCCCCTCACCTAACAAAGGACTACTGTAGTTTTTCATGCAAAAGGGCGTAGAAAGTGATAGATGATAAGAATCCCCGAAGATGGGAAAAAGGGAAAAAAATTTCTTCGAGATCAAACATTCATAAAGAATTCAAAATTGTCATTTTTAAGGAAAAACAACAGGAAAACCAATAAATGAAAAGGATTTGGATAAGGTTCGTCTCGATCAAAAGGGATTTGATAAGGTCTGGCAGAAACTTTTAATTTTCAAAATTCAAAATTCTGAAATTTTCAGGTCAAAACAATTCACACAAATTGGTATGTGCACTCGATGAAAGCGCTCATTGCTCAACTGTCAAGGAATCTCTTGCCGAAACTGAACGATGGTAAGAAAGTCAATAGAGCACACTTATTAAATTTGATTTCAGATTTGAAAAACGAATTCGCAGAGTGTTTGGAAAAGATTCATGATAAGAAGGATTTGGTGGAGTCGTCGAAATGTGTGATGCGAGCGCGCGAACAATACAAAGTGCAGGCGAAGTGGACACGGAAAGGGTGAGCTTCCTATACGCATTGTCGAAGAGTGGTGGGTGATGGGCCGCATGGCGGCGGGGGTAGCGCGCCTGTCCGGCATGCAGAAGGCCGCGGGTTCGACTCCCGTGGGGAGCGTGCGATGAATGTATTGGATAAGTTTCGGCTGATTCATAATTGATGTCAACTTTATAACTTGCTGAGCACTAACTTTTATCTTTTAAAGCATTTCACTATTTTCAGACCTATCACCAAATATTCCGTGTCTGCAATGAAGGCCAAACTCCGCAAAGAAGTCCAACAACCTAAGCCCACAAAAATCAATATTCGAAAGTTGGAAACTCTCAAAAAGGCACTTCCAGAAAATTTGAAAATTTTCACCAAACAATCCAAGCTCGAAAAGAAGAAGACTGCTCTGGAAATAGCTAGAAACATCCATCGTGCTCGAAAACTTCCATCCACATCCGACGACGTGATTAGCCAGAAAATGAAGATGTGGAAGAGCCAAAAACGAATTGAGCTATGCCAAAATCGAGTGTCCTGCTCTCAGTCGAAAACTGATTTGATCATGGAATTCAAAAAGAAATGGAGACGTCATCAAAAGACGTCGATTAGAAGTAAACGAAGTTTGACTCGTTTAGTCGTGGATTCCGTTTCCAAATCCGATGGAAATGCTCACGGATTCTTTGTGAAGAATATGAATCGAATGCCGAATTTGAGAACAAAGGAGAAGAGCCCAGTTGAGAGAGTTACAGGCTTGTTGAGAGCGTTTTTGACGAATCAGACTGCAGCGTAAGTCGTTCCGGGTCTCCAGGTGTCCAGATGTCCATTTTGCAAAGGTTTTTATTCATTGTGACATAATCAATTATTTCCGCTTGAAAAAGCAAGGTCATGAAAAAGTTGTGTCATCAAAAGTTAGGCCATTTTTTCTGTCAATAGTATTTCTCTGGTCCTACACCTTGAGTTGGAATTCCCAAATTGTATACCGTATTACCGTAATCTGTAGCTAAACACATGCGCCTTTGAACGACTTTTTGTGATTTTTTGTCAACTTTAAAGGCGCATGCAATTTATCGGTGTCCGACTTTGGCCGTGTAGTTGAGCCGACATCACTAGTTTAATTTCTCGGGGAACTTTCAGTTTTTATGTTTAATGTGTACCAGATGACCTAACTTTTCATTTCTTAAGCCATCGTCATATTTCTCCATATTCCAGCGATCCATCCTGGGCCGACACCTACAAAGCACTAATCAATTTGAAAAAGAAAATGGATGAAAAAGAGAGAGAATCTGGAGCGAGAGTTTATAACGAACGGATGTATGATTTGGTGTTGGATGTGCCTCAAAAAGAAACCAATGGCTTTGAAATGTTTGATAAGGTAGGTTGGACCCAAAAATTCGAAAAATTAGTTCAAAATTTTTCAGAAAAACATGCCGGGACTTGTTCGTCAGGCTTTCGACCTTATGGCAACTATTGATAAGTCTGGCAAAAGAAAGGGTGATTCGAATTTCAAATTTTTGAGGTGAGAATTTTAAAAACTAAATTCTTCGAGTAAGTAAGCTCCGCCCACTTTGACCCCTTCTCACATTTCATCATTAGACGGCGCGATATGTTCTTCACGGAGATAAAAATTGAGACAATAGGGATGGAAGGAGGTGATAATAAATTATATCAAGAGAAATGAGAAGAAAAGGGGCAAAGTTGTAATGTTATGATAGGAGAAGAAGCTTGTTCTCCATAGGATTTTGACACCTTTTGTTGTTATAAGAACATGGAAAATTTTCGGATTTGAGGGGGATGAAAAATTTGAAATCCTCTGAAGACCAACAAATTGGAAATTAAATATGTTAAATTTGTGAAACCGATGAAAAATGATATACCATAAACACTCTCAAAGAATCTACAAAATTTGCTATTGATCTGTACAAATTTAATCAAATTTGGTAAACTGAGTCTTAAGTAATGTGCTCTGGAAAGAAGAGCCCCTTAACTTTGACTCAATTTATCTCGATTCCTGTAAGAGATATAAAAAAAAATGTCAATTGACAAAATGCTTATCACAATATCACAAATATTTTATAAGTTGACCAAATTTTGAAATCTTTCCTAGCAGTCGAGTTAAGTCGCGTCAAAGTAAACGCGTGCATGTCGCCACCTCCAACTTAAATGGTCCGTGGAGCGCACTTTCCTTTGAGCCAATTTTTAATATTTCCAGTGGAAGATATCAAATAGTGGTCAACTTTATCACAATATCACCACAATTTTATCAGTTGACCACTTCTTGATATCTTTTATAGGGACTGAGATAAATTGACTCAAAATTGAAAGCAAAGGGCATTCTATAATATCAGAGTGTTTCCATCTAAAGAAAAATGACACCAATCCAAACCGACAAAAACGAAAAAAAAAACAATCGGATGAAAGATAACTTTGACACTCTTCTTATCACTATCATTAGGTCAAAATATGATATATATATATTCTTGACAGGAGAGGCTTACCATCGGACTATTTAGAAAAAACATCTAAAAGTTACGGGGTTGAATTCCAAATGGTCACATCCAGACGTTTGAAAATGTACCAAAGAACTTATGGTTTTTAGAACTAATTTTTCAAATAAACTGTATTTATAGGAAGCTTTATTAAATGAGGTAAGGCAGTTTGAAGCTCAGCTGAGCTACAGTGGCGAGAAAATGCATACTGTAACTCCAAAAAATCTTTTAAAAATCTCCTGCGTTCCCTCTTTAACATTTCTTCAGCTCAAATCCTCAAGAAGGTACCATAATCACCTTCACTTTGCTTTCAAATATATTTACAAACTTTCCGAAAAAATTCTACAAAATGTAAATTTTCAGCCCTCGATTCGCGTCTGTTATGCCTGACAAAAACGAGAACCGCGGCCGGCTGTCTCCATCGATTCTGTCATTCTACGCTGACGAGTCGGAAGACCAGATTCTTCCGCTGCCAAAGGTGATAAGTTCAAAAGATTATTGTCATTATCGCCTCTTATCAAATTAGTGATTTTTGAAGATACGAGAATAGGCAAAGGTTCCATGTAGATCAAAAACTAAAATATTCCAGATGCTCGACGCAACTGGAATGCGTGACAAGGATCGTAACGACATCATGGAATTAGTCATGGATGTTTCTGGAGTCAAAGGCATCGTTCATGAATCGATGAAAATGTTGAAAGCCACAGACATGCCTGAATTGGATTTAGCAATGGATAAGAACGCGCAGAAATCGCTTCAAATGGTTCAAGACATTCAAAAATCATATAACCAAAAACAAAAGAAGGATATGAAGAATAAGGGGTTCTCTTTGATGAGTCCATTCCAGATGGAAAAGTTGATGACAGAACAAGGGATTCTGGGAAGGGATGATATTTTCAATTTGAAAGAATACGCAATGATGACGATTGGACAGCGAAAGGAGATGGTTTGGGATATGGTCAGAGGGATTGCGTTTGGACTTACTGGAGCGGTAAGGGATCAGCAGTGGAGCGAATATGAATAACCTAAGTTGGATTTTGACTAGGGACCTTTTATGCTATTCAAGTTATAAGAAAACGAACCCCAATGAGAATATGTTTTCCAGCAAGCCCCTCATTCTTTGCCACAAAGAAACTCAACCAGTGGTCGTGCTAAACGTCAATCATCGGTTTGGGGACCCCATATTCTGTCGCCAACAGTTCTTTCGCCGATTCTCTTCACTCCCATTTATGGATTGAATGTTTTGGGACCAACGGTAGGTGTCATTTGAATATACGCCTATCTTAAAACCTGTAATGGAAGGGCCGGCCCTTTTATTGTTCCAAGTTACCTCCGGAGGGTCATTATATTACATGGGCCTTTCTATTAAAGGGGACCTGTCAACTTCTATGACCCTATCGGGCGTCCCTTCTATTAGAGAGCATCTTCTATTGAAAAAAAAACCCTTCTAATAAAGGTTTTACGGTATAAAATTTTTGCCGAAAATTCTTACTTTTCGCGCCTTCTTCAAAGATTTTTTTCATCTTTCAGGTCCTTTCACCTGGTCTCTTCACCCCTCTGATCCTCAACCCTGCCGTTCTCTCCCCGTACGTCTTCTCTCCAACTGTTGGAATTCCTTTCATCCTGTCCCCATATCTCCTATCCCCTTATGTATTCTCTCCTCTGGTTATGGCTCCTTTCATTCTGAATCCTTACGTTTTGTCTCCCAACGTCTTCAATCCATACGTGCTCTCTCCACTGATCCTCTCGCCACTAGTCATTTGTCCCGATGTGGTGTCTCCTATGACACTGGGTGGTGCTATATTGTCACCGGCTGTGTTGTCCCCATCGATTTTATCCAAATCTTATATTATGGCCAATGTGTTATCACCAACTTTCTTGTCTTAAGATTCCCAGTTACCGTATGCTCTAATAGAGTATCTATGAGCCCAATTATCTCAATTTCTGTAAGAGATATCAAAAATTTGCAAACTTGTCAAATATTGAAATTTTTCAGACCTCCATTTTGTTGGTCAACAAAACTTTGATATCTCTTACAGTAACCGAGATAACTAAGCATAAGTTCATCAGAGCATTTACGGAACGACAAATCTTTGAAGGGCTGAAAAATAGGTTCATACTTGATGGATTTGTCTGAAATTTTTAGTGTACTCTGTGCAATATTAGAGCTTCATGTTCTGAAAATTTCAGATTGATTCTTAAATTTTCAACCTGTTTCTTCGAAACTTCAAAACTTCCCCCTTTATTTTTTTGGTTAATTCAAGCCGGTCTCATTTTTTCTCTTATTTTGTTAGTAGTCATTTCTCTGATCTTTTGTGCTTTGCCACCCTAAAATATTCATTCCAGCTTAAAAATTTCAGTCACTATATTCAGGTGACGAAAAAAAAAGTTGTTTCCCATATTCCCGGAAAGCCCAAAAATAATGTTGGATTGAATTTCATTGTTTCTTTTTCCCCAAATCTGCCTATTTTATTTTTTTACTGGTGACACTGTTTCCCAGTTTTTTTTAATAATTATTGCTCATCCTTATTCAATTTGTTCCTCCCCCTTACTCGTTTCATAGCTAAGCTATACGTATGAAGATAATAATGATAAAGTGATAAAAGTTAAAAAGTAGGTCAAATCGTTGGAGGCGGTAAAAATGAAAGTAACGAACAGGAACGGATAATAAGAGAAGGGATAGGTGATAAATTTCACACTTGATAGTGATAAGAATGATTTCATCTTATTTTCTATTATTTTTTCTAGCTTTTCTAGTGTTAGGAAAAGCTGAAAAATCGATCTCAAACAGTGAAATTCCAGGTAAGCAAGAACTCGGAATAATTAACTTTGAGCCAATTTATCTCGGTTCCTGTCAGGAGCACCAAAATATTATTAAATGACAAAAAGTTTTTGATATTATGATAAACCTTTTATCAGTTGACTACTTTTTAATACCTGTACAAGAAATAACATATACAAGCTGAAAGTTAATGGTTTGATTGTGAGGGGAGACAATTTGTTAGAGTGTTATACGGTATTTTAATCATAACTCGGTTCAAACTTGGAGTTTTTGTTTGATTTTAAAACTAAAATTAAGAAAATGACAAGTTCTACAAAGTCGCATTAAATTTAATCATATTCCAACACCTCGTTTCTAGCAAGAGGCCATGAAATAGCCGGGCCATCGAAATAGGCTCATTCTTCCTTCTCGCCCACTGGTCTAAAACATCGCATTCAAACATTTTTGAATCTTATATCATTTCGTAGATCTTGTTACGTTCTCTGTTTTATTATTATGTTCAAACTGAAATTCTAATTTCGAGCTGGTTGTGAGTTGTGCCCCGGCGCGATGGACAAGTATGCTTTTTCATCATTTCTGATAGTTGCCTCTTTTCGAGTGTCTATGTAGTTCAAAAATGGAGACTTCAAACATATTAGAATTTAATAGCGTTTTGTAGATTTCGTCTAGTTCTACTATTTACTTTTTGATTCAAACAGAAATTCCAATTCTGGACTGAGTTATGCGCCGTCCCGTTTTCCAGTATGCCCTTCCCGCACACTTTCACGCTCCATTCGTTCATGCTCTCCTTTCCTATACGCTTTTCGTTCTCCCTCTCCACCGGTGCAGTCATGTCCGAGTGGTTAAGGAGATTGACTCGAAATCAATTGGGCTCTGCCCGCGTAGGTTCGAATCCTGCTGACTGCGAATTCATTTTTTCGATTTTTTTGAAGACAATTTTCTCTAATTTTCCTCCCAGAATCCCTCCGATCTCAACTTCTAACGATTCCTGAAAAACGAAAAATTGCCAAACTCCACTACGATTGGTATGGATACTCTCTAAAACGGTTAATGGTCCAGTTGGGTAAATCTGTGCTCAAAAATTTGGATACTGGTGAGTCTATCCCCTCAAATGTTTCTCCAAAAAATTGAATTTTAATGAGTTCCCGAAAGTTTCTAAACTGCCTGAAAACAATCGAAAATTCGGCAAAATCTGAAGAATTGGAAAGTATTGCTCGATGTTTGACTAGAGCAAAAATGAAGGAGATGAGGCTGAAAAGGTTGGGATGGAAAAGGAAAAAGTCAGTTTTTTCAGGGTTACTGTAGGTCGGATTACTGTAGAAACGAAATTTCAGAGTAGGAGGGACTGTATTGAGAAGAGCAAAGAGAAATATTCGGTTGAGAGAGGAAAATGCATTTTTGGTGAGTTGTTGGAAAACTTGAAACGAATTTCACTATTATAAGAGTTCTGAGGTTCTGAAATTCTGATATTGGGAAATTTTGAAAACCTGAATTTCCGTATTTCCAAACTTTTCATTTCCCGGAAATTCTCGAATTCCGAAAGTCAAAAATTTAAAAATTCCATCTTGCAGATCAAAACCCAGTCTTCCTACAATCTAAAAGATCCTCCATCAAGTCCAATTTCAAAATTCTCGAATCTTCTTTTGACTCTTCTGAAGAACACAACGTCATCTGAAGCTGAAAAGAAGTGGGCATCGACGTTTCGACGGATGAAAAAGTGAGAAAATCGGAAAGAAAGGGAAATTTTTGTATCGTATATCAGAGATAAAAATGATAAGAAATCCATGAGAAAATGAGTATTTTGTAGGAAAAGAGGAAAAAACTATTTTTGAGTGTGGGGGTATTTCGTAGTAGGTTTTTTATAAAATTTTTGAAGATCAATCACCCAAAAATCAAGATTTCAAATCACAGATTTTTGCACTCAATTTGCACCTAACATCCGAAAATTTCGATAAAATCCAGAATTTCCGAGAACCCGAGAAAATTTTACGACTCTTGATCCGACTAGATTATATGTTTAGTATCTTTTGTATAAACATTCAATTCAGGATCATCGGATCAAATCAGAAAACACAAAAAAATTTCGAAAATATTGAAAATTTGAAAAGCTGGGGAGACGTTCTGAAAATCAAAGAGTTTCAGCATTTTTCCTTGGGATATTGAAGTCTTGAAATCTCGTCTTGAAATCTGAAAATTTTTTAAAGTTATAATTTTGGAATTTCCGAATCTTGGAACCGAGCAAATCGTAAAAAATTGGCATCTCCTAAACTTCAGAAATTCCAGAAAATTCAACAATTTGGAAAGTTCAAAGAACCTTGAAAATCATATAAAAAATAAATAAATAATTTCCAGAATCTCTGATTCTCAGATTCTTTAAATTTCGAAAATTTCAGAATCTCAGAATTTCAGAATTTTAAAATCTCAGAATCTCTCCGAATTTCCAGAATGAATCAAAATCTGGAAAAAAGTCAATCTTCAACCTACCGTACCATCAAACACCGAGCCTACGACCTAGTTCTAGAGGACGACCGAAATTCAGAAGATGACGAAAATTTGGAGGTGTGAGTTTTTTCCAGATCTTCCTAGAATTTCCTACAGTAATCCTTTTCCCAGATTCCCGTTCAAATCAATCATCCATTGATACAAGATGGCCTGAAATTGATTTCAAGTATCACTGGAAATCGAAAAACTGGAATTTCAGCAAGAATTTTGAGCCCAAGAATTGCTCCATTAGCTTCAAGTAATTCAAGAGGATTTTTATCTCCATCGATTTTTCCATTTTATAAAGATGATGTGGAAGAACAATTTTTGCCAATTCCAGATGTAAAAATTGGCTGGAATTCGATGAAATAAAATTTTTTTTATTTTCAGCTCATTGAAAAATCCTCGTTCGAAAAATCAGAAAAAGATAAGCTCCTAGCATTTTTGATGGAAATTTCTAGAACTCGACCAATTCTAGATGAAGCGATGAAAGTGAGATTTTCAAAAAATGAAAATCTGGAAATGTTTGAAAATTTCAGATGATCAAACTTCTGAATCCTGAAAAACAGTCATTTTCAAATGACGAAGAAAAAGAGGCGGTTTTATCGGCGACTGATAAAATGAGTCAGGATTTTGAGAGTTTGGAAAAATCACTGAATCGGGAGCAGAAAATCGATTTGAAAGAAATGGGATTTTCGCTTCTGGAAATGCCTCAAATGATGGATTTGTTCGGGAAATATGGTGAAAAATTTTGAGAATTTTTGAAGATTTTTTGGGTTTTTTGGATTTCTAAATTTGGACTTCTAAATTTGAAATTCTGAAATTTTGAGGTTCTGAGATTCTGAAATTTTGAAATTCTGAAATTCTGAAATTTTGAGATTCTGAGACTCTGAAATTTTTTAAATTCTGAAATTCTGAAATTCTGAAATTCTGAAATTCTGAAATTCTGAAATTCTGAAATTCTGAAATTCTGAAATTCTGAAATTCTGAGATAAAATTTTACAATCGAAAAATGCTTAAATTCTTCCAGATGCCTCTTCAATCCTCTCCCAACCCGAAATGCAATCCTACAGTAACTACACCAAATCCCAACGAATTTTATCCCTTTGGAAATCCATCGAGAACATTGCATACCCTTTCAGACGAGTCAAACGTGGCAGAACCATAAAAGTGGGAGACGTTACAGTGTACACAGCTCTCAACCCCACCGTATTCACCCCATACATGTTTTCCCCAGTTTATGGTCTCTCTGTATTAGGACCTGTTATCTTCAGTCCCAATATTTTCTCTCCCTTGATCCTAAACCCATCAGTTTTGTCCCCTTGGATCTTCTCTCCAGCTGTTCCACTACCCTTCATTTTGTCCCCCTACGTTCTATCTCCCTATATCTTTTCTCCGTTGGTTATGGCCCCCTTCATCTTGAATCCCTATGTATTATCCCCAAATATCTTCAACCCCTATGTATTGAGTCCTTTAGTACTGTCTCCCTTATTTCTATGTCCTGATGTGTTCTCTCCAATGGTCCTCGGCGGTGTTATTCTCTCCCCAAATAGTTTTTCACCTGCGATTTTCTCAAAGTCCTACATTATGGCAGCGGTTCTCTCGCCTACTGTATTGTCGTGATGAAAATGAATTATTTAATCATCGTAAATGTTCTGGGAGAGACCTACTTTAACTTTGAGCCCTATTATCTCGGTTGCAATAAGAGATATCAAAAAGTGGTCAACTGATAAAATGTTTGTCATAATGCTTTCAATGTTACTGGGTTTACAGATATTTGGTGTCTTCTATAGGAATCGAGATAATTGAGCTCAAAGTGGAAGTATGAGATGGCGCTTCGTAATCAGCCCATCTACACGGTACATCCTCATGCGGAAAAATTATGCCTAAGTTAAGCGTAATCATTATGCCTAAGTTAAGCGTAATCGTTTTTTTTTCAATGAAATTATTAGATTTTTACGAAATTTGAACAGGAATTCGCCGAAGTTCATATTAAAAATCTTTTTAAAAAATGGCTCAGAAATAAATGCGCCCCTCTAACTAAAGGGCCCTCCGGAAGTACCTTGGAAAAATAAACGGGCTGGCTCTCTTTGGTTCCAAAACTCCACACATTATCTTCATAATCCTCCTAATAGCCTTTATCTTTTTATTCCTTTAAAATGACCGGTTTCGATAAATCAAAATCTATATCCTCTTTCTTCTTCTCACCCCCAAATATACTTCTATCAATCTACATGTCCAATTAGTCACCATGTTTATCTTATCACCTCTCTAGAAAAGATTCTCGGCGCTACTTGTCATGATAGCGTTCCATTTGGATTGGTCATTGAATTGTTATTGGGAAATTACTTGGTTGGTTTTTAAGTGATTAGATAGTGATTGGTTTTTTTTGTTTCTGATAAGAGGAATGTTTTGGTTTCCAAGATTTTTATTGATTTTTAAACCCGAAATTGAAGTTGAATTTTTTCAGATAAGCGAATTATTTTTTCAAAAACTTGGTTCATTTTTTATGAGCTGCCTAGCTCAACCTATTGTCTATTCAATAAAACGTGGGCGCGCCGCAGGTTGCAAAGTGACACACCCCTTTTTGGAACGCGTTCCCTTTTCCCTCTTCTCACGCTTGAATATTTTATTGAATAGACAATATGAATTTGATAAAGGAAATGTCCAATAGAGCGCGTTTGCATTATACAGTGGTCCTGTGACCAAACCAACCAACAGATGCTTAAGAAAAAGAAGCCAAAAGTTGAAAAAGTCTAGACTTTTTCTAATACGTGCTTGAACCTACTTTGAAACACTTGCTTTTCCTCGTTTCCCTCAAAAATCACACACAACTGTTTCTGCTTCTCTACCCACTCTCTTCAAATCACACGCTATTTCTCATCTCGTGCTTCTGGCTCTTGTTCCCGCTGAAAAGAGGATTAGAAGAAAAAGTGTAAAATGGGTTTTAGTTGCGCACTTTGTGCTTTTCACAGTTGTATGTTCTGCTTTTTCAGTTTTCTATGCTTTTGGTTAATTTTCGATTTGGCGGGAATTTAAAAAAAAGTTTTTTTGTCCTAGATGTTTCTAGAAACTTTCAGACAAACTACGTTTGTTTTCAGTCATTTTGAAATCGTATAATCTGAGTAGAAACTATTCAAAAGTTAACTTTTATATTGCAAAAAATTTGAAAGTCCTGGAAACTTCCAGAGAGACTACAAACTACAAAGTTTCCAGTTTGAAGTCTCACGTGAGTCTCTGGGATAGAAGAAGATACTAGATGGACCTAGAACGTGATTTGTGTTCTGTGATCTTTTTTTATAAAAAGGACCCCAAGATTTTAGAATTTACTGACTCAAAAAATTAAAAATTTTGTTTAAAAAACATTTTTTAGTTAATTTTTTGGGCAAAGACAATATAAAATATGCCAAAAACAAAAAGGTTCTCGAATTTCAATTTTTTTTGAAAATTAAATTCTCTTTGGAGCGCATATGCAACACTCATATTTTAAGCCAATTTGGTTCTTTTGTTTGCTCTGAAAATTGCAGCGATAAGAAGTGATAAGAAAGGTGTGATTTTTTCATCCTTTTGTTTCAAAATATTATTTCTGCTTCTCTGCGTCTCTTTTTTCCTTATAACTATCTTGAAGTTCCAATAATTTCAATTCAAATTGTTGCTTTTCTCTCTCTCTCTCTCTCTCTCTCTCTCTCTCTCTCTCAGTGTTAAGATCAACGGAATCTTTTTCAGTAGTTTTTACGATGCTTTGTCGCCTCATTTAGTTTTAACAACACCTAAAAAAGCAAGAATTTCATTTTATTTCCTTTCCCGCCAAAAGCCATAAATTGTGTTGTTGTCTTTCTTCTTCCTTTTACCGTGTCTGTTATTTTATTCACTTTTTCCACATCCCGTCATTTTGTGTTGATCAGCACTGATTACTTGTTAAGATTTCACAGTACTGACCAATTTTGTAATTTTTGTGTTTTTAAAAAGGACTCTTAACTTTGAGCCCATATATCTCGCTTCCTGTGCAAGATATAAAAAAGCGTTAAACTGATACAGTATTTTTGATAATACGGTGAATATTTTGTCAGTTGACCATTTTTGTCATTTCTTATAGGAACCGAGATGAATTGGGTCAAAGTAGGGGCTTCTTTTAAAGAATCAGTAATAAATTGTCTTCTACCCCTCAACTTTGAGCCAATTTTTTTCGGTTCCTATAAAATATATGAAAAGTGGTTAATTGACAAAATATTGATCTTCATACTAAAAATGTTTTATTAGTTGATCACTTTTTGATAGCTCTTATAGGAACCGAGATAAACTAGGTCAAAGTTTCAAAGGATAGGGTGGTCTCTTAGCTTTGATACAATTTATCTCGGTTCTTGTAAAAGATTTCAGAAAGATATCAACTGATAAAGTATTATCAGCAACATTTTGTTAGTTGACAGCTTTTTGATATCTGTCTCAGGAACCGAAATAAGTTTGGTCAAAGTTATGACACCCTTCTTTGAAAAATTTATGGCTTGGAGGATGGGTACAAAAATCAAGCTCATTGACATTTTCTAAAGTTTTCGAACCACTTTTTTCAAATTTGAGCAGTTTTCTATGCTCCAAAAAAAAACCCAAATATTATTGTCTAACCCCCTCTAATTCTGATGATGACATGTTGATAAGCCCTGGGGGTAATAGAATAATAGGAGAGAAGGGGTAGTAGATTTTATGACTGTTTATTTGTATGTGCGTTTGACATTGACGTTAACACTAACAATGAGTGTGTATGTGAGAAACAAGACGAAAAAATGTGTTTTTGTGTACCGCATTTGACTTTCACATGCATTTTTTCTTTTAGATTTATTTTTTTGAAACTTTGGCAAATGCGCTCCAATGAACAATTTCCAGACTAAACCAAAAAAATGGAGGGATCGGAGCCAAAAGAGAGCTCATCGGAGCAACAACAAGCTCCACCAGAGAAAAAAGTTCGTGAGCCGTTCTCGCGAGCCATGAAAGATGAGCCAATCTCGAATGAGCAACGACTAAAGGAGCTGTGGCATTTGTTGGATCTACTGGAGATTGAATACAAGAAAACGACAGATCTCCACACACTCATCTCATCTGTATCAGAATCGTTGACAATGGTTTGGAAGAAGCGAGATCCAAAGTCAGAATTGGCGCTTAAAGGGCTGCTTCTGATTCTCGAGTACTGTTTGAGTCATGTGTTTGATGGACACGCTGTGTTTGAAGTTTTTGTGACGTCGTTGGGATTCAATACGGTCATTTTTTGGAAGTAAGTCTTTGATTTGGTCTGGGTTTTTTGAGAAGCAATCATGAAGACGCAGACAATTAGTGTTTTGGTGCATACCTCAGTTCAAACTTGGAATTTTCGTTCGGCTCAACAATGAAATGTAGAACTCAACTAGATCTACAAAATGATAATAAACTCGACTATATTCAAAAACTGAGTTTTCCAGCCAGAGGCCGTAAAAATGAATTAGTTGGTATCGACTGACAATTTGTTTGAAAGTCCTTGAAAAGGTCTTCAAAACGGTGGATATTTCATTCATTTTGACCAACTTTAACGATAGTTATGCGCTTTTAAAGCTGGCGAAGGGAGACGCAGACAACGAGAAGACTCTCGTTTCTCTGCGTCTCTCATACTCTCCAAATTTCAAACCGCTGTGTCTCGTCTCAAAGTCAACCGATTCTTATGATTTCTAGCGAATTTTGATGCTGGGAACCTGGGAAATTAGAAAAAAAACTTCAATTACAAAAAAGAGTCATTCAAAACGGTTGGTAAAACACCAGTCATCTAGTCAGATCAAGTATAATTTTGTAGGTCTCATCAAGCTCTACCTTTTAATTTCTGATTCAAACAGATATTCCAATTTTGAACCGAGTTATGCACCTTTAAATAATCAAAATCCTCAAAACTCTCAATATTCTCCAGACACTGCGCCGGCTACATCTTCGACTCAGACTTGGGTAGAGGTACCAAATTCCGTGATGCTCTTCTCTTCTCGCTGACACTTTACGATGTGAATACGGGCAAAAATCGATTGAGGTAAGTGAGCGATTTCCTAGGGACCTACAGTAGCTCTCAACTTTGAACCAATTTATCTTGTTTCCTATAAGAGGTATCAAAAAATGGTCAACTATTGAAACATTTGTGATGTCATGATAAACATTTTTTCAGTTGACCATTTTCTGTTATCTCTTACAGAAAATGAGATATATGAGCTCAAAGTTAACGGTTTTTTGAAGGCCAGAAGATTTCACTGGTGGACTTCACTTTGACTCGAATTATCTTGACTCCTAGAACTGATACAAAAAAATTAACAACTGTGAAATTATTAGTCCTGATTTATTACATATTTTGTTAGTTGACACCTATTTGATACCTCTCACAGGAACCAAGATAATTAGAACTTTTTGGTGATCCCAAGAAAATCGGTCCTGAGATTTCTTAAATTCTAATAATTGAATATTTCAGAGAACTCTACGCAGCCGTACCCGGTATCCGAAAGTCTCTACTTGGTGTAAACGCCAAGCAGTTTGGAGAACGATATCATCATCTGCAGAAACGGTTGGCCAAGTATGGGTCGCACACTTCGCTGTGTAGTTTGACGAGTGAAAGTGATACGGAGGAAGGTAAGGATTTTAAATTGGGTCCTAAAAGTCTAATAGAGTGCTCAAGGTCATGACCCCATGACCCCATGGCTCCCCATGGCTCCCCATAACCTCATCAACCTCATCTCAGCTAATACAGTAAGCTACATATCTCATGTTCCAGCACTCCACATCAAATCCGGCGAACATTCTGAAAATGAAGAAGAGGATCCGAAGAAACCACGAAGCGGTCTTGCAGACCCCCACTTTCAACAACGCGTTATCAACGTCTCCAATGCTCCACCAGTCTCCTTGAAGCGAGAAAAAACTGGCGACTGGGAGATCAAACAAGGATCTGGTGGTCTTGTGGCGTGTGTAGATCCAGTGATGTCTAAAGATCATGAGAACTTGTGGCTGGCCAATTTGGGAATGAATATCAATGATAAGAAGAATAAGAGGTGAGGATCTGTGTTCTCTAGAACTCAAAAGTCGCAATTTTCAGACCCGGCTCCATCGCCTCCATCCCGGAATCCCTATCCTTCCCATCCACCAACACCCTCGGTCTTCCACTTATCAAACAAACCATCGCTGAAGTCTTCTTCCACGTACTCGCTGACGATGATATGGATGCTCCGAAGAACGAGAAACAAAAGAAGGCTCGAGAAGAAATGTCTCTTCTGGGTGTCCTAAACAATTATAATCGCGGAAATTACAAGCTGAATCCAGTTGTGGTCCAAGAAGAAGACTACAATGTCTACTATGGTGGCATTAGTAATGGACTTCTGTGGCCAGCACTTCACAATCTTCCAGAATACATTGTCAGTGAGTACAACGATGAGAAGGTGCTCCGTGCTCACTGGTGTGCGTATGTCAGAGTCAATTATCAATTTGCAATTGACGCAGTTAGAAATAGTAGACCTCAAGACTTCATCTGGATTCATGACTACCATTTGATGCTTGTTGGAATGATCATGCAAAGTTTGGATCAACATTTGGAAGTTGGATTCTTCCTTCATATTCCATTCCAACCACCAGGAGAGTTCTTCTCCAAATATTCTACTGTTGGTTTTGCAGTTCTTCGTGGTCTTTTGAGATTCACCAAAGTTGGATTCCAAACTCATCGTGATCGTACCAAGTACATCGAGTTGGTGCAGCACTATTTCGGAACTGCAAAGATTGTGTACGATAACAAAATGGACATTTATTCGGTGACCAACGAGGGATGGACCTGTTCTTTGGGTGTCTTCCCCGTAAGCATTAAGAACGATGACTTTTTGAAATTTGTGGATCTTCCCGAAACTATCAAACTCAAATCTGACATTCGTAAACGTGTGATGGGAGAGCACCCAGCGCCAGACGGTCGCTTCTTTTTCTCAGTGGAACGATTCGATTACACGAAAGGAATCATGGAAAAGCTTCAGGCTTATCAAAGATATTACGAGAAACATCCGGATAGAATCGGCAAGGATGTTCTCTACCAAATCGCGGTGACTAATCGAAGAAGTGTGGACACTTATAGAGTCTATCAAGACGAGTGTATCGATCTAGCGGAGAAGATCAATGAGACCTTCAAGTCAAAGGAGAACCCCAACTGGAAACCATTGATCTTCCAAACCGATGGAATGCAACGGAGCGAACTTGTAGCAGCCTATCTAGCTATGGATATTGGAGTTGTGACCCCGAAGAAAGACGGCATGAATTTGGTTGCTAAGGAGATGTTGGTTTGCAATCCAAGAGCAGGACTTGTGCTCTCCACTGGCGCAGGATCTGAGATTCAATTCACTACTGCAGGATTGTACACGGATAAGGAGAAGAATTATCATAGGATTTCAAATGTGTTCGATGCGGATTCCTATTGCGATGCCTTCTACGCAGCGGCACTGGAGCCGGAGGATAAACGAGCGGAGCATGGAAAGAGACTGCACGAGTTTATAATGGCCAATGATATTGAGAGATGGAGTAGTGCGTTTTTGGATCCAAGTTGGACCCATGAAGTCATTCGACCAACTCAGGTAAGATAGGCTAAGCCGATAGAGTTCATGATTGTCTTTTTTTCAGATCGACACCCTCGATGATTTCTTCTCACTTATGATGAAAACTCGTAACGTGCGTCGGCAGATTGTCGGTCGTGTCCTCAAGGGGATCCCAATCCGTTCCCATTTTGCAATCTCTTTGAGGAATGCCAAAGAATCATTGGAGCAGATTTGCAAGCCTGGAACTCATACCGCCGAATTCAAATCTGGACCCGATTCCACCGAAGTTGCTCATTTCGAGATTGATAATGAGTTGCAGGAGTTTGAGCGCGATTTGTCGTTTATCGATTATGTGCAAAGTGATGATGCGGATAATGTGGAGCAGTTTGTGGATGTGAGTTTTTTGAAAAGGGAAATTTGGTTTTTTTAACTTAAAAGTACGGTAAACAACTTAGTTTTGAAAGTGTTTGATCCTTTGAATCCTTTAGTAGGGGATTCAATTGTCATAAAACCTACAGCGCAAAAAGTAATCAACTTTAAGCCAATTTATCTCGTTTCCAGTGAGAGATATAATAAGTTGTTAACTGATAAAATGCTTACCACAATATTATCAACATTTTATCAGTGAACACATCTTTGATATCTTGCATAGCAGTTGAGATAATTGAGCTCAAACTGGACAGTGGCTCTTTTGTTACAGGCTACACGGTAACTTGTATAAAAGAGGTTTCTCAACTTTGAGCCAGCTTATCTAGATTCCTAAAAAAGATTTCAAAAAGTGGTCAACTGACAAAATATTTACCTAAATATCAAAAATATTGGGTCAGTTGACCACTTTTTGAAATCTTGCGCAGGAGTTGAGATAAATTGGGTCAAAGTTAATGGCCACTTTTATCCCAGATATTACAGTTTGATTGTTTAAAGACCCATAACTCAAAAACTACGGTATCTAGAAAAAAGTTGACTACCACAAAAATGAAGAGCGGTTTTTGTTTTGTCTTGTTTGAAATATTCAAATTTTGGTGGCTAATTTTAAGCGCATTTTTCAAGCCAACAAAGTTTTTAATGTTTTTTTTTAAACTTTTTATTTAAAATTATGTTTTTTATTAATGTTTTCTAATTATTATCATTAAAGCAGTTGAATCTTATCAATTCCTCTTCAAAAGTGTCTCCACCAATGTCTCATTTCCAATCACCACATCATCAGCGATTATCACCACTGTCTCATTAATATTCTCTTTTCTCATTCCATGCCCTTTTCTCATATGATGCTTATGATGACGTGACGGCTTCTGAGTGACTTCTGAATCCTCAAAGTGGATTTCTGGCAAATTGAATGGTTTGCACTTCTTGCGATATTGACGGCAAGCGAAGTGTTTTTTGTATTTAGCTGCGCAGATCTTTTGGAAGTTTAGACATTGTTCCAGAGGGCTTACTGTAGATTGGGTCTGGAAATCGTTATTAGGACATTTTTATGTGAAGTTTAAGAGCTATTACTATATTTGTCGAGTTATTGACTTCCAGCTCAGGTAGATCAAACTTCTTACAGTACTTTCTAAAGGTTTTGCAACTGTAATGTCTCTTGTACTTCTGGCCACACTTCTTTTGATGTCTAAGACATTCGGCAGCGGTTTTTGGAATGTGAGAGTGCTTCTTTTTCCCTCTATGCGAAAATTGTGGAAGTGGCTCGCAATTTTTCTCATAAAAATAGCAATGTCCATTGTATCCCTTCTTGGCCAGACAATTCTCCTTCAAAGTGTCACACTCGAATGAAATTTCTGGCAGTTCGTTGGTAGAGTTCTAGAAAAATCTAATGTTTCAAAATATTTTATGTTAAGTTCACACTTACAGCGATCCCCAAAATATTGACAATAGTCTCATTGGTTTTCAAATGTCCACACCAGGAGGGACACAATTTCTCATGGTCTTGGGTAGAGTTCGAGGATCCAGAATCTTCTAGAAGCGATTGAACTTGGTTGGTTTGGCACAAGCGTCACACTGACAGAGATTGATGTAGCATGCAGCGTCAGAGAAGTAGAAACAATAGTTGGCGTCGCTGAAAATTTTGTTTTCTTTCTGACTGAGCTAACACTGACCCAAAATATCTCGCTTTCTAAAAAAGATATCAAAAAGTGGTCAACTGATAAAATGTTTATCACAATGTCAGAAACATTTTGTTAGTTTACCACGTTTTGATATTTTTGGTAGGAGCTGAGATAAATTGAGTGTGGTGACCTCAGTACACTAGGAGAGCTACACAGAAAAGCTCATAAATTTGTTTAAAATTAACATATTTGACTGGTTCAAAGCTCAAAATAGAGAGCTTGGATAACTGAGAAGTACAGTTACTTATTTACATAAGAACTGCTTACAAGAAGGGCCCACAGAAGCTGATAGGTCAATGTCGGATATTTAGTGGCTTATGGACGGATGTAGCTAATTTGAATACTAGCAGGTCGTGCATTATTTTGTAGCGCTTTTAAAGATCTAAATTTAACTTTTTGAATCACCCGAAAATGCTCAGTTTGAAAAAAGTTACGCTCGGCGAGCAAACAAGCTACACAGTGAACCTCTTAACTTTGATAAAATTTAATATTTTCGGTTGATCGAAGCTGCAAAAGAAGAATTATTCAAGACCTACAAACCGATGTACGATTTGAATATTTTGAAATTCCAGAGTTTGTACAGGGCCCGCAAACTTGGACTGGGACGGATAATTCTAGTGAAAAATAGCCAATTTCGAATGCTTGAAAAAAAAGGAGAGGAGGATGCGGTATTTAAAAATCCCGCATCCTCCTCTCCTTTTTTTTCTTACACCCGGAGAGGCTTCCATATTTTAAGGCGCATAACTCAAAAACCAAAAAAGCTACTAAAAAGTTGTCAACTACAAAGTTATAGCTTAGTTTCTGTTTAGTATACTCTGAAATTTTCAGACATGTCCAAAAATTTTGGACTATTTTGGTAGGATCTTAAACTCGGGCTATTTTCAATTACTTTGAAACTTACAGTATCTCACAAATATCGGCCGACGAGTTTGAAAAACCAAATTCAGCCACGAGAACCAATAAAATTGCCAAACCGCACCGCATCGTTTTCTGACTACTCTGACCGATCGGTATCACTTCTGTTTGTGTCCTTGAAAAAAATCAAATGAAGAAAGATGAAAAAAGGGAGTAAAAGGGATAGAAATGAATTTCGGTTGGGGGTGGGTAATCGAATTGGCCAGGTTTTTGACCTACTTTTTTTTGGATACAGAAGAATTTCTGGGAGAGGAGGAGTACTAACAAGAACTACGAAGGTGTCATCTTCCAGAAGGCGTTAAGTGTACTTGACCATTAGAGAAGAAAAAGTGGTGTGAAACCACTTTGAGGGTTTTTTGAGAATTTATTTTCAAGTGATGGTTAGTGGTCAAGAAATTATGTGATCACAAGATTCCTTCTTTTTGGAAGTTAAACAATTTTGAAGCACTGAAAAGCGGGCTAACATTTTGGGGATTCTCTAGACACCCGGAGGTTCGGATTTCCGATTTTATGATTGATTGGTCAAGGTGAAATTCCTAGAATCCTCAGAGGACTGCACTTTTATATATCGGAGAGACAGAGAGACAGAAAAAAGTTTTATGGGAAATTCTAACCTAGATATTCTAGGTCAGATGAACTTTTGAAAGTTTTATGAGAATTTGAAGATATTGGAAATAAAGAAGAGAGCGAGAAAAACTATATAGATATTCTCTAGGGACGAAACTTGAGAAGAAAAAAGTTTGTTGACAAGATTCAGAGTGACAAGTGGAGGGAAAAAAGGCGCGAAATTTTAAAAAATGGGTTTTCGAGAATCTTGAATCTCAAAAAATGATCGAAAATTGAAATCTTCACTTTTAGGTTCCTGGATTCGGAAATTCTGAAAATTTGAGATTGTGAGATTCTTAGGTTCTTAGATTCAGAAATGCAGAAATTCATATTTTTAGAATTTCAGAATTTTCGAATTTTACAAGTTTGAAATTCTGAAGTTCTGATGTTTTGGGATCCCGTATTTTGAGATTCTGAGATTCTGAGATTCTGAAATTCTGAATTTCTGAAATTCTGAAATTTTGGGAGCACGACTTTCGATATTATGAGATTCAGAAATTCTGAAATCTTAGAATTCGTTTAAAAATCTAAAAAAAACATTGGAATTCAAAATTTTCTCCAATCTTTTAGCAGATTGTTTGTAGTTTGGTAAACTCCTGCTTACCAAAATTATATATTCCAAGCCCTTTGCTCATTTATAATAAGCAATATTTGAGCAATAATTTTTGCTGTTCATCCCCTGAATCCATATTTCCGTTCACATTCTCCACATGCACACTTGTTCTCTTATCCGGCTTCTTCTGACTCATCTATAGATTTTCCCATTGGAGCGAACTTGCACTTTCCATCCGTGAACTTTATTTTTATTATTATAAATGCCATCTTCTCAGTCTCCTTCTCAACCTAATTACAAAGAGAGGAGGGCTCATGGCTCCGGCTCAACTGGCACGAAGGCGTGAGCATAGAAAGAGAGAAAGAGAGGGATGACGGTCGCCATGCCAACGACTCTGCGTCTCTGCGTCTCTTCTCTCTCTCTCTCTCCCCGGCTCATTCTCAGCTCTCCCCGCCAGCCCGCTACCTTTACTTCTTCTTTTTCGTTTTCTCTGTCGACATCAACTTCCACTTGTTCCTCCTCCCAAAATGGGTCTCATGGACGTTTTGAAATCGTTCAAATCGCCGTCCGGTCGAGAGATTCGAATTCTGCTCCTTGGCCTTGACAACGCTGGAAAGACCACAATCCTCAAGCAATTGTCATCTGAAGACATTCAACACGTCACACCAACCAAAGGATTCAATGTGAAGACTGTCGCAGCGATGGGAGATATTCGCTTGAATGTTTGGGACATTGGCGGACAGGAACCATCCGTCCGTACTGGTCCAATTACTATGAGAACATTGACACGTTGATCTTCGTCATTGATAGTAATGATAAGAAGCGGTTCGATGAGATGAACATCGAGTTGGGAGAGTTGTTGGACGAGGAGAAGCTTCGTAAAGTGCCAGTGCTCATTTTCGCTAACAAGCAGGACTTGGCAACTTCGGCAACGTCCGAGGAGATTACCAGGAAGTGAGTATAACTATGTTGTGTAGCTAGATGATTCTTGGATTTCGCAATCTCAAAATTTTATGAAATGTTCTGAGAATTGAGGTTAGAGGTCTAGACTAATAACTAATCCAAGTGTGACTGGGTTCCGCAACATTTCGGAAAATCGAGCCTCTAGCTTTGAACTAATTTATTTTGGTTCCTGCAAACTTTATCAAAAAAGTAGTCAACTAACAAAATGCTTATGATGTTATGATAAACTTTTTATCAGTTAATCACTTTTTGAAATCGTCTACGACAACCGAGATAATTGAGCTCAAAGTCCAAAAACTCAACTTATCTCGGTTCCTGTGATCGTTATCAGAAAGTGATCAACTGGCAAAATACTTTTTACAATATTATAAAAATTTATTATTCATCTATTTTTGATTCCGTCTACAGAAACCGATATAAATTGTTTCAAAGTTAACGGGATCCCTTTATCGAAAAACCTAGCTACTCTACCTTTGACTCAATTTATCTCGGTTCCTGTGAGAAATATAAAAAAAAAGATCAACTAACAAAATGCTCATATTATGAGAAATGTTTTATCTGTTGATGATTTTTTGATATCTTCAACAAGAACCAAAATAAATAGGCTTAAAGTTTAGAGACATAGGTTTTCGATATGGCGATTAGAAAAGCTTCTTTAGCTCGCATAGCAAGATTACTGTTGAATCCCACAGGTTTTCCAATCTTTGAATTCTCCCAACAGTAACCCAACATATCACAGACTGGACCTCGACTTGCTCCGTGACCGTACTTGGCACATTCAAGCGTGCTCCGCCAAACTCAACGAGGGTATCAGCGATGGAATCGCATGGGTCGCCAACACTCTTAAAACACCAACATCTTCCTCTGGAAAAAAGTAGAAGAACTACAGTACTTAACCGCGTTTCTTCCAGAAGACCTACAGTAATACATAAGAATTTCGTTTTTGAGATTTTGATTCGTTACTGTAACTGTCCCACATGTTTCGCTTGCCTTTCTTCCAGAAAATAATCCCCAAAGCTACAGTATTCTTTACTGTTCCTTTTACTTGTCTGAAACTAAAGTAATCTCTGATCCTAATTTCTCTCTCTCTCTCTCTCTCTCTCTCTCTCTCTCTCTCTCTCTTTTAATTTTTATTAATATTTCTGTGTTCTTATGACTTTATCAAAAAAAGTGAACTTATTAATCGCAATAAAATTTTTCAAATGCCATGGGACACAAAAAAGAATATGACAAAAAACTGGAAATGTGAAAGTGCGCTCTAGTGCACTTTAAAAAGCTTTAAACTTTAAAAAATGGTGGAAAATCGAAAATTGCAAGAATCCAAGATTATCCTTGAGTTCCCTATAAAAAGTTATCTCTATCCTGAAAATTTGAGCTCCCTAGCTCAAAGTGTCGTAAGATATGGTGTTACTGTATTTTGGTGTTTGCGGACAATACACTCACGACACTTTGAGTTAGAATGCTCAAAGTTTCAGAATATGGGTAAACGGGGGGTGCGACGAGTTCGAACGTTTTCAAAATCGAACAGACCTAAAATCGAACTGATTCAATTCAGAATAGTCCTTTTTTCGCACACTTACCAGAACAGAACGCGGACAGAATCGAACTGTTACAAGTTCGAACTGGTAAGGGGTTGAACTGTCCCAAATTGGAACGCTGTTTTGTGTGTGCTTTCATGCGCGCTCTGTTGCAGGCAGCGTTCCAATTTGGGACAGTTCGACTCCTTACCAGTTCGAACTTGTAACAGTTCGATTCTGTCCGCGTTCTGTTCTGATACGTGTGCGAAAAAAGGACTATTCTGAATTGAATCAGTTCGATTTTAGGTCTGTTCGACTTTGAAAACGTTCGAATTCGTCGTACCCCCGTAAAAAGGCATGAGGAATTTAGTGGTTTTAGTTAATCGAAATTCCTATTATTAATTCAAAACATTGTGTTTGTGGACAATACACCAAACTTCACGACACTTCGAGCTAGCGACTTAAAACTTTTTCGATTCTATTCTGTCCCACATTTCAAGGCAGATTCGAATCACAAGCTGTAATAAAAAGAATAACTTAAGTTTGAAATGACAACTGAAAACTACAGTAACCAAAAAGAAACTAAAAACTACAGTAACCCAATAAAATCAAATTTTCAGACACTCATCAGTTCCCATCCAATATCCGTCGACACTTACAAGAAAGAAGTGGAAAATGTAAGCCATATATTTTTCTTGATTAATTTTTCCGGCCCGTTTTTTTATTTTTATGCTCCCAAGAGACAGAAAATTATTATTTTGCAGGCCGTCGAGTTGCTTTACTCAGCCGACCATTTCCACTATTTCTTCACCGATAGGGATGGAACATTGAAAAGTTATTCGTGTAGTTATCCATCCAGTATTCAGCCAGCATATTCTGGAGTTATTCAGGTGGGCGTAACCGGAAATTTAATCATTTTTGTTCTGATCAATTTTTTCTGGAATAATCTCTGACGTCAAACTCAAACTTTTCGACACATCTAGAATTTTAAATCTCCGCACAATCAGATTTACTGAGAAAATTAAAATTCCAGGCCCAATTTGCTCGTCGGTGTGCTCAAACCTGCGTTATCCTTACCACTGCTCCACTAATGCACATAGGAGTCCTTGACGTCTCCACAATTCCAAATGGTTACTATTATTTCGGTGCATCCGGTGGACGTGAATGGTTTATCGATTCTGGACACAATTTTAAGGACGAATCGATTATGAAAGGAGAGAAGGCTGATGTATTGGCTAGTGTGAGTTTATGGGGCTCAGACAGAACTGTAAATTGTAGGGCTCATTGAGCTCTACGAAGTGGTATACGGTTTCCCACACTTTGACCCATTATCTCGGTTTCTGTCAGAGACATCAAAAATTGGTCAACTGATAAAATAATTTTCATAATATCACTAACATTTCATCTGTTGACCATTTTGTAATATCTTCCACTGAAATTAAGATAATTGAGCTCAAAGTATGTGTCACCTAGGCCGCAGCGACTTCAATGTCGAAGGCAAAAATTCAAAGCAAGTCTGATTTGATACGATTTTTCAACTCTTTTTACAAACTTTATTCACTCAAAAAAAAGATTTCTGGTTTTCCAGGCCTACACTCGAATTTCTCATCTTCTCGAGGAACCGGAATTCCGTCAATTCTCTTGGGCTGGTTCGGGTCTTCAGAAGCATTATGGTCACTTAACAATTGCTTTCCAAGACGTCTATCGTTCAATAACCGAAGCTCAAGGCAAACGATTGTATGAAGAAGTTGAGAAAATTGTCAAAGACGTCGATCCCCAAGGTACCCGTTTACAATTGGCTAGTACGGAATTTGATATCAAGGTTTATATGAAGGTATGTCGGTGTGTCAGGATGTCCACAAATGCTTTATTTATTTTTTCAGACTGAAATTGATGGACGTGTTTTCGACAAAGGAGATGGACTCAGAATGTTGTGTGAGAAAATGCACTGTGATTTGACGGTGAGTAGTTTTATCTTTTTTTTCTCGGTTGCTATGAAAGACATCAAACAGTGATTAACTGATAAACTATTTTATGCAGATACCAGCAAACTGGTGCGCCTTCGGCGCGATTCAATCTATTTTTTCAAATGTTCGTCGCTTCGTTTCTCACTTTTTCTAAATAAAAGGGTCACGTAAATATATATGTATTTTTCAATTTTTTCAAAAGTCCACAGACGGACACGAGGACGGACAGACGCCTCTAGCGTTTTATTAATAAGGAAGATTATGATAAACATTTCATCAGTTGACAAACTTTTGGTATCTCTTACAGGAACCGAGATAAATCGGGTCAAAGTTGGTTAATCCTTCAACGCTAATTTTGAATTATAAGAAAGCTTGAATTTCTGGTCTTTCTTAAAACTCTACTCTAAAACTCTAGACGCGTCTGTCTGTCCCGTTGTCAATCTGTGGACTTTTAAAAATATTGAAAAATAAATATAGATTAATTGAAACCTTCAAGAAAAAGTGAGGAGCGGCGCGATAGACCAGTAAAAACTAAGTCAAAATCGCACCAAACATACAGTGCCGGGAATTAAGTTTTACAAAACATATTTTCATTTGATTTTCGGCCATTTTGATCATTTTCAGAAGTCTGAAGTTTGTCTGTCAGGCTTTCAATCACTTTAAACAATTTGGAGGATGTTAAACAGACCTATATTGAAAACATTGGATTCACAAAATTTTTGAAAAATGCCTTTTAGCTAACATTCTCCAAAATGTTCAACGAGCTCCAGACACCTGAAAATGGTCTAAAACTATTAAAACCACGGTTTTTAGGAAAAATGGAATTTATTAAATATAACAAGATTCGAAATGTGTTCTGATTAGCCAGACTTTCGTCTGTTGATCCCTATCGCCACGTAGATGCTCAGTACATAAAAGGGAAACAAGGTTTATTTTCCAACGGGGTCACCTTCTAAAACACATAGGAGGTGGGGGGAGGGGTCCCCCACCCCCTAACAAAAAACAGCAAGAGCACAGGTGATTCGCGAACAATTCGTTACGGACGCTCAGCGTTCGCGCGCGGTTGAAATAGGAACCGTATACGTACCGCACGCGACCCGTTTTCAGAAAACCACAGCACATTATTTCGTATTTCTCCATATTCTATCCGTTTGCGAACTCCGTATCCGATCCGATTGCGAATGATGGACAAACGGATCCGTTCGCGAATCAGACAAAAGTTTAAGTTTTCAACCGCGCGCGAACGCTGAGCGTCCGTAACGGATCCGTTCGAATTTTACCTGTGAAGTCATCCGAAAAACCCCTCTTTTCGGAGACCATTGTCGGTTAATTTACGAAAGCCCCCTCACCCTGATAAGAAGCCACATTGCATACCGCATTTCATTGTTGTCTCAATTTTTTTAATCTTTGATAAAATCTCTTGCTACTGGGGGACGTTCAGTGATAAAACACCTAGCCATGAACCCCGAAACATGGCGACCCTTAGGGCCTTTTAGTACTTTTTCACATCGGACCAATCGACAGAAAAAAGCAAAAGAGACAACAACAAGCAGCGTAATGCAAAGAGCTTCTTACCAGAGAAAAAGGAGCTTGTGAAAATTATCCAACAATAAAGTTCAAAGATTGGGATATCACAGAGAACTGATTTTTTTTCAATACGTGGCCAGAAGGATGGGGCGCGAAGTAATATTGATCAAATTGTTGATAAATTCCGTAACGCGAATGAAAAATATATTAAAAATAATGAAAGTTAAATATAATTTGACGTGACCTTTTGAAAGTGAGAGAGTGAAATAAATTGCGCCGAAGGCCCACCAGCCAGCTGATTGAAGCGCCGGATGCGCGGCGAACAAGCTGATACCTAAAAAACTTAAAATACAATTTGAGTTTTTCAGGAAGGGAACGTGCTTGTCTGTGGAGACTCATCAACGGATATCCCGATGCTCAAAGAATGTCTGGTTCGGAACCCAAAAGGGGTTTATACTATTTGGGTTACTGTAAACGATCAGTTGAAAGAGCAGGTGAGATTTTTTTGTCAAAAAATTGTCAAAAAGTAGACTAAAAACTGCTCGAATCGGTCACAAAATTATCAATCTGATTTGTCTATAATCACAGTACTGGACATCATGTTTTGGCCTTCTTCAATGGAAAATAGTATATTTTAAGGTCCTAAAAAGTACTCCAAAACTTTTAAAATTTGTCTGAAATTTGAAGAGTATACTAAACAAAAACAGAGATTTAATTTTGCAGTTGACAACTTTTTTGTATCTTTTTTGGTTCTTGAGATGTGCGCATTTAAAACTACCATAGCCTTCTCTCCTCTTACACTGCCTTATCCGCCTTATCTTTAAAGAAAATGAAAAGAGCTACAACAAAAAAGTTGGAAATTACAAAAATGAAGCTCTATTTCTGTTTGATATACTCTGCAATTTTCAGACAAAGGCTGAAATTTCTGAACTGATTTTTGATGACTTCGAAGTTGACTGTTTTTACTGAAAAATTCGAAATAGGGTATTTTTTGTTTGGTACTGTAAAAGATCTGAGGCTCAAATTCTGAACATCTTTAATTTCTTCGAATCTTTCTTCAAAGCTCCATAATTTATTTTCCAGGTCCGAGCTCTCTGTGCCTCCTATTCAAATACCAATGTGGCATTCGTCTCATGTCCAGAAGTACTTCTCGGTGCAATGGCTCAGGCCACAATTCGTGAAATCACAATCACTAGAACCCGTAAATTATCCCGGAATGTCTAAGTTTTGATTTTTTTGTTTTTCCCAGTTTTTCAATCCTCCATTCTATGAATTATCTGTTGTTTTGATTTTTATATTTTTACACTTCATCGATTTTCTTTCCTTTTTTCACAAAAAAAACACCATAAAACTCCAAAAAAACTACTGTTTTTGTCTGTATAGGTAGACCTCTTCTCTCTTTCTTTGTTTTTAATTTTTCAGTTGTATGGGTTCCGTTTTTTTAAACAATGCATTTTAGTTTCTTTTTTAATTCTGTGACAAATTTCTTGAAGATTTCTTTTTCTTTCAATAAAGGCTTTTTTTCAGGAGTTTTTAAAATTTTTAAGATTTTACGATACAGAACTTCTGAATCTATTTTCTGAAATTCCAAAGACCATCCAAATATCAGAAGACGATTCTCAATGGGGAATTTGGAAACATCTGAAATTCTCAGAAGTTTTAAATCTCTACAAAATTATTAAAAACTATTTAACTTCGGAAGTTTGAAAAAAAAATAATTTCAAAAATTCGAAAAGTGTGAGGTTTCTGTTTCTGAGGTTTCGAACTTCAGAGGCTGAAGTATTAGGATTCTGAAAATTTATACATTTTAGGACCTTATAATTTTTAACCCTATGATCATTGAATCATTTTAGGACCCTATGATTTTAGAGTTTTCAGAAGCTCAGCATCATGAATTTCTAAAAAGAGAATAAGGTTCCGTTTCAAATGTTTTTTTGAAACTTTTGACGAGAAGTTGACTATTCGTTTAAATTTCTCACGCAACAATCAAAAATTTTCAAGCCTCAAAATAACCAAAAGCGTCAAAATGTCAAAAGAGTAGTTTTTAAAATAATTATAAAACTCAAAAGGTCAAAAGAGTCATTTGACAAAAAAAAACAATTCAGGGTCGAAGATGATTTTTATGCGAATAGGTGAAAGTGTGAAACAACGAAATGTGGTATAGTAGTGAGAAGCAGAGATGTCCTGCTTCCGGATTCCGGATTCCGGATTCCGGATTCCGTATTCCGGATACTGGATTCTGGGTTCCGGATTCCGGATTCCGTATTCCGGATACTGGATTCTGGGTTCCGGATTCCGGATTCCGGATTCCGGATTCCGGTTACTGGATTCTGGGTTCCGGATTCAAGATTCCGGATTCCGGATTCCGGATTCCGGATTCCGGATTCCCGATTTAGGATTCTGGGTTCCGTATTCCGTATTCCGTATTCCGTATTCCGGATTCCGTATTCCGTATTCCGTATTCCGGATTCCGGATTTCGGATTCCGGATTCCAGATTCTGGATTCTGGATTCAGGATTCAGGATTCTGGACTTTCCGGAGAATAATAATAGCGTTGTAATCAGCCTGTTTGAGGGTACTACTGATTATTTTTCGTAACTTTCGAAGTTATCCGACACTTCCGACTCTTCTTGAAGCATTTAACACTTTTGACGAAATATGATTTCCACTATTTTTCATTTGCCACGTTCGACTATTTTGACGATTCACTTTTTTTTCGATTTTGAAACGTTTGACTATTTTGATGATTATTTTCCGTGAGAAAAAAATTATTTTTGAGCAATTTGATTAATCAAAAGTGTCAAATTTCACGTGATTTCATAAATGAAAAATTTGAAACGGAACCTTAGAAGGGAACACCTGTCGAATTTCCGTCTTCTCCGATTTCTTTTCCTTCCAAGACCCATATTTTTCTGCTTCATTGAACACGAATAAATGTACAAATTTGGACATAAACACGCAATTTTAATTGATGCAAACATTCAAAATAGTGGATTTCAATAGGGAGAGAGAGAGAGAGAGAGAGAGAGAGAGAGAAGCACAGAGACAAAAAGGTAAACTCAATAAACAAATTTATTGCAAAACGCATAATATAAACAAGTGGAGACAGTTATGGGGCGGAACGAGAGAGATCAAAAGGAGTTCGTCAAACAATTTTTAATCGCTTTATTGTATATTATTATAATCTTTTTGTGTTTGGTTCTCGTACGTTCGGAGTCCGAAACTTGTAGGAAAAAGATTTTCAAACTTTTGAATTTCTGGATTTCTTAATTTCAGTATTTCTGAGTTTCTGAATTTCTGAATTTCTGTATTTCTGAATTTCTGAATTTACGAATTTCTGAGTTTCTCAATTTCTGAATTTATTGCTTTCTGAGACTCGTCTGTCGTTTTGTCTATCCGGATTTTCCTTTTTTCATCTTCAACCTGCCCAAATCTTTTTTCCAATAAAAAATGTAATAACGGAAGGTTATGACAGAGGGCCATCTGTTTTCTCCCCTTCTCTCCTTCATTTTCCAATGAGAAAACGAGAGTAAAACAGCGAGCCAAGGGGGCCGTAAATTGAGTTTGAAATGATGATCGCCCATGTGTTTTAGTGACACTTTTCGCTCGGAAAACGAGGATGAGCAAGTTAAACGATCGAAAGTTCCTACTATTAGAAAACATGAAGAGTTTATGGTATCGACAAGGTAAATTTATGTGTAAATACCCCTACGCAAAAATGCAGACTAATAAAACTCCAAAGCTTTTCCCACTAAAAACTATAAATCCATCCAGCTTAATCCCCTCCAATCTCTCTCCCTCTCTCTCTCTCTCCCTCTCTCTCTCTCTCTCTCTCTCTCTCTCTCTCTCTCTCTCTCTCTCTCTCTTTTCCTTTTTACTCTTTTTTCCATTAAGCCAAATGTCAGACTACTAAATTTATATTGAAGGTTTCATCCCTTCTGTCCATCTGTCGTTTCGTGTCACTTTAGATGATTATTAGATTCCCACGGAGACAAAGAAATAGGGAATGTTCGAAATTTTGGACATCTGGATATATGGAACCACAGAAATCTTGAAAACTAGAAATCTTTAAATTTCAAATGTTTGGGAATTTCGATTCTGAGATTCTGAATTTAGATTCCAAAACTTTGAAAATCTTAAAATTTAGAACCTCAGATCCTAAGATTCCAAAATTCTAAAATTCCAAGATTCTGACATTCCAAGATTTAGAAATTTGAAGAATCTCAGAATCTTTGAATCCCAGAACCTAAGGCTCTCAATACTTCAGAATCTGGGATTTCAAGATTCCAAGATCCTATCTGTTTTCTCTAGCACCCTCTCCTCTTCCCATACTCTCTACCTGAATTGACCTTCACACTTTCTCCAAAAATACCGACACCAACACAAAAATTTTCCCCAGTAGTTATTGTTTTGTTTTCTTCTTCTTTTTCTTTTTCTCTTTTCATCCCTTCAACCAACTTCCTCTGCGTCTCTCCTACCCATACACTCTCTCCTCCCATTTTCGCAACACACGTCTCCATTCAAATTCTTCTCTCTTTCTCTGCGTCTCACCTAGATTCTATACTCTCTCGCTTCTCCTGAGGTTCGTCAACAAATATTGTGTGTATGTTGAGGGATTCGTAGTCTTTTCCAATTTTTTGCAGCCAAAAATTTTTTTCTGAAAAGAAAGACAGTTTTATTTGAGGAATTCATAGTTTAAAAGTCTCGATATTCTGAATTTCTGAATTTCTGAATTTCTGAATTTCTGAATTTCTGAATTTCTGAATTTCTGAATTTCTGAATTTCAGAATTTCTGAATTTCTGAATTTCTGAATTTCTGAATTTCTGAATTTCTGAATTTCTGAATTTCTGAATTTCTGAATTTCTGAATTTCTGAATTTCTGAATTTCTGAATTTCTGAATTTCTGAATTTCTGAATTTCTGAATTTCTGAATTTCTGAATTTCTGAATTTCTGAATTTCTGAATTTCTGAATTTCTGAATTTCTGAATTTCTGAATTTCTGAATTTCTGAATTTCTGAATTTCTGAATTTCTGAATTTCTGAATTTCTGAAAAAAATTAAATTTCTCATTTTCGAGCTTCTGAAGTTTTTGAAAACTTCTAGAATATTTTTGAACTTTCCTGATTTTCAAAATTTTAGGTTTCTTGAAAAAAGTTTTTTTAATACTCGTTCACAAATTATCACCAAACTTAAAAATGTCAATTATCCTTAAATTTCAGATTTTTGAGATTTTCGAAAAACAATTTTTAAACTTTTTCGAATTCCCCGATTTTTCTTGTCAAAATGTTGCAAAATTGATATCTCGTGTAACATCAGTGTTGATTGATGGTTCCTCCAGATTTTTACACAATTTTCAAAATTTATCTTCTTTTTCTTCTCGTCGAACACTAAAAATTTGAAAATATCAAGTTACCTCCGCCAATTTTTCAACGACTCAAACTAACTTTTCGGTATACATCAAAATCAATGAAACCACTTGAAAAGGTTTCTCTTTGAAACTCAAGTGCCGCTATTCGCACCTAGGAGGATTGCTCATGTTTGTTTTGGAATTGATACAGTACTGACCAAATGAAAACCACAAGCTGGATAGATTTTCCTTTTTGAAGTTCCGAAAAAAAATCTGATTTCAGAAAATCACAAGATCCTAAAATCTTAGGTACTTCAGAATATTAGAATCTCAAAACACCAAAAAATTTCTTATTTTTCAAATCATTCAAACTAATTTTTAAAAAAATCTATACTTGACCTACAGTAGTTCTAAACCCAGGCCTCCTCATAACCTCGTAAATCCACACTTGACCTTCCCCCGTAAATTTGCTTCAAGAACTTTTTCCTGACTTCCTCTCCCTTCATTTTCCCATACTTCTATCGTTCTCTCTTTTATAACCGTTATTGTTTATTCAATGAATATTAATAAATCCTAAATCTTCTTTCCTCTTACTCCCCATCTCCTAGAAAATTTTCCCATCATTGCTCATCTTTAGCTCTCCAGCTTCCCCCCTCCCTCCGGACCACACAACGAGCATTTTCTCATTTTGACACACACACACAAACATAATCCCATATTCATTAGCTTGGATGCTCATCTAATTCTCTATTCTTTTCCTCTTCCGCCTTTATTCATTCCGTTACTTTTTCTTCCAGCATTTTCAGATAAAGCTTAGAAATTTGCGAAATTTTTTGAGAAATTTCTGGCAATTTCTGATTTTTTTTTCGAATATGTCGATTTTTCGCATAGGATTCACTCAGAATTTCTGAATTCTAGGTTTTCATCTCTGGAATTCGGCTTTTTTAAAAAAGATTTTTCAGGAATTTCTGTTTTGTTTTTGCGATAAATCCGGAATTTCGAAAATTTCTGCAGGAGCTCAAAGTATTTATTTTTCAAATTTTGGTCAAAATTCTGGGTCTGAAATTCTGAAACTTTGAGTTTAAATTTCCAAATTTTCGGAAATTCCAAATTTTCGATTTTTTTGAAATGATCGATTTAAAAAAATTTTTCGATTTTCCAAATGTTCGATTTTTCACAATATTCCAAGTTTCCGAAAAATCTGAATTTTCAATTTGTTAATTTCCATCTGAAATTCGGAGGTACAGAATTTCAGATATCCAGAAATTCGAGAATTCTAAAATTCGTAAATATGGGAATTCTGAAATTCTGAAATTCTGAAATCCTGAAATCCTGAAATTCAGAAATTCGGCAATTCTGAAATTCTGAACTGTTGAGATTCTGAAATTCTGAGATTCTGAGATTCTGAGATTCTGAGATTCTGAGATTCTGAGATTCTGAGATTCTGAGATTCTGAGATTCTGAGATTCTGAGATTCTGAGATTCTGAGATTCTGAGATTCTGAGATTCTGAGATTCTGAGATTCTGAAATTCTTAAATTCTAAGACTCTCAGAACTTCAAATTCTAAACTTCTATTTGAATAGATCGCCGGAAAATGGAGTCCCTGGCCTTCTCGAATTTCCATTTTCACTACTTTTATTCTTCTCCGTTTCTTTACGTTTTTTTCTTGTACTCCTAGTTCTTCTTCCTCTTCTTCTCCAAACGACTTCTTCTTCTTCTACTACTTTTCCTGCCTTTTCCAGGAACAAAAAAAGAAGAAAAAGGGAGAATCGAGAGCAAAGATGTCAATTCTCTTCTCCTCATCTTTTTTTGTTTTCTTGTTGTCTATTCTGCAAGAAACATTTTTTCCCAATCTTTTTCTCTAAACTCTCCTAGAAAGATGTTCTATTTTTTCGGTTAGATGGAATCGTTCTTAAAATCCCCTTTTCTCATTTTCCCTCTATTTTTTACAATCCTTCCAGATTCTTAATTGTTTTTTGAATTCCCCAATTTGAAAAAAAAAAATCTAAATTCCAATAAAAACGTCTTCTTTTTTGCAGAATCAACGATGGACGCCACCGACCGGCTAATGCCGGGTCCCGAGGGCAAAACACCAAGGTTAGTACGATAAACATTAGATAAAAAAGAAAAAAAGAAGAGATGAATGATCTAGGTCGATGTACTTTTTGGCTATGGAATTTTCTGAAGAGAAAAAGAAGTGAAGTGATGAATTGATAGTGATGGCTAGACTTGTAGGCTCCGCCCATTTCAATAGATAGAACAAAAACCATTGGGATAAAGTCTTTGTTTCAATGAACAGAGATTATGAGATTCTGCATTTTTATTGAAATTTCTGAATTTCTCGGGACTTTTTTGAAATTCCTGAAATTTTCAAATTTCTTAAAACCTGTGAATTTTCGGATTTTTCATCCAAAGTTTGGGGATTTTCCTATTTTTAAAGAAACTGAATTTCAAAGAAAATCTGATTCATTTTTCGGAACTTTTAGGTTCTTGGAAATTTCGCAATTCTGGAATTTTGAACTTCCAAGATACCAAGATTTTAAGATTCTAAAATTCGGAGAATCTAAGATGCTAAAATCTTAACTAGGGAACTATCTGGAGTCGTCTCCAAGTTACACTTCATGACCATATCATTAGAAAGCCCATATATCATAAGAAAGCCCATAAAATTCTGATTGGGAATGTGTTTTCTGTTTTTGCGAAAAAAAACAGAAAACATATTCCGAATCAGAATTTTATGGGCTTTCTAATTTTATAGGCCATGAAGTGTAACTTGGAGACAACTCCCTAGTAAGATTCTGAGATTTTGAGATTCTGGGATTCTGAGATTCTGAGATTCTGGGATTCTGAGATTCAAAGTTTTTAACATCCGAAAATTCTAAGATTCTTAGATTACAGACCATTTCAAAATCTTCTCAAAATCTTCGAATTTTCAGATTCTACGAAGTGGATCGTGGTAATAAAACCGAAAGCTATATCAGTGCGGTATCCGGAAATCCCGTCGTCCCAGAACACATAATGCTCAAAGAGAAACGACCGGATCCAGAAGAGCCGGCTCCACAGAAGCCATGGGAACGGCCACCAGTCGTGGCGAGACCCAAAAATCCCGATCAAATTGGATTGAGTGAAGAGGAGTTAGAAGAGTTCAGAAATGATCCATGTTGGAAATTTATAAGGTGAGAGATGAGATTTTTTTGAAACTTCACATTTGCATTATTTCCTTTCAGAACATCACTTATGAGAGATATTAAAAACGGGTCAGCTGATAAAATGATGATGATATCATCCCAACATTTTATAAGTTGATTGTTTTTTATATCTTTTATAGAAACTGAGAAATATTGAAATGACTAGACAATCTCCTATAATCTCTGACCTAATTACACCCAACCCTTTTCAAAAGATCAACGTTACTACTGTTTGATCTTCTATGCGTAATCAGTAGGTCAAATAGAGTACAATACTGTGTACCCCGTTGTTTGACTATGTACGCGTGGGTTCAAAATTAATTGGAACCAAGCCAAGTAACAAAAGGGAATGTATTCATTAGAACTGGAGCCATAATTGGTCCAAACAATTTTTTTTCCAGAACCGTCCTATTCATCTTATTCTGGCTCATATGGTTAGCTCTTTTCGCCGCGGCCATTCTCCTTGTCTGTCTCTCCCCAGCATGCATCGTCCGTGAGAAGCCCAACTGGTGGCAGACAGCAGTAGCCTACCATGTATGGATCCCATCGTTCCAAGATTCAGATGGCGATGGCGTCGGAGACGTTGAAGGTCTGATTGACCGCTTAGATCAATTAAGGAAGTCAGGAGTTCAAACTGTGTGGCCATCACCGTTCTTAATATCGGATGATGAGAAGACAGCGGTGAGAAGTTTCAGTCAGATGGACCCGAAACTTGGTGTGAATCAGAAGGCTGATGAGTTGATCGAGAAGATTCATGAGAAAGAAATGAAAATCATCATCTCCATTCCAATCGCTACCACTTCTCTGGAACACGAATGGTTTTTGAATTCTGCATCTGCTTCGAAAACTCCAAATGCCAATTATTCGCAATTCTACACATGGGTCAGCAAGGCAGCCGATTCCAACTTTTTCGCAGAGCACAAGAATCTCTTTTATCTTCATGAGAAAGGTAATCATTAACACGGCTCTGGTTTGTTCGTGTCAAAATATTTTTGGCGCCAATTTTCAAAAACTTATTGTTCCAAACCCAACCATAAACGCTTTGTTCCAGGAAACGCAAAATCGGCGGTTCTAAACTGGCAAAACAGCAATCTCCGTGAGCACATGTTCAACGCCTTGTCCAGCTGGATAGATCGAGGAATTGATGGATTCGAGTTGCTTGGAATTGAGTACTTGGCACGTACGCCAAACGGAACGGAGCCAGAATGGAATGCAATTTATGACGTCATCAGGGATATTCGATTCCACGTGGATACCTACTCGAATGAGAGTACAATTGCCAAGGGGAAGAAAGTGTGAGTTTTTGGGTACGGTATGAAAATCAAAAAAGATTTGGACCACTGGCGAGTCGAGTCGTCTGCAGTACCTACTATACCAACCGGGCACACTTGAACATGCTGTTTTTTCAGCGCATTATTCTCAACCCGAGAAGAAGCCAAAGAGAAGGACAAGAAGCGAATGGCAAAGGCCGGCATGGATACAGTAATCAACTATGAGTTGGGAGAAGTTGAGAAGGATACGAGTAAGAATATTGAGTACAGTAATCCCAAAAAATCTAATTGAGTTTCAGAAATCTGCCATAAGAATGAGGGATCCGTTGCGACGTGTGTTCATGAGATCCTTTCGGATGTCTTGTTGTTCCATTCGTTGAATGAACAAGTTTGGCCGCATTGGAGAGTGAGTTTTCGAACGAAATTTTGAAAGTTTTATCATTTCAATGTTGACTTTTTTGAGCTTACCGTAAACCTAAAACAGACACAGGTGATTCAATCAAATGTTTTATTGAGTTCGCAAACGGATCCGTTTGGTCATGATTCGCAATCGGATCGGATACGGAGCTCGCAAACGGGCAGGATACGGATCAATCCGAATAATGTACTGCTATTTACTGAAAACGGTTCGCGTGCGGTCCGTATGCGGTTCCTATTTCAACCGCGCGCGAACGCAAAGCGTCCGTAACGGACCCGTTCGCATTTTACCTTTGGAAGGGAATCCTAACGTTTAAATTTGAGTCAATTTATCTCGGTTCCTATGAAAGATATCAAAAAGTTGTCAACTGATAAATTGTTTATCATAATGTCATAAACATTTTATCAAGTAACAATTTTTTCATCATTTCCATAGGAACCGAGATAACTGGGCCCAAACAACCACACCCCCGACCGAGAGTAATCATTGGACAAAATGTTTTTGATCCTAATTATCTCGGTTGTTGTAAGAGATATCTAAAAGTAATCACCTGATAAAATAAGTAAAATTTAATTTCATAAGTTTTATCAATTGTCACTTTTTGATAACTTTTACAAGAACCGAGATAATTAGGTTCAAACTTAAGGCATATTATCTCGGGTTCTGTAAAATATATCAAACAGTTGTCAGCTAACGAAATGTATAAAATTCAATTTTACACATTTTATTAATTGACCAGTTTTTGGTATCTGTTATGGTAGTCGAGATAATTAGCATCAAATTTCTAGTGGTAGGCACCTCTTAACGAGAGGCCTTGTAAACAAAATACTTAGGGTCTTGTACCGACTGAGCTACACGATTACAAGTTTGACCTACAAAAATTTTTTAACCCCAAGACCCTTCAAGCTAATACTAATTTTGCAGTTCGGTTCCCCAGACCTCGCTCGTTTGGCCTCCCGAGTTGGATCTCGACCTCATGCTCAACTCCTCATGATGCTCCAAATGGTCCTTCCCGGAACCAATAACATCTACTACGGAGAAGAAATTGGAATGAGAAATCTGGCAAACGATTCTCGTGTCCCACCACAAAGAGGAGCCATGCAATGGGATGATTCATTGAATGGCGGTTTTACATCAGCCATCAGTCCACCGGTTCCTTCGAATATCGACGTGGCGAATATCAATTGGAAACGACAGTACTCTGAACCACAGAGTACACTGAAAATATTTGCGAAATTAGCGAAATTGAGACAGAGAGAGGATGCACTGAAGACGGGAACCACTCTGATTGGACGGTTGGTCGATGGAGCATTCACTGTTACGAGATTCAATAATTTTGAGAATCGAACAACTGGAAATGTGAGTTTTTTTAGAAATCTAGAATTCTCAAGATGTTCTAAGCTCTGAAAACTGAAATTCTAAAAAATTTCAATTTCAGATCTACGTTGCCGCTCTGAACTTTGCTGAACACCCAGTCAAGCTGCCATTGACAGATCTTCCCAATAATGAGAAGCTTCAGAAATCTACAGTGAGAGTTTGAGAATCGTAGAACTTTCAAATCTTAAAATCTTCGAATCTTAGAATTTGAGAATATTGGAACCATCAAAAAGTTTGAAAACTAAAAAATATACGAAAATTCGGAAATTTGAAAATTTTGGAAATTTGAAACTTTCGGGTATTCTTAAATATCGAGATGTTCAGAAAACTTTAGAAATCCAGTTTTGAACAATAATTGGATTCTGAAAACCTGAAATTCAAAATCTAGAATTCCTTGAATCAAAATCTAAAAATCTCCAATTTCGAAACTTCCAGATCGTTACGGCCACATCAAATTGTGAAGCTTTCTACGCCCGTCAAACCGTCGATTTTGGTGGAAAAGAAGTCGAACTGGAACCCAATCAAGGAGTCGTTTTCCGTTATTCTGCTTAAAATTGCTTTTTTTCTGTTTTTTTCTCTTTCGTGAGAACAAGAGCTGCCTCGTCTATATGCTTTCCCACTTTTCTCTTTCCCTGTCAACAAAAAATTGGTGCAAGTCTTTTTTTTCTATAACTTTCTTGAATTTTCTACTTATTTATGTTTAAACTTTTGGTGTGGCATATCCGTCCCGCGTGAATCAAAATAAATTTTTTTTTCGAACGGCCGACAATTCAAATACGACAAAGAAGGTGCCAGCGAGACGCGCATGTGTGGTGTAGTGGGTGGTGCAGACGACCAGAAATCTAGCAACGGGGTTCGACTCCCGCTTGAACCAAACCTTTTTTGCTTCTTTGATAAGCATGTTGATACCAATCCTGTCTAATATTTTTTGGTTTTGAGTAGAAAAATAAACCAATCACTTGTCGATTTCTGATTATGATAGCAGGAAGTGTACAGCAGCCGTCTAATCAATCAAATTTTGGCTCCCACTCGGAGCCAAAAAACCAATTTTTGAAGGTTCAAAAATTTTTTGTGGTCTGATCTTGGAAGCGTTTTAAAGATATTTATAGCATTGATCATACCGTGGGAACTTGTTTTTTGTTGCATAATTTTCTAGAATATTTTGATTTTTTGGGAAAAAATTTCTGAAAAAATCTCATTTCCTACTGCCAAAAAAAGCAAGCTCTTGTACCCATTTCTCATAATTAATTTCTTTCTAAGAACATTATGATAAAAAATCGATCCCAAAAATTTAGAATTTTGAGATTCTGAATTTTTAATTGTTTGATTTTCAAACTTCATATTTTCCCTAATCTTGAGGAACCTAGTCAATCATGAAAAAATTTGATATTTTTCAAATTTCAATACTTTTGAAGGTTTGATTTTTGGAGATTCTGAGATTCTAAGATTCAAAAATTTAAAAATTCTGAGGCTCTGAGATTTTGAATTAATTTCCTTCACAGAACATCTGAGATTCTGGGATTTTGAGATTGTGAGATTGTGAGATTGTGAGATTTTGAAATTCTGAAATTCTGAATTTTGAAATTCTGAAATTCCGAAATTCTGAAATTCTATGATTCTGAGATTCTGAGATAATGAGATTCCAAAATTCTGAAACTTCTAGATTTTGAATATTTGGATATCTGAGATACTGTAATTTTGAGGTTCTGAACTTCTGAAATTCTGAAATTCTGGAGTTCTAAAATCCTGAAACTCTCAATTTTCTAAAAATTAGTGATATTTTGGTGATAAATGTGTTAGATCAAGCTCCAACCAAAATCCCTACATTTTTGATTTATACTCGGAAACCAGAAATTTAATTTAGAACGAAAGAAATCGAATTCCCGAAAAAACGATGATTTTTTTCTTCGATTTCACACCTTTAGGGTAAATAAATATGACAGGTGTTTCAATGCTTATTTATAGACAATTTGAGTATTTTGAGATTGGCATTCTGAAAAAATTCAAATGTCTAGCTGAAAAATAAAATTATGTCTAAAAAAGGGAAAAAATACGGTTCATTCAAAAAAAATTGGAAAAATTACTTGAAAACGTTTCGAATTCTCTCCTAAATAATCAGCAAAAACTGTTCTTTGTTCGCTTTCTTGATCGTCATAACAGTCATAGACTTACGCACGCTGTAATTGATTAAATTCCATGACTAGACGACTGGAATTTCTGGATTTCTGGAAAAAAGGAAATTGTCTCCTTTTTGTTTAGCAGAAGACAATTCAAACAAACCTATGGTTTAGACATTTTCTAGGAGTCAAACCGTAATTTTTTGTGGAATAATGCTGATTCAGAACTTCCTAGAAGTGTTTTTTCAAAAAATGGTTAAATATGTCGATTTTTGTAAGAGATATCAACCATCTTTCAAATGACAAAATGTTCGCCATCGTATTACCAATTTTTTATCAGTTGATAAGTTTTTGATAGCTCTTATAGGAGCCGAGATAATTGAGCTAGAAGAGCAAAAAAGGGGGAGTTCTTTAAAATCTAGCTCAATTGATTCATTACATTTTTTATGAGCAGAACTTTGGTTTTTTGCATGCTCTGATACTTTCTGTGTTTCATGTTTTGAAAATATTTTTCTTTTGTTACTTCTTTGTTATAGTCATTCATCAACCCAAAAATCACACGCCAACATAGAAAACACTATTCTTTTTCAGCGCTTTTTTTTTCAAATTCCTCGACAACTTATTGAAATTAGAGAAACTAAACATTTGGCCTCAAATGATTCAAACATGATACAAAAATATTATAAACCAGCCATCTGTTCGCCGCGTCTTCGGCGCTTCAATCAGCGGGCTGGCGCGCCTTCGGCGCGATTCAATCTAGTTATTTTACTGGTTCGTCGCTTTGTTCATTACTTTGTCTTAAGGGGACATGTAATCTACCGTAAAACCTGTATTAGAAGGGCCCCTCTAATAGAAGGGCCCTCCGAGCGGGGCTTGAAAAAAATAGAATGGCTCCCTGTAAAAGAAAGGCCTTCCGTACTTTTTCAGTGGAAAATATCCCAGGAACTCCACATTTTAATAGAAATTTTTTGAAACTATATTTTTCAATGAAAATCTTGCTAAATTTTGGTAAAATTGGCAGATTTTTATGAATTTCGAACAAAACTTCGTCGAATTTCCGATGCAAAATTTCGGAAAAACTGGCCTGAAAAATAGAAGGGCCCCCTCTAATTGAAGGGCCCCTGTAATAGAAGGGCCCTCCGGAGGTACGATGGAACAATAGAAGGCCCTTCTAATACAGGTTTTGCGGTATGTTTATTTTTGAGCTTTCAAAAGTCCACAGCGTGACAACAGGCCCAACAGACATCTCTAGCGTTTTATATATAACTTATAATATAAGGAAGAATTTAATATAAGGAAGATCTTCCTTATATATAAAACAGCTTGCTTGTAGTATTATAAATAGTTTGAATTTTTCTGGATTCATAATTTTCAGAGCATTTTGTGTTGGATTTTTTCTAGTAAACTAAGCTTAATTAAATTCAAAATTGTTCAAAAAATATCCAAAAATGAGTATTTCAAAAAAAAGAAACAATTCTCGAAGTGGAAAATTTAATTCTAAAATTTCATCTAGACCTTTTCCAAAATATGATTTTCGACTTTTAAATTATGAAACTCCAAATATGCGTTGATGTGGAAGATAGATGACCACACACAGACACACACACACACAAAAAGTTTTTAACAAAAATGTTTTTCTATTTTTTCAAAAAATAAATTGAAAAAAACTCAAAAATCGAAAATCATAGAAAAACCAATAATCTACAAATTCAATTTTTCAGGAATTTTTTTTTTTTTTTAAATCTCAGAATATTCAAAAACTTTCGAAATTCGAAAACTTCAAAAAGTCACAAAATTCTTAAATATATGAAAAATCACATTCAAGATTTTCGAAAATGTTCCCAAAGTTGAAAAACTTCTACTTCTAAAAGATTAAGGAGATTTGAAAACTTTGAAAGTTCAAAATATTAGAAACTTCGAATATTCTCAAATCTCAAGTATTTTAAGAAATTCCAAAATTTTCGGAATTCAGCAATATCAGAATATTTTGATTTTTTGAGTTTTAGTTTTGAGTTTCTGTGCTCTGCTCGAAAACACGCACTTTTCAAAAAAACAAGAGATTTTCAAAAAATTCCCCCTCCCAAAAAAAAGCTAAAAGTATCAATTTCGTGTAGTTCAGCATCTTTTCTAGAAATTTCCACCTGAAAACTTCTAAATTTTCCCTATGAAATTGTCTAGACGTCACAAGACAATCTTTTTTGATTCATTTTCAGCTGTTCGGTCAGAAAATACGCTTTAATTATTTCTTTTCTAAAAATTGGACATTAATGACCGAGTTTTCTGAAAAAAGAATGATGTTTAGAGCTTGAAATATATTGTTTTTTCTTCTTTTTATTTATTCATTGCTGATCTCTTATTTTATAAAATGCTCTCAGATTTTTCTTGAGATTTTCCAGAACACTCCATGTATATCAAGTATTTCAACAAGACCCACTCAATCCTCGAGGGGTCCTATCCTGCATATCTAACTGTTTTCTACCTCCAAGTGATCCTTATTTTCACTGTGTGAGTTTCCGCGGACATCTGGACTCACAGATAAACAGCATTTTTAAATTTCCAGATTATTCTACTACTTGCTCAATGTCTACATCGACATCCGTACTGGTCAGTTTGTGACTAACACTCAGAAAATCCATCATGCTATTTATCTACCGTGCGTTCTGGGACATTTGATGTGTCTAGCACAGAAATTGCTGTTGATAATGGATTTTTCCGCAGGTAACTGTTAAAATTTGGAAGAGGGACCCTAAATTTATGTTTGAAAACTCAAACTATGAGGAGCGCCTCAAACTATGAGGAGCACTCTCCCGGGTTCAACTCCTACGAGTGGTGAATCTTTTTTTTGAAGTTTCGCTGGGAAGGGTAATGACTTTGAAAGTGCATAATAGTGAATCTAAATCGAGAAATTCAAAACTTTAAGTCAAAACTTTAAGTCTGGACTTTTTACATCAATAATACCAATAAAAATAGGTTGTTACACTGTTTTTTGAATTTTGTTCCTTTTTTGGATTCTCGCAACGTCTATTCCGCCACTGATCTACACTGCCCTTGCTAGTACCCGAACCCAAAATTTCGCAAAAAATGGAATCTCCTAACAAGCGGAGTTCCTATCGGCGGTGCTTGCTCTTTATTTTTTTCTTATTACTTTAATCCTACTGTGTTTTCCTACGTTTTGTTGTTTCCCTAGGTGAGGCCTGCGTCCTATCATAGTGACCAGTAGTCCCGACGTATTCAAGCCAACGGAAGAGTCCATCAGTCAGATGACGAGGTTACTTCCATTCGGCGAGGGCGGGGGTGAACCTCGATGTTTCGAGGGAGCTCTGGGACCGTGGCATCATTCACGAGCTTTCGTCTTGAATCAACCAATCAACGGTTATGCGATTCAATCCACACGGGAGCTCCCATTCCGTTAAGAATTCTTCAAGAAAGAGACACTTTCAAATGAATGGGTGGGTTTCTTGCGGAGTGAGTTCTACTAAGTGCTTACACGAGAGACTGAGATCTATCTAAACCGGAAGAAGAGACGAACGCACCGCCAATTCATTTAGAGAAGGCGAGGTGAATTATAAGGGTAGGGTAGACGAGCGGCCGACACTTCCCGGGTTCACTATGTTTTGCGTGTGCCTAGGCTCCGCCCACTTGACAAGCAGGGGAGGCGTTTTTGGCTCTTTTGCTTTGCTTTTCACCGTTTTTCTTCGAATTTCTTGCATTTTCTTAAAGGAAAATCTGTCTAAAATAGGTCAAAGTACAAAAAAACAAGTTTTGTTTAAGTTGGTCTTATAAAATAAGGGGTTTTGGATTTTTGGGTTTTTATAATGTTTAGTTTCCTATTAATCTATTTTTGATTTTCAGGTTACAATCTCCATAACGATGTCTTCTACACGATTTCCCTTCTTCGCGCTCTTTTCTGTTTCCCTGGGTTCTATTGCCTATCTGCATTTGTTGCCGAGAGATGGTTTGCCACCTACTTTCTTATGGATTATGAGAGAAATCAAAGAAAATGGCTTGTTTTTGTGATTCTTTGGATTATCTACTCAATTGCTTTCATTTCGGCAATCAATTTTCATGAAGGTGAGTTTGCGAAAACTGTTTACTGTTTAGAAAACTGTTTAAAGTCAAGTATCCGGCTTGTTTTTTGATGTTATAGGGTAAAGCAAAAATTTAAAAAAAAATTAGCACTTGTCTGAATCGAACTTCTGAGGATTATATCCATAGTCAGAGTTATCGCCGGTTGCGCCATGGGTGCCACAGGTAACGATGACGCCCCTGCTCCCCCTCACAGCCGACCAGCGGCGCCCGCCACCTCCTCTCTTATCCACGCACTCGCGTCCTAGAAATAAATGTGGAGAGATGGCCGAGCGGTCCAAGGCGCTGGTTTAAGGCACCAGTCCCTTCGGGGGCGTGGGTTCGAATCCCACTCTCTTCAGTTCTTTTTTTTATTTTATCAATTTTTTTTCAGCTACCAGCACCATCCCACATGCTTGTGTGTTCATTTTGTTGAGTGGCTTAGCTTACTTGGTGAGTTTTAGGTAGTTATTAGGACGATTTTTATTTTGAAAAGTTTCAGGGAAACCATATAAACTTCTTGGTGAATCGAAACTATTACTACCAAAGTAATCGAACCGACGGCGGGGGTTATTCATTGGCACAGCGGTTTCAGATATCTGAGAATATTCGATTTTCGTTTGTAAGTTTTTTCATAATTTCGGATTCAATTTGAAAAAATTCAAAAATTCCAGTTCTTCAATCAATTGGCTCTCAGTATCGAGTTTTTCCAAATCAGTGGTCCCATCTGCCTACTCATTGATAATCTGGACATTTCAAGGTCCTGGATGAATCTGAATACAGTAATCTTTGACACAATTTGTTTAGTGTAAGTATTTAATTTTTTTTTCTTTAGACCATCATCAATTTTTTCAGGTACGCTCTTGTGACCCCATTCGTGATCTACCACCATAACCCAAAATATCGAGCCGAGTTGGAGCGAATAATCGCGAAAATCAGAAGAATAGATGTGAGAAGAAACAAGAATCAAATTCGACCGATGGATTCAATGGAAGAGAGTTTCAATTCGTTGAGATTACAAGATACATTTGGAAAGAAGATCACTTTTAATACTAGTGAAATGACTAATACATATTTTGAAGAACTTGATAAGTCTTGGAGTTGATACCTTTTTAAAATTTAATAAATTATTCTTTTTTTCATCTTGTTTTAACGTGAACTTGCCCCGGATTGATTGAAGTTGCAGATAAGCTCAATCGATAAAAGAGGAATTTTTGACACGAAGATCACTTTAGTTTACAAAACTACTACTTACTAGCCTTTTAACTAACTACTCGGTAAGTAAAAACCAGTAAAAAATTGACACACCAAGGGATCGAACCCGGGAGGCTCCGCACCATAGGTTGGGTTGTTACCGGTTGCGCCATGAGGGAAAGTGACGCCGCCACGAGCATTGCCCCTTCCTCTTGTTGGCCGCCGGCGCCCGCCACCCACTTTCTTGTGTACGCCCTCTTGTCTCCATCGAAAATGTGGAGAGATGGCCGAGCGGTCCAAGGCGCTGGTTTAAGGCACCAGTCCCTTCGGGGGCGTGGGTTCGAATCCCACTCTCTTCAGTTCTCTTTTCGCTATTTTAGATTGTTATCTAGTAATCAAAGAAGTGGCAAAATGTGATTTTTAGAAAATGTTTAGTTGCAGAACTAACCAATCATGGGAAACAAGATGGCGATGCCCCAACAAAAGCGTGAGAAGCCGACACACGCCGCGATGAAGGTCGCCGTGAAGAGCGGACGACGTGGCATCGAGAATGCGAACAAGTTGCCGACGGTGGCGCCGAGACGTCAGTGTCTTGTGAGACTTCTTAAGATGAATCGGATTCATGACTATCTTCAGTTGGAGGTGATTTTACTCACTTAACTTGACTCAACCTAACTAGAACTAATTTAATCATCAAATTTCGTTAATTTTCAAGTTTCTTTGAACCACTCTTACTTAACATTTTTCAACTATCTTGAGGTTTCTTTAACATTTTTGGCTTACTTGCTTGACTTCAATTGACTCAAATTGACTTGAACTTTCTTTAATTAGTCGACATCTAACTTGTTGAACTTCCACTTGACTTGACTTTACTGTACTTCTTCTAACTGATAACTGATCTACTGATAACTGATTTTCAAATTGATTTTGTAGAAAGAGTACATCTCCCGCCAAAACAGCCGAACTGGCCGTCCATTGGCTCAACAGAAACGCCGAGAGCAGCAACTGGTCCAAAGTCTTCGTGGGACTCCAACAACACTCGCCAGAATCCACGAACTTTTTGATGATGAGAAGCACGCGGTCGTAGTGGTCGAAGGATCGAAACGCGAATGGTACATCCCCATCCTCTCCATAGTTGACAAGGATCTTCTCCGTCTGAATGCCCTCGTCATGGTGAAAGCTGGTGGAATGTTCAAAACGGTGCCAACAGCTATCGTCGGAGTTCTCGACGACAAAATTGACAGCAACGCCAGCGGACACAAAGTGGAGAAGTGCCCCAAAGAATCGTTTGATGATATTGGAGGATGTGAGAGTCAGATTCAGGAGCTCAAAGAGTCTGTTGAACTTCCACTCACCCATCCGGAATACTATGAGGAGATGGGAATCACTGCTCCTAAAGGTGTCATTCTTTATGGAGAACCTGGAACTGGAAAGACGCTTCTTGCCAAGGCAGTGGCCAATTCAACATCAGCCACTTTTATTCGAGCAACTGGATCGGACCTGGTGCAGAAGAATAGTGGAGAGGGAGCTCGTTTGGTTCGACAAATCTTTCAAATGGCTAAAGATCAAGCGCCATCAATCGTCTTCATCGATGAGATTGATGCAGTTGGAACGAAACGATTCGACACTTCTTCACGTGGAGAGCAGGAAGTTCAACGGACACTTTTGGAGTTGTTGAATCAGTTGGATGGATTTGAAAGTCGTGGAGATGTCAAAGTGATTATGGCCACCAACCGTATTGACTCTTTGGACCCCGCCTTGATTCGTCCTGGACGTATTGATCGGAAAATTGAGTTGCCACGGCCGGATGAGAAGACTCGGCAGAAGATTTTTGGGGTGCGTGAGGGGCTTGTTTTTGGGAAAATCATATTTTCACACTTTTTGCACATTGTTTATGAAGCCGAGCGTTTTCAGAAATCCTCAAAAAACAACAAAAATTGTATTCAAAAAATACTGAAAAATTCTCTAAATGACAAAATTTTAAAAAAATTCAAAATTGAAAAATCAAAATTTCAATTTTTTCCCAGATCCACACATCTGGAATGACACTTCAAAAAGCGGTGACCTACGAATCAGTCCTGGGAAAAGAGAAGAGTATCAGTGGTGCCGAAATTAAAGCCGTGTGCACCGAGGCTGGAATGATGGCACTTCGATCGCAACGAAAATGTGTGGGAGCCGATGATTTTGAGAAGGCTCTCAAGTCGGTGATGTTGAGCAAAAAGGCTGGAGCACCCGAATCTTTCTTCTCGTGAATGCTACTAACTCAATTTTATTGATCCCTGAAAATGAAGGGTTTTGGCGTTTTTTTTTTGACCTGGGTTCTATTACTTGATATCTTGTGATGTTTGAAATTGAATAACGCATTTTGCCATTTTCCAAAATTGCCATTTTTGAAACTCTAGCTTGACCTAGTTCGGAACTTGTTCCAAAGTATTTTTGTTCCAAAGTCCAAACTTTGAGCAATTTATCTCTTTTTCTGTGACAGATATCGAAAAGTGATAAAATGATAAAATCAGTTGAGCATGTTTCCATGTCTTTGATAGAAACCGAGATAATTGAGCTCGAAGTCAAGTTTTTTAATTTTTTTAGAGTATACCATAGACTTGATGTTGAGTTCTACAGAGAACGTGTCTTAAGTTTGAGACGATTTATCATGCTTACTGTAAAGGATATCAAAAATTGTCCACTGATAAAAAGTGGCTGACAATATGATGAACATTTTATCAGTTGATCACTTTTGGATATCTTTCACAGAAATTGAGATAAATTGGCTCAAAGTGGACGCCTGTCTTCTCAAAACAAATTTTCAGTTCCTATATCAAAAAACTGCAAAAACAGATATTCGTGTTAATCTCTCAGTTTTTTTTCAGATTTTCAGAGATCAATCCAAACAAGGAAATCTGATTTTCAGATTTATACTTTCAGACAAAAACATATTATTGTCTGGGAAATTAAAAATTGGAACTAAATTTTTTATGTATAAAAAAGAAAAGATATTGGCTGGAAATCATTCAGTTTTCTAAAATTGAATTTGAAGTTCCAGAATGTTCATTCAATTCAAAATTCTTTCCATTGTCTTCTTCTTCTTCACTATTTCATTTGCTCGTCCAAATGAAATGCTCTCTGGAGTTGTGAACACTGCTCTGGATACAGTTCATAATATAGCCGAGGTAATTAACGATAATTAGCTGAATAATTAGTTTGAAATATGAATATTTTTCAGACAGGAACGGGAGCTGTCCAAGGTGTTGTTGATGGTGTACTCCCAGCAGTTGGTAGTGCAGTTCAGGTAATTTTACTCTCTTAATTACTCTTAATTACCCTAATTCTTACTCTTAATCATCTTAATTTCAGACTGTTGGTGGAGTTGCCCAAGATGCCGTTGGCATGGTTCCAGAACTTCCAATCGGAGGAGCTCAACAACAACCATCTTAATAATTGCAGCTCCTTTTTTTCTCTGAAATTCAAAAGTTTGTATATTTTGTGTAATATTTCAATGAATATTCAACATCGATTCAATACGGATTCTGAAATTCAGAATCAAGATTCTCTGAAACTGAAAAAAGTATGACTTAAGTATGATGCAAATTGAGCTATATCATTGATAAAAATTGTATCTTTAAAGTTTATTAATGTTTCTGAATTCCTTAAAAGTTTCAAGAAAAATTCTGAATTTGAAGATTTTTCGAATATCCGCAAATTTTCGTATTTTGAGTATTTTCGATCTCCTCCATTTCTGATTTTCGCAGATTTTCGATTTTCGAGAATTTTCCAATCGCCTTCTCTATTATGCACACGTTAAACTGCCTCCCGTGTGTGTGTGCGAAAAGCATGCACACGTCCCTTTTTCTGTCTGCGTCTCCTCTCTCTCTCTCTCTCTCTCTCTCTCTCTCTCTATCTCTATCTCTATCTCTCTCCAGCTGTCACCTAGGCAACCCTGGACGAGGGAGAACGCTTTACGTAACACACACTTTTCGCTTTACATTTGACATACCAATGGAAAAGTCAGATTCCGTTTCGCTAACGGTTCATGGAAACGTTCGGATCACAGAGGTAAGCAACTTTAACTTTTCAAAGAGAATTTTCAAAGGATTCTGGTTACCTTCTATGCTGAATGGTAGAAAAATTCAATAACTATAGACTATAGTCTACAGTTTGCTTTTTTTGAGATGGAAATGTTGAATTTGAAGCGAGCTATAAAGATTTCAGTTTCCCGAAGAATCCAACGTATGCGTCAAGCTGAATACAGTAGCTGTTGGCGACTGGAAAATCATAACTGGGGATACTGTAGCTTTATCCTCATTCTCTTATCGTGGAGCTGATAATCGGATATTCATTGATCTTCCATTTGAGTGTGGTCTCAAGGGGAGCAGTCCGTTTATGTGTAAGTTTCACTTTTAAATTTTTTTGCCTGAATAAGCCTCCAAGGGGGGGACATAAGAGGTGCCGAGGGAGCTACCTGCATATTTTCAAAGTTAAAAGATTCTAGGGCCCCGCCTAGTCCTAAACTGTTTCTCAAAGGATACTTCTGGAAAAGACTGTGTAATTGGTTATGGCGTTTTGCCGATTCCCACGGAGCCCGGAAAGTGAGTTTTGGTTTTTATTCCTTCTGGAGTTTTGTGTAATTTCAGACACATCTGCCGAGTGCATTGTTTCCTACCGGAACCGTCATCAATCGTTCAGCAAATGATGGCTAAGCTACGCAGAATGAACGCTGAGTTCGTGGATCCATTGTTGCCAGCGAACGCTGATGGGAGATACGGTAATTGAAAAAGTTTCCGTTTTTTCAAAATTCTAAAACCTAGGGAAACAGAAGTTTTTTTCCGGGCATAAATTTTTGTAAAATTCAACATCACCAGTTTTTGTAAAATTCAACATCACCCAAAAATATTTCTAGAAGTGCTCAAAATGCTTAACTTAGAAAACTAGCGAAATCTGAAATGTTCAGCATGCCGTACATCAACCAGAGGATACGTGGACATTGAAATCAATGTGAGCATTAAGAGCTCAGAAACTGGGTACCGATTTGCTCCATCTGCTTCGTCTGAAGCAAAGATCAACAATAGCCACCAGGTGATTTTTCAAAATTACCGGGCACCCTAGCTTTCAACTTTGAGCGGAGTTATATCGTTTCCTGTGACAGATACAAAAAATTTGTGAACTGATAAATTGTTTATCATAATATAAAAAACATTTTATCAATTCACACATTTTTAATATCGTGCATAAAAGCTACGGAAAATTAGCTCAAACTTTTACAGTTTCTTTTGTGTTTTTAGAAACATGTACTTTTGTGAAACTGCTATTGATAACTTTCAAAACTTTTAGAATGTGCCATCTTCGATTGCTGATCTTGCTGGGATCGTTGCAGTTGGTGGGGAAGAACACGCTGACATTTTTGGAGCTGATTCGGAAAACGAGGAGAGTAAGACAACAAGGACTGGATAGACCTTTTTATGGAAACTTTTTAATAAAAAATAAAAATATTAGAATTTTCGATTTTTTAGTTTTTGAAAAGGCATTAGCTGATTAGGACATACAGTCTATTACAAAAGTGAAGCCTTATTCTTGCTTAGTACATTCGAAAGTTTTTCGACAAATTAAAAAAATCCTGGACTATTTTTCAGGATTTTAAAGTTGTTATAAGAATGATTACAGGGTGTGGAATAATTATAGCGCCCAAACTTTGCGCAAGCTCTGGCGCCAGCAACACGGTCTGATTTGCACACCCTAGTATTTTTTCACTTCATTTTTTTTGTTTTAAACTATTTCTGAAAAATTCATGCAATTATTCCAACTTTGAAGGTAATGGTGACCGTTTTTCCATACCACACTCCTAGTATGGAGCGCGCGAAAAAGGGGTGAGAACTTTGGAGATCGCTAAAAAACTTGATATCAGGAAATCAGTGGTCAATCAGAAACTCGTTCGGTTCAGAGAATTGGGAACTTTCAATAATATAAGAAAAAGCGGTCATCTGATGTTTGGAACGGCTCCTGGAGTCGTCAAAGCCGTGAGAGAGAAAATCAGTAGGAATCACGAAAGAATCATGAAAAAAATGACGTCGTAGTTTAGAATGCTCCGCAAATCAATAAGAAATATTTTCCGAAAACAGCTCCATATGATTCCATATCGAACCCAAAAAGGCGCTTTCCTAACGGACCGTAACAAAGGGTTAAAACTGAAAAAATCCAAAAATCTCCTTCGAGGCACGCCCTTCGGCACGCACTTGAAGACCGTTTTTTATAGATGAAGTTGTTCACTGTTCATGCAAACAAGACTGACCAGAACAATTGAATCGGGGCTATCGATTATTATAGTGCATGTAGGAGATGAAAAACCCAGAATAAGACATCTCACCCGGTCACGGTGAACGTATTTGGTGAGATATGCTCAAATGGTAAAATTTTGTCGATTGTGGAGCCAAGATCAACAAAAATCCTACATCGAACGAATGTTGAAGTCGGAGGTGCTGCCCCAGTCCCAATCACGTCTTGTGAACGAAAATTGACCATTCTATCAGTACGGAGTGCCTGCACACACTGCAAAGCTCACTCGTCAGTGGTTTCAAGCCAATTTTCAGGGTTGTCTCCTTAATCGATGGTCAGCTTCCAGTCCGGTACTCAATCGTATGAATTTGTGGTTTTTAGAATATTGGGCCCAATGAGTCTCCACAAAAAATTATCTTAATTTGGAAGCCCTGAATAGATCGTTTGGCCGCGGCATGGGACAATTTGGACGTCAACTACCCCCCGTGCCGTAGTCGACTCCTTCTTGAAGAGACTTCGAGCTGTTATCGGAGCGAACGGAGGAAGGCTCAAAAATTGTTAATGCCATATTTTTTGTTATCTCTTAATGAACATCTTGGCCGAATTTGAGAAAAAAATCTTTTGGTTTGAGGTTTCTACACCGTCTTGAAAGCGGCGCTATATTTATTCCCCACCCTGTATGTAAACTAAAAGGCCCATACTCCCAGGGGGCATCGAAATAGGGGGCATCGTGCTCAAAGGGGACATACACTCATAAGGGTCACTAACTCATAGGGGGCATCCTGAAGTTGTGTCTTAGGGGGCATCCCACAATGTCTCATAGGGGGCATCGGACCAAATGCTCCCAGGGGGCATTGATAGTCTCATAGGGGTCATTGAGATCAATTTGAGTATATGATTCTGAACATGATGAATTTTTGTTTTTACATCTTTTTCATAGTTTTTTGAGGAAAGCAAACACAATTGCAGACTATCGAAGGTGTTATTTCGGAGGGTCAACTGGGTAGAATTTCTGCCAAAAATTCGGGGGTACAACTCATTTCATTCAGGGGTACAACGCTTGTGATTCGGGGGTACAGTTTTTTTTGAGGGAGTATCTGAATTCCTGAATTTCAGAGCTTGAAAACCTCAGAATTCTTAGAATTTCAGAACTTTGAAATTTCTGTATTTCGGAATCTGAGAATTTCGGAACTTCAGAGTCTGAGAATTTCAGAATGTTAGAATTTCAGAACTTCGAAATCGCAGAACTTCAGAATCTCAATATTTTTGAATTTTTAAAAATTACGACAGAAAATTTTCACTTCTCATTGCCACATTGTTCTATTTGATTTTGTGTCATATTTTTCACTCATCATGAAAAAAATTGTGGAAATTGTTCTGTGCTGAAAGGCATTAGTTTTTTATTTGAATTTTTGAGTCCCGAAACTTCAGGAAAGCATACAACGGAGAACTGTAAAATAATCTTGACAAGTTTTACAAACTCAAGACTTTAATGCTTAATTTATGTTTTAAAACTCAGTCGATACTTTCCTCTACCAATTTTTCTCAATTGCTTTTCTTCTCAATTCTATTTCATTTTCTTCTGTTTCTCAATATTCCTTCGGTTTTTCCCAATCTTCTCTTTTTTTTCTCAATTTTTCGTTTTTTCTCAATTTTCCTCAATTTTTCTCAATTTTCGTGGTAATTGCTTTTTTTCTCATTTTTTTCATAATTTTATAGATTTTTGAATGAAGGAAACAATCACAATTTAGTGATTTACACACAAAAATTAAAAAATCCCAAAAATTGGCCCAAAATGAGCTATTTTCTTTCGAAAATTGTTCGCACAAGCAATAAAACATCGCAAAAATTATATAATTAATTTTTTTCGATTAATTACCACGAAAATTTGAGCAAAAACGATGGAAAACGAAGGAAAACGGAGAAAAATCCAAAATAAAATTTTTCAGCGATGACGTCATCAATCCATGGCCGTGGCCGAGGTGGGGAGTTTTCTCTTCCCTGGGAAAATTTCGAAAAATTCACAGCTTTTCGCAAATCCCATTTTTCTCCGTTTTCCTTCGTTTTCCATCGTTTTTGCTCAGATTTTCGTGGTAATTAATCGAAAAAAATTAATTATATAATTTTTGCGATGTTTTATTGCTTGGGCGAACAATTTTCGAAAGAAAATAGCTCATTTTGGGCCAATTTTTGGGATTTTTTAATTTTTGTGTGTAAATCACTAAATTGTGATTGTTTCCTTCATTCAAAAATCTATAAAATTATGAAAAAAATGAGAAAAAATGCAATTACCACGAAAATTGAGAAAAATTGAGGAAAATTGAGAAAAAACGAAAAATTGAAAAACCGAAGGAATATTGAGAAACAGAAGAAAATGAAATAGAATTGAGAAGAAAAGCAATTGAGAAAAATTGGTAGAGGAAAGTATCGACTGAGTTTTAAAACATAAATTAAGCATTAAAGTCTTGAGTTTGTAAAACTTGTCAAGATTGTTTTACAGTTCTCCGTTGTATGCTTTCCTGAAGTTTCGGGACTCAAAAATTCAAAAAAAAAAACTAATGCCTTTCAGCACAGAACAATTTCCACAATTTTTTTCATGATGAATGCCCCCTGAGAGCATTTGGTCCGATGCCCCCTATGAGACATGGTGGGATGCCCCCTAAGACACAACTTCAGGATGCCCCCTATGAGTTAGTGACCCTTATGAGTGTATGCCTCCCTTTGAGCACGATGCCCCCTATTTCGATGCCCCCTGGGAGTATGGGCCAAACTAAAACGCAAGAAAATTATTTTCATGTCCCTCCTGTTAAGCAAAAGGTTCTTAAAATGTTTTTTAAAACGTTTTTTTTTCAATTCAAAATCGTGTTTAAAAGGTGGAGAGCAAAGCGACAAATTCGCGCCGTAGGCGCACCAGCGTGAAGCTTGAAGCGCTAGAGGCAGGGCAAACTGGCTGGTTACAAGGACATCTTACTTTTGAAGTCCTGTCACCTTTAAGTGTTCTCTGATGCTAACCTGAAAAAAGTTTGAACTTCCCGCCAATCCTCTACCAATTGCTCAAAGGTGTGAAGTAATCTGCATTAAGTGCTCCCCCTCTTTCACTCCATCCCCCATTACCCCATACCGCAAACAACAACAAGTGGTCCCCTGGTGGAGGGTCATCCCAATACTTGACATATATCAGTCATTCATTAGGCGGGACGACACCTATCGTAAAATTGAAATGAATATTACAACTTTCTACTCAAGTTTTCCACCTCCATTATCAAATCCCAATTGTTCCCCTGATGCGAGACAAAACGAAAAATGCGAATATTAGTGTTATATGATCTATTTATTTTTTGCACCCTATCCACTCTATCCCCGGTTTTATCATTCTCACTATCAAGACTTTGGACACTTGGTAAGTATACTTTTTCGCAACTTTTTCGAATGCTTTTTTGCACTTTTTTGATGTGTTGTGTCATTTGTTTTGAGAAGAGATGGGAAGAGTTATAATACTTTTGGTGGCACTGGGAAGAATTTATTGATAAAAAACGAGGGATTGTTGACATTGTGGGAGGGGACGTCTCTTCCCCGCTAAAAGTGCTTATTATCTGTCCAGCTAAGCGGTAGGAAAAAGAAAAAAGAAGAGGAAGATTTTGAAATGGTGATGGCGAGTTTTGTGGCAAAAAAAACTAGTTTAGAAAAGTTTACTTTTAGAAAAAATACTCAAAATTTCAACAAAAAATATCTGAATTTCTGGATTTCAGATATTCCAAAACATTGAAAACTTGAATTTCCAGAATTTTAACTTACAAAGTTCGAGTTCCATAGAATTAATAGAAAAACCATTGAACTCCTGCCAAAAGTTCCCAAAATGCATAATTTTTGGCGGGAATTCAAAGAGTTTCTTTTTAAAAATCTCTGAAATTTTTGGATTTTTAAAACTGAAAATTCTGAAATTTCACGACGAAGCAGTTATGTAAATCCAGTTTTTTCTCTAGTACAAGGAAAGAAAATACAAAGTTGCAATGTGATCTGTTTGCTCAGACTACTTTTAGAACTTTTTGAAACGGAGAGCCAGCTTGTATTGTTATGTGTATTGCTCATTGTTTTTCAAAAAGTTTTTAGGTCAAAAACTTGATTTCAGCAAAATTCCACAAATCATTAAACGATCCCAAAATTTGGACCTGTCTGAAATCGCTCTGAAAATTGCGGTTTTCGAAAAGCCCGTACTTGCCATAAAATGTCTGATACTTCTGTTTTGAGCTAAATTATCTCGATTTCTGTGAGAGATACGAAAAAGTAATCCACGGACAAATTTTTTCTGATAATATGATAAACATTTTATCAGTTGACACTTTTTAATATTTTGCATAGGAAAAAAGATAAATTGGCTCAAAGTTAGGGCCCTGCTGAATGTGAGCTACGCGATCGAAGCCGACGCTCGCCTACCAATGAATTATACCGTTCAAGTTTGACCCAATTTATCTCGACTTGTGTGAAAGATATCAAAAAGTGATAAACTAACAAAATATTTTTGATATTATGATAAACATTTTATCAATTGACCACTGTTTTGTATCTTTCACAGAAAATGAGATAACTGAGCTCGAAGTTGACCGTTTAGAGTGCATACTAGAGGGTTTACTGTAAATTCAGCCCTTCATCCCCTGCTTGGCCTCAACAAAAAAGTTTTCACACTTTTCGATTAACTGGACTATCACTCCTCCCTATTACTTTCTAAGGCTCATAAATCCCGTCGAGATTTGCACTTTTAACCAAAATAAAGAGTTAACAATCTCGTTTCGCTCTCTCCTTCAAAAGTGCGGATAGTGCGAATCAGCAAACAATTTGGCAAACGAACTGTTGCTTCTTATTCTTCTTTTTCTTCTTTCGCCGCTTTTCACCTTTTAACCCGTCGCCAATACTTTTCCTCCCGTTTAGCTACTGTTGTGTTCCCTTGATTTGGAGACCTCTGTATTTGTGTAAATATTTGAACGAAAAGTGCGAAATGGGCGGTTCGCCTCATTTGGTATTATATTATAATATTATGATCAAAAAGGGGAAGTGATAGGGTGATTGGTGTGGAACGTATAAAGTATGAGAAAAGGGAAACTCCCCCTTTCTCCGTACTCTATTTATAAACACTTGACGATGTGAAAATCGGGGGGAAAACGAAGGGACTCTGGAGGATTTCGATGATCAAAACTTAGTGGGATATTTGGACAAATATGTCTTGCTACATTTTTTTTCGCAAAAAAAAGAGCCTTGTAAAAAGAGACAAGTTTTTTTGGCCAGTGACGTATATTGATTTGATGAAGGAGGAATGCCATTGGGAAGGATGAGCATTTGTACAAAATATCGAAGGCCCTGCTTTGTTGCCAATTGAGCTACGCTGGGATGGAGTACGGTAGCCATGGTGCAAACACCAATCAACAGACACCGTCACGCAGAAATGCACACTTCAAAAAAATCACATTCCAAAATCAACGTCTTCAAGAGTTTTTGTGTTTGGAAGAGTCTGAAATGTTTTCTGAAAACATTCTGATTTTCAGCCAGAACCGGTTTATATAAGTTTCTGTTTGATTTTTCTCGGGATTCTAGAAATTTGGGAATTTTCGAAATTTCTTTCAAAATTTTCGGTTGTGACGGGTTTTTTAGTATTTCTCTAATTTTTAAGGATTTTTCAGTTTTAAGAGAACTTCAACTTCCCTAGAGTTTTTTGAAGCAAATTTTCAGAATTTTTAATTTCAGGAAATTTCCAGAATTCCGAAATTTAGGAATTTCAGTCATTTTAGGAGTATTTCAAAACAGTGTTTTTTTCTGGAATTTCAAAGTTAAAAATTGAGAATATTTCAAAATTTTACGATTTTCTATGATTTCAAAAAAAGGGAAATTCTCAAATATCAGAAAAATTTAAAAACTCTTACAGGTTCAAAAAAGATAAGTTCGAAAATTTCAGAATGACAGGAAGAAGAAAAATTAGTGGAATTCCAAAATTACAGGATATTTGAAATTTTCCAAAATGTGAAAAAAATGTTTTCATGTTCCGTTAGAGTTATTGAAATGCACAAATTTCAATGTTTCGAAAGTTTGGGATCTACCGTAAAACCTGTAATAGAAGGTTCCTTCTACTGTCAACTTTGAGCCCATATATCTCATTTCCTGTAAAAGATATCAAAAATATGTCAACTGATAAAAGTTGGTGGCAATATGATTAACATTAATCAGTTGATCACTTTTTAATATCTTTCACAGGAACAGGAATAAATTAGCTCAAAGGTAAACATTAGGGGGACCTTCTATTACAGGTTTTACGGTATCCAAATGGCTTGATCTTTTTCTGAACAGTGAAATTTTTTTTCGGAATTTTCTTGAGTAATTTTTCAAATTCCCTTTTACGGAACACCCTTTTTCCGTAAATTCCTAGTAACCTATATTATAAATTTATTCTAATTGAAAAAAAATTCTGATTCATTTTTTCTACTACCAACAGACAGAGAGTACACACGTACACAAAACATTTACAAATAACCACCCTCCACTCCGCTCGCTTCTTCTTCTTCTTCTATTATGTTCAACAAGAAAACATTTCTCCCAATATTACATATATATTATACATATTCTATATTATGACATACGGTTATACCATGATACTCCAGGCGCCAGAAGGTGCATGACAAGAAAATTCAAGTGGAAGAATTGAGAGAGAGAGAGAGAGAGAGAGAGAGAGAGAGAGAGGGGCTCTAAAATGCAAATATTTACCTGTGTGTGAGGAGGGAGAAGCTCCTTAGAAAAAGAGGAAAAAAGTGGGCGGAGCCAAGGAAATATCGGGAGGCAAAGAACTTGCAACTGTGGCTCAGGGAGCTCTACGCGGTCACCATCATCCCCTTCTCTAACTGTCTTTCTCCTCTCCTAATTGACCTCCCCATCTTATCTCTTTAGTAGATCAGATCACAAAAATCATCGAAAAGAGGTAGATCAAAAAACCTATTTCGATTACCCCGGAAATGGCGTTTTCGCTATTCTCCGTCGTCTCACTTACTGTTATTTATCGGTTGACCATCAACTTTCCGGAACTACCGTATACGGCCGAATTGAAAAATTTGGAATCCGAGGAGTTTTTGGTGAACTCGAAACATATTGCTCATGAGATTCAGCACTTGGTGAAGGATTTAGAAGGAAAGCATACGGCGAGGGTTGTGGATTTTAAGTGAGTTTTAGGATTTCTCAAATTCTGGAATTTATGGGGTCCGGAATTCTAGAACTCTTGTGGTTCTAGAATGTTTTAAGGATCATCACGATGTACAGCGTCTTAAAAGTTTTCAGACTTCAAAGAATCGAGAAGTTTCGGGATGATGAGATGTTGAAATCCTTAAATTTTAAGATTCTAGGTTTTATATACTGAAATTTTTGATTTTTAGGATTTTAGGATTTTAATAATTTTTTAAAAGCTTTTTATTCTGAGATTCTGAAATTTTTAGAATCCAAAAATCGAATTTTAAATTTGAGGAAATTTCAAAAACGGAAAAATCAAAATTTCAAGTTTTTTCGAATTTTCCAAAACTTTTACGAAGATTTTCAATTGTCGAAATTTTTCGAATTTACGGAATTTCCCAGTTTCCAAATTCTTTAAGTTTTGGAAATTTGAAAAGCTTTCAATTTTCTTCGAAATTTTTGGGATTTTGGATTTTCCCATTTTTGGAACTTCCCAAATTTCCACAATTCCCAATCTTTCGGAAGTTCTTGATTTTTTGAACTTTTGAATATTTCAATATTTTGGAATTTCAAAATTCTTCAAGTTTTTGAAATTTTCAAAACTTTTGGATTTTTAGAATTTTTCAACCTTTTTAACTCTTCCGAATTTTCCTGGTTCCAGGATTTCGGAATTTTTCAAAATTTAAACATTTCCGAATTTTCAACTATTTGGAATTTTGAATAATTTTGAGGTTCTGAAATTTACTGAAATTCTACATTTAGATAGCCCAAACTATTTCAAAAATATAAAAATTTATCTTTTGTTCAAAAAAGCCCGTCTCATATGTTCCAGGTACCATAAAATAATTGGCTCACTTGTCTATGTGGATTTGTATGCCGAAAAAGAGTCGCCACGTGTGTCCGATGTCCTGTTGTCCGCAATTAAATCCGGTAAAATCGGAAATCTTACGGTTTCCGATGAAGGATTTGAGCTACATGTTGTGAGAGGTGTGTATCTTGTGGACTAGCTTTTACTTGGTTCTTTTTGTTGTTATTTTGTTATGACCTACTTTTTTCTAAGTCATTCAACTTTCAGTGAAAGATGGTCAACTTTGAAATCCTGAAACAGTCTTCAAGAATTTTTCTATTAGTCTGAAAATATCAGAGTGAACTTAACAATATAGGAACTTCATTTTTGTAACTGACAAATTTCTTGGTCAATTTTCAAAATTTCAAATCACCTGAATCTGAAATCTTCCAGATTCCTCTACAGCATGTGCTGCCACCGAATTCACATGCCTCGACAAGACTTGTATCCCTGCCGACCAGAGATGCGACGGAAGACGTGACTGTCCAGATGGATCAGATGAGCACAAGGATCATGGAAAATGCAAACAGCACCAGCCAATCATTCATCAAACTGAAAAAATCGTCTTTGCACAGAAGCATGGATCCATTCATTTGTCAGCCAGTATTGATAACTCGGTTAAGGATAGTCAGGTAAGGAATAGGTTTTTTTTGTCAAAGTCATAACATGCTTCAAAGTTTTTGAAATTAAAAATATTAACAGCTGTAAGTGTAGATCATTTAGAGCTCTACAAAACGATATTAAATTGTACACTATTAGTATTTTTGCTTTTTGGATAAAAGCTGCTCAACTGAAGAGCCTCCAAATTGAGCCTCCTAAATTATTATAATTTTTAGATTGCCTGGTCCAAAGACTCTGTCCTTCTGGGCGTTGGATCTTTGACGTTAGCTGAGGACGGTCGTGTTACTGTATACAAAAAAGGAGACAAACACCATCTGCACATCCAGAATGCCACTGATTCCGATGATGGAACCTACAAGATGATCATTCAGGGAATGAATGTTGAAGCTGATTTTGAGGTGAGGCATTTTTTTTTTGAATTTCGCTAGGAAACTACTTCAAACAGAGTTTTAAATCTTCATTGAAAATAGAAGCCATTGAACTCATGAACCAAATATTAGAGGAACTTATGCCATTTTTTGTCCCAAACGGTCACGAACGCTTTTTTAGTCAACGAATAACATTTCAAGTAAAAAACAGTCATTAAGATCAATAAGATCAATAATAGCATTCTGGCACAACTCAGATCCTGCTCCTAAAGCCAAAATTTAAAAAAAACAGTCGAAGTTTTATATCATTGTAAAAATCTTGTTGAGATCTGAATTTTGAATTTAACTAGTTTCAAAAACATTGGATTATCATGGTAAACAACTTTATAAAAAACGCACTCCAGCTATAAAGTTGACGAAAACTGGTTCTAGGTACCTGACTCCTAATTGCCAACTTTGACCCAATTTATCTCAATTCTGTGAAAGGAATCAAAAAGTTGTTAACTGGCAAAATGCTTTTGATATTATGATAAACATTTTGTCAGTTGATTATTTTTTGATATCTCTCACAGAAACCGAGATATATGGCCTCAAAGTTGAAAGTTGGGATGTTCATTCTTGTATTAGAGTGTGCCGCTAGGTGCCCCCACCAATTGTCCACGTTGACCCAATACATCTCGATTTCTGTGAAATATATCAAAAATGTCAACTAGCAAAATATTCATCATAATATCAAAAATATTTTGTTAGTTGACTATTTTCTGATATCCTTCCCAGGAACCGAAATATATGGGCTCAGGGGATATTAGTCTCCCCTCTTTTGATCTTATCTCTCGCAAATCTACAGGTGCGCATCACATCGGACCACCTGGCCATCGAGTCCGACGAGTGCCCAAGCGGAGAACGTTCCTGTAAATCTGGTCACTGTCTTCCAGTTTCCCAATTCTGTGACCGTCGTGTACAGTGTCCAGATGGTGATGACGAGGAGAACTGCTCCGGTAAGTGCTGACTAATTTCTATTCATTCCATTTTTTGTGAAAGGAGTCAAAACCGTTTTTGATTATAATAGTAATAATATAATTGCATTTTGAGGTTAGTAGGAATGACTCATAAATTGGGGAAACAGGTCCTAGTACTCTCAAAAGTCTGGTCAAATAGAATAAAGGAGGGGGGAAAAGAGCAAGACGGTGCTCCTATGCTCTCCCGAGAAACAATAGTTAAACAGTGGAGAAAAAGCACTTGTTTTGTTTTTGGAGCATAAGAAAAGAGCCTGCGCATAATAACATGCACATTGAAAAATTTGTGAAAATTGTGTGTTTCAGAAGTGCAATGCAAATCGAATGAGTTCCGATGCGAGTCGACAAATGTTTGTGTGCCAACGGTCGTCGTTTGTGATGGATGGAAGGATTGTCATGATGGTTCGGATGAGAAGGTGATTTTTTTGTATGGGAAGGGATTGAGAAGTTTGAGAAAAATTTGGAATACCGTAAACACCCACAAAAAACATTTTGGGGCCAATATTGGAGGTGCCGCGCTGCTAGCTACGCGGTCTCAGCCGACGTTCCCAATTTATCTCGGTTCCTGTGAAAGATATCACAGAGTCGTTAACTGACAAATTCCTACTGATAATATGATAAACATTTTATCAGTTGACAACTTTTGGATGTCTTTCACAGGAACCGAGATATATAAGCTCAAAGTTGGCGATTTGTTCTATAACAGTGTTTAGGGTTTTTTTAAGCGAATGATATCTTTCAGTGATAAAAATGGTAGATCAAAACTATTCGATTGATGTGAAAATTTTTAAACGATATGAAAGAAAAAACAGAGCTTCATTTTTATAATCAACACCTTTTTGAAAAATCAAGCCCTGAAAAATACAGTACCTCGAACGAATAATATCATTTTAAAATTTTTTCATTGAAAATTAGTACAATTTAGAGCCCTGAAAAATATTCCAGAATTGTTAGATTTTTCTGAAAATTCCATATCCTACTGAACAAAATTAGAGCTTCAATTTTGTAATTGAATCCTTTTTTGTAAACCTCGATCCTGAAGAGATACCAAAAAAGTGCCAAAAATTAGCACTGTAATGAGAATTGTGTCAGTTAAAACTAGCTTATCTCACTTTATTAGATTTGTACTAAAAAGTTGTCAACTACAAAAACGAAGCTCTCATTTTGTTTAGTATACTCTCAAATTATCAACAAAATTTGACCGTTTTGATCTACTTTTTTCTGAGCTACGCGGTCGCAACCGGGGCTGGGCGACCAATGAAGTGTACCCTCCAACCTTAACTCTATTTATCTGGCTTCCTGTAAGAGATATAAAAAGTTTTCAACTAACAAAATGTTTATCATAATATCAACAATATTTTATTAGTTGACAGCTTTTTGATATTCGTTACAGGAAACGAGATATATGATGCCAAACTCGACAGGCTGAGCAACGCGTTCGCAGCCTGCGCTTGCTTGCAGTCCGAAAAGTCATAGTTTTACCTAATTTATAATGCTCCTTGTAAGAGATATCAAAAAGTGATCAATTAGTACAATGTTCATCATAAAACCAGAAACATTTTATTAGTTGATCACTTTTTGATATATGTTACAGAAGACGAGATAAAGTGGGTCAAAGAGAGGAAGCGTTTCTATTACAGGCTTAACGGTTGACAACAAGTTTCGCCTACAACCAAACAAATTTCCAGACTTGCTCCCACCCACGCAAGACCTACAAACCCCATCATAATCATGTCAAAGTCAACGCAATGTGTCAAGACGGCTCAGAACCAGAATTCAGTCTTCACGGATCCAGCTACTGTTGGTCCAATAAAGTGTGCCCCTCGCTCACAGAATGTGTTCATGGATTGTGCTGTCCGATTTCTAGTGAGTCAATTACTTTATTACCAATTATTTAGAACATTATGTACAAAAACAATTTATTCGGATTTGGTTTTCTTCGAGTCCTTCAAATTTTTCAACCTATCCACTTCCATACAAGTGTTTGCGTGGAACCATCCCAAACTGATGATCAGAAGGAATGGCCATCTGAAATCCAGTTACAGTAATCCAGCTTATACACCTTCTATTTCTTACCTAACAGTAATAGTTTCCTCAATCAAAAAACGTTGCACAAACGCCGCTCCAACATCAGAACCTCCCAGGAAGTAGAAGTTGGAGTACAGGCCAATGGCAAATGGTAAAATATGACACCATGCCAGAATTCTTCTGAGTGCCACGTCACTTAAATTGGCTTCTCTCCACTTTCGAACACTTTCAATCGTGTAGATGGATTTCGATCCCATTTCGATGAATAGGGCGAGAATGTTCAAACCGATCCAGACCTGTAATTAGCAAACTTAATTGGGTCAAATAAAAAGTTCCTCAAGTGTTTTCGCATAATACTAGTTACAGTAATATGGGCAAAAAATCATGTTCTGGTTTTTTACGCCAGCTACTTGGTGGCCTAGATTTTTCTAGGCCATTCAAGAGTTGTTACATTAGGATATCAAATGTGACGTTTTCAGTGAAAGATAGGTCAACTTTTAAGTCCTACAAAAGTAGTTCAAAATTGTCAGATTGTGTTGAAAATATAAAAGTGTACTAAACAAAAATTAAGCTTCATTTTTGTAGTTGACAACTTTTTTGTAACTTTTCTGGTTTTTGAACTATGCGCCTTTTTTTTGAGCTATGACCCCTACAGTGCTAGACTACAAATGTCCTAGCATATAAGAATGGAATTTTTCGATAAAATTGTCAACTACAAAATTAAAGCTCTTATGCGGTTTATTCTGAGATTTTCAGATAAGTCTGAAAATTCTAGACTGCTTTTAAGATCTCAGAAGCTGACCAGTCACAAAATGATAAATTTGGGTGCCTAGCTTTTTCTAAACCACTTACAATATTATGATGGTAGAATCCGTGCCAGAGAAGCACGAATCCATATGAAATGAAAACTCCAAAGATTTTTCTTGGCAAAGAGAACGTTGGCGCACAAATTGGAATGAAAATATAGGTCTTGAAGAATTGGTAGAGTCCTCGATCGAATTCTCGCCACACCTGAAAGATTTTGGGTCATATCTTGAGAACCGTAACTATTTTCACCAACCTTCGAATACAATGTAACGCGAATGAGACAAATCGGTCCTGGAAGTGGATCCATATTATCGAGTTTGGCAAAAAGAGAGGGTAGACCGAAGATAACGGCGTATTTCAAATGGAAAAATATTCCCATCGCCATCCCAAGAGCAACGAATTGGTCCTTTGGGAGGGAGTAAAGGTATGGCGCATTTTTGAGAATCGCCTCTTGGTATAAAAAGTGAAGAGAGGTCTCCATGAGCCACCACCAGAAGGCAATACGTACTCCAGACCAGATGCAGTTGAGCCAGTTTCGTTGGCGTGTGTTTCTGAAAGGAATTTTGTGGAGATTTTGAGATTTTTGGATCTTGAGATTCTGAAACTCCGAGCTTCCGAGATTTCCAGATTTCCAGATTCTCAGATTCTCAGATTCTGCGACTCCAAAGATTTCAAAATTCCAGCTTCCGAGATTCTGAGAGGCCGAGATCCCGAGATTCCGAGATTTCAAGATCCCGAGATTCCGAAATCCCAAGACTCCGAGATTCTAAATTTCTAGAACGCAGAAACTCACCTCTCCCTGATCTGTCTCTCAAAATCCGGATACAACATGATCAACGAAAACAGATAGGGCTGATAGAATGCATAAAACATCATTCTGACGAATCGCTTAACGACACTATCATCCTCTTTTCTCGAATTCCCTTTCAAATGTTCCAGGGAATACGAAATGTAATGAATCATTGAGTAGGAGAGGAATGTGAAGATCAGAAAAGGGTCATCGGACAGGGAGTTGGTTTCATGCATTGATACGTAGAGCACTGGAAGAGCACTCAGCCAAACTGCCCAGGTTTTTCTGAAAGTTTTGAGTTTAGTGAGTAGGAAGCTAGGCCATTGGGGTTTTTTAGGTGGACTGCACGGCGCTGCACCGCTGAGCTACGCTGTCGCAAGCTCCGACCGCCGGCTTGTAGCATACCTAAGCTTGTAAGCTAATTGTAAGCTTGAAAGCTTATAAGCTAGTTGTGAGCTAAGTTCCCCAATTTAGAAGATAAGCTACGCGGCCATATAAGCTAACTTTTAAAACTCACCCAACATAAGTAGCCGTGAGAAAAACAACGGATCCTTGAGCGATAGAAACTCCAACTAAGAACGGAGTAAAATAATAGGAAACTGCTCCGATTGAGGCTAGGGTATAAATTGGGATGAATGCGATTTCGGGAAGAATTGCTGATCCGGTATTGAAAAGTAGAAAATGGCCGAAGAAGACTGGCAGATAGGACCAGGCGAATGGAGACCAACGCGACCATTCCCAATTTGTGACGTCCTGAAAGTTAGGAAGGTAATTAAGATTATTGGGTAATTAAGGGACATAATTAGTTTAAAAAATGATAAGTCTTTGAAACTTGGTAAAGTTGAAAAATTTGATATCTCAGTTCGACATCATTACAAATCGAAAGTTTAAAATTTGAAGTAAAAATTTAAAGCTAGTCTCTCAAAATTCCAATAATTTTTAAAGTCAAATTTAAATATATTTTCCATGAAAACATTATTTTTGATGGATTACTGTACTTTTTAAGAAAATCCCCCCACCTTCATCATGGGTCCTGTCAAATTTCCAATCACTGGAGGCGTACTCCAAATTCCATAGTCCCCAATGCTCCATTTAAAATCTTGACTGGCTCTGGAAATATTGAAATTATTTTTTTGGAAGTTTCAAAACCACTAACTCTTCTAGAAAGATTCTAGAAAGATTCAGACTTTGAAAATTTTCCAAAATTCGAAAAATTTTAAAACCTACAACTTCTAAAAGATACAGACTGGAATCTTTCGTTTTTCAAAATTTCAACGAAAAAATTCAAAAATACCCAACTCACCTATAAACTCCATACCAGGCATAAGCCATAGTACACACGGTAACAGCAAAACATACTGGAATTTCTTTAAGTGGTGGATACTCAAAAAGTTGGGGTTTCACCCTAGCTGGTGGTTTAGAAGACGTGGAAGCGGTCATAGGAGAGGCTTCTGACTATCCTATAGTTCTTCTTCGTTTCTTTCCCGATCATCCTCTAGAGGATGGAAGGCGAAAGTAGGACATACAGGACATACGCGATGTGTCTGCGCCCTCCTCGCTTTTCGTACTCTCTCGCCTTCCGCAGAATCCGTTTCGTTTTCATCTCCCGATTCTATATGCTAATCCAAGGACGTTCTGGGGGCGGAAAACTGTTGCAAACAGTGATCCGTAAAAGTAAGGGATTCTGGAAGATGGGGAACTTTAATAGATTCTAACAAATTATGGGTTGATAATTGAATTCCGAATATCGAAAATTCGTTCTTTTCAGAAACCAGAAAACGTCAAAGCGAGTGCCTTGAAGGACAATTCAAATGCAACACTGGTCAGTGTATTGAGGATAGTCAAAAGTGTAATCGCAAGTATGATTGTGCTGATGGATCCGATGAAACCACGTGTGGTAAGTTCTACTAAAAGTCATTTTTCTCGGTTCCTGTGAAAATTATCGAAAAGTGTTTAACTGGTAAATTGTTCATGATGAAATCAAAAATATTTTGTCAGTTGAAATGTTTTTGATTTCACAGTAGCCGAGATAAATGTCGTTAAAGTTAACTACCGTAAAACCTGTAAATGAAGCGTCCTCTCTCTCATTGTCAAGTTTGAGCTAGTCCATTTCAAGGGGTGTTCCAAAATATTAAGAATTGCTTCTGTACAGCAATTGCTTAATTATGTGTGTAGTTTAGAATCAAGAGCGTCAGGTACATGGAAAAAGGGACAGAAGAGAGAGAGAATGGGTAATGAAGAGGCTAAAACGGACAATTTGAAAAAAACTTGATCTTGCGATAATTCTCGCGCTATTCTCAATTAACTATGTGTGTGATGATTTATAATTGAGGATGGGAATGTAAAACAATTACCCTCTTAACGTTCAACTTTGAAACTAATTACCTCGGTTCCTGTGAAATATATCCAAAAGTGGTAACCGGAAAAAATGTTACTGAATAAATGATAAACACTTCGTTAGTTTACCACTTTTTGATATCTTTCACAGAAAAGGAGTTATATGGGCTTAAAGTTGACGGTTAGAAGACACTTATCGTAATTACACTAGTAGAATGCCCCTCCAAACTTTGAGCTAATTTATCATAGTTCCTGTAAAAGATATCAAAAATTTGCCAACCGATAAAACATTACAGATAATATGATAAATATTTTGTTAGTTGACCACTTTTTGATACCTTTCACCAGAAATGAAATATATAGGCTCCAAGTTGACGGTTTGGGCGGCGTTCTATAAGAGTGATTACGGTAGTTGCACCCTAACGGTCAACTTTGAGCCGAATTATCTCGGTTCATGTAACAGATACCAACAAGTTGTCAATTGACGAAACATTTTTGACATTATAATAAACATTTTCTCGGTTGATCACTTTTTAATATCTCATTTAGGAACCGAGATATATGGGCTCAAAGTGTACGGTGAAAATACACTTATTTTGTTAGTTAACGTTTCAGTGGCTTTGACCGGAATTGGGATAATTCACCTTACAATTTTTTTTCAGATTACTATCTCGCTGTTCAAAAATACCATGAGCAACAAGAAAGACAAGACTCCCAACCAGCTCCAACCCATGCTCCATCTCACCACCAACAACCACCTCCACCAGCATCCACCGAAGAGCAATCGGACAATCTGGTGTGCAACGATCAAGAGTTCCGTTGCCCATACCTCGCTCAGACCCGCTGCTTCCACTACGACAAACTCTGTGATGGAGTAGATGACTGTGGAGATGGATCAGATGAAACAAACTGTGATTCGAATGAAGATCAGGATCAACCAGCCGCCCCTATCCCGCCACCAGCACCAGCTCCAGCATCTGCAGAGAAGATGAGTGGAAGATGTTCGGAGAGACAATTCGAGTGTAAACGAGATGGAAAATGTATTGATAAGACGTTGGAGTGTAATCATAAGTATGATTGTGAGGATGGTTCAGATGAAACCGAATGTGGTAAGCTTAAAGGGAAATTAGGGAATTAAAAATAAGAACTATTCAGAATACTTCAAAGCAGCAATGGCTCGTCGTGGAGAGTCTTCTACTGTGTCTACTACTACCGAACAGCAACATCACCAGCAACACCATCAGCAACAACACCAAGGACATCATCAACACAATCAAGCTCAGCAACATCCAGCTCAACCCGCTCAACCATCCCACGACGCCCACGAAGAGCACAGACGCCGTCTTGAAGAACACCATCGTCGTGAAGAAGAGCACCGACGTCGTCAAGAAGAAGAATCGCGTGCACGTGCCCATCAACAGAGCCTTCTACACGCAAGTCAAGTGGAGAGTACTGAAGTCACATTCCACGATGAATACGATGGAGACAGTGGTGTCGGATGTTTGGAGCACGAGTTTCAGTGTGCTATTGGAGAGTGTATTGATAAGTGAGTAATGGAAATGTGCTCTATTGCTCTATTGATAATATGACAAACATTTTAACAGTATACACATTTTCAGTATCTCTCATATGAGCCGAGATACTTGAGCTCCAACTTGACAGTGTGGGGGCACTTCTATTACAGGGTTTACGATGCAAAAAAAACGTATCTTTTGGTTGATTTGTACCATTTATAAGAGTCTGGAGCTCAGTTGTCAATCAAGTCTCGGATAACTTTGAAGCTTTTAGAAGTTTTAAAACAGACCTAGATCAAAAACTTTGCATTCACACTATCTTTCAAAAATGTCTAGTTTTTCCGCTATTTGCCCATTCCTGAAAAACAGTACAAAAATGGCAAAGATGAATTCCCCCAAAAAATTTGATTCTGACAAGCTGGGAGCTTCAAAATGAGCCAAAACATGCCAAGATTCGACGATTTTGAATTGAGTCGTGTTTAGTCTCATTTGGAAGCCAAAGACTTCAAAAATCGAGAAGTCTAGTTTTTGGGTTGGTTGGTTCACTTCGAAGCCTGCTTTACACCTTTCAAAATGTTCAAAGTGATCGGAAACTTGACAGCCGAACTCCAGGCTATTGGCTGGAAACTGACGGAAAATTAAATGAAAAATATGTTTCTGTTGACCGGTACTGTAGCTCAGCCGGTAGAGAAGCCAAACCCCTGAAATTTTGTCTATAAGTTCAAGAGACCTCTATTAAAAGACTTCAGAAATACTACTGTACCTTAAAAAATCAAAATTTTCCAGACGCCGCGTTTGCGACACTCGTCCCGATTGTCTCGACGCCTCGGACGAGCAGAACTGTTCGGACCGCGCCCAACCATCGCAACCGGACCATCATCAGCAACATCATGTTGCGCAACCACCACCATCTCTTCCCTCGGCTCCAGTGAACAACTATCCGGGTCAGTTTGCAACACTGAACTTTTGTTCATTTTTAAGTGGGGGTAATCATGAGAAGTGTGCACTTAACGCAGGAGGGTATGTTTGTGTTTGGAAAAGTGGATACCCTATCAGTTGTACGTATTTTGCACTTTTCTCTGAAAGCACCTATTCAGCAGTCTGTTCATTCGACTCAAATACTAAAAAAATGCCTAGGCACTTGGGCCATTATAAATGGCCGAGGACCCGGAAATTTCTGAAAATTTTCAAAATTTCACATCTGGTCATGTTCATACTCATTTTTAAGCCCAAAAAATGAAAAAAATTTAAAAAACAACGTTTCAAGTTTCTAGCTCAAGAATTGGCTGAGTTACAGTCAGAACCATTTTGAACATAAACCCTTCGAAAACTTGAAAATTTCAAATTTCGACAATTTTTATCCTGGTTAGGCTTGTTTTGAAGCTTTTAAGTTTTGAAAATCAACGATATTATTCTTACGCTTCTAGCAAAGAAAAATTAGCTGAGTTACAGCCAAAACAATTTCTTCACGGTACCCGGACCCCTTTCGGAATTTTCAAGTTTTATCGATTTTCGCCGTGTTTAGGCTCATTTTGAAGCTCTCAATTAGCTGAACTCAGGAATTGTGTTTTTGGTAGCTTAAGACTCCAATTTGGAAGATTAGACCATCAAACATTAAAAAATTGCAGTACTTTCCTATCTATCAAGATGATTTAGGTCAAATTCTAAATTTGTGTTCTTGTGAAATCACAAACTAGGAAGTACATTTCTCCGTCTAGATGATGATACTTTTTTCTCTCTCATTTTCGTATCGAAATTTGCTTCTTTTCCTTTCTAAATCAAAATTGAAAAGTGACTCATTTTCAATTTTGATCCTGGCCACTGTATGTCTTGGTTCTTTTTTGACGGGAATTCCAAAATGTTCATCTCTTTTATCTTCATTATCATCAGATCATAATTCTCTTCTCCCCAAATCTCATAAATTACTAAATTTTCTCACTCTCATTTTGCCCCGACAAACCATTTTCTAATTTCCGCTGGTGACCCAGAACGCCCTTTCTCTTCCAATCTGTCTCGTCGAAAATTTGATAAGAAGACGTTCGGTTCTTTTTGGAAGCAAAAAGGAGGAAATTGGAAATGGTTGTGTGCAGAGGGATACTCATACTTCCGGTGGAACGGGGGGAAACAAGTGTTCTAGAAGTTTCCATGGGGTTCGAACTTGCGGGCTAAGGACTGAGCCGACTGAGCTAAGGGGCAGCTCAACTGGTAGAAGCGGAACAGTTCGAACAGTGGACCCGCAAGTTCAACTCTGTCAAGGGGGTTTTGCAGAGAGCCTATTTTCACTTTCCTACACCTTTGAAAAACTAGAAGCTACATTAAAACTTTTAAGACCCAAATTTTGAGCTCAATCATCTCAATTCCTATTAGAGTTATCAAAAAGTGACCAACAAACAAATTGTTGATGATATTATGACAAACATTTTATCAATTGACAATTTTTTGATATCTCTCACAGAAACCAAGATATTTGAGTTCAAATAAAACACCGCATTTGCTCGCCTTTTCAATACTTGAATGTTGAGCTCAATTATCTCGCCTCTTATAAGAGCTATCAAAAAGCGATTAACTAATAAAATGTTTGTCATAATATTAGTAATATTTTGTTAGTTGACAAATTTTCGATATCTTTCACAGGAACCGAGATATTTCAATTCAAAGAAAGCACACTATTTGCTCTTATTGAACGCCTTTTATAGACTTGTACTTTGAATTCAATTATCCTGTATGAGATATATATAATTTATCAAATGATAAAATGTTAATGATGCTACGATAAACATTTTATCAGTTAAAAATGTTTTGATATCTCTGACAACAACCTAGATATTCAAGATAACGTTCAAGTATCGCAAAAGCAAGCAAGTACGGTATTTTCACCTTCTAAATTTTTTTCATATATATTTATTACGACTCCGGGATCCCAAAAACCAGTTGGTCACTCTTCTCCCCCTCTCTGAATCCTCGTGTTGTGTATAAAGGGGTCCGATGTATCTAAACAACAACAACATGAAAAATTGGCTGTCATTGTGTGTAAATGATGACAGGCCTGGAGCAAATGCTATTATGTTTTTTTCTTGCTAGAAAAAATGTGTGTATTGCCCTACGTATGATTCTAGACTATTCCGAAAACTTCCGAAAATCTTTTTACCGATTTTCCCGCAAGTTTCTTCTTTTTCATCGTCTCATACCTAAATACCATTGGATGATAAACATGTCAATAATCGAATCGTCTTCTCCTTCTTCATCAACATCATCATCATATACTTCTTCTTCTTCTTCTTCTTATTTCGATTTCCCACAAACAGTAATGTTTGTGGCCGACGACGACGGGCGGTGTGGAGACGGGGGACCAAAACGAAGCCACGCCCTTTTGATATCTTCTTTTCGTCTTCTTTCTTCGGCTACTGATTACGAATGGACTGCGCAAAGGAGAGAAAAAGGAGAGGAGGCGGGAGATTTTTGCTATGTACAATCGGAACGTATACCACCTCCCTTTTGTTGTCTTCTGCCTCTTTTTCGATTGATATATTACTTGATTTAGTACTCTCTCCCTTCTTCTTGTTTGACACCTTTTTATGATGTTGAAGCTACTTTCGTTTTTCTGTACAGTATAAGCGTTCAGGCTAATAATCTTAGCTGTAGGCCTTTAAAGCTTACTTTCTACCGTACCTCTTTTTTAGAATTATGAGATTCTGAAATTCTGAGATTCTATGATTATATGATTCTAAGATTCTAAGGTTTTAGGATTTTGAGATTCTGAGATTCAGAAATTTCAATTAGCCAAGATTCTGAGTATTCAAAGTTCTTGTGAACTCTAGTTAAAAATGTTAAAATTCCAATTCCAAAAATGAGAAAATCATCGAATACCAAAAATTCAATATTTTGAACGTTTTGCGAGAATTTCGAATTTTTCAATTTTTCAGAATTTTGTGTAGATGTCAAAAAATTTTTAGGTTTTTGATTTTTCGGATTTATGAAATTCCTGGGCTTCTTTTTTCAAAGATCTGAACAATTTTGAAAACCCAGAAAAAAATAATTATATACTTTTCTTGGTATACATAAAATGTTAATCTAGGTGTCCCTTAAACTTAAAATTTCCAGCTTTTCCAATTTCAGCGTTTCGAATCTCCAAAATTCATAACTTCCATAGTTCCCCTCGCAGCCCGTACCATTTTGTACCTATCACATTATCATTTCTTTCCCCCGGCGGAAAAATAATTTGTTTTTCGTAATACACAAATGATATTTTTCTCTATCCCTCTCTCCGATCAATCTCCCAATGTGTTCGCAAGATTTTCATTTTTTGCAAACATTTTCTTCTAATTTCCGTTTTTCCAAAACTTCTATGTGTTCTTATTCATTCTTCATTATCATTAAACTTCGAAATTTGAAAATTTGGGCATCTTCTCGATAACCGATAATTAATAAGGGGGAGAGGAAACTAGGACATATGTAATAATGACGAGAATAAGTGATAATGCGAGATGAGAGGGACACCCTTTGATTCTTATCTTTGTGGTTTCATCTCTTCTAAAAGGTTCTCTTCTGATGAGGAGGGGGACATATCTACCATATATGCCGCCTTTATACGAAAAAAAAACAAAGAAAAGGGAAAGTGTGAGATTTCGAGAGTTTGAGATTCTAAGATGCTCAGAATCCAACATTCTAAGGTTTCAAGATTCTAAGATTCCAAAATTCTAAGATTCGAAGATTCTAAGATTCTAGAATTTCGAAATCCGGGCATTTGGATATTCTAGAACTCAGAAATTCTTAAATTCCCATATTCTGAAGTTCTGAACTTCTGGAGCATTTTGCCAAAAACGAGAATTCCAGGATCTCCCAGAGATCCCAGAAAATAACTTTTTTTTTCCAAAGTTTTTGAAATTCTTGGGACCTCAAATTTCAAAAATTGAGAGAATCATCAAATACCGAAAACTTGACATTCTGAACGATTTCTAAGGAGTTCGAATTTTCCGAATTTTCAGAGTTTTGTAAAGTTGTCAAAATATTATAAGATTTCGGAATTTTTCGAATTTCTGAAATGTTTGAATTGTCAGAATCTGAACTCTCAGAAAACTTGAAATTTCTTTCAAACTTGAAATTTTTTCTCTAAGATTTTGGATTTCTAAAATACTAAAGCACACCGATTTTTTTTCAGAATCTCAAAAATCCAAAAAAATCCAAAATTCAAGGCATCTGGAACTTTCTGAAACTCGAACTTTCATTTTTTAAAATTTTCTAAATATACAGGATATTTTAAAATCTCAGGTGTCGTTAGATAACTTTCGAATTTTTGAAACTTCTGTATTTTTGAACGCTCTTCTGAACTTCTGTACCCCAAATATCACAAATCCATCATTTTTGAACACATTTTTGACACTTCTAGGTGTCAAAAATCTCACTTTGAACGCAAAATTTTCTGAAACCTAACACTAGTAACAGATAACAAGAAAAGCAAAGTAAAAAAGAGAGGGGTTCTTCTCAACAAAAAAAAAATCATTGAGATAATGCACACGAAAAAAGTTGACATGATGAAGAACAACAAAAGTGTAAAGCGAGAGATGAATAGTGAAGAGAGACGCAGAGAAAAAGGATAGGGGATAGAGATACAAACTCATTTTTTCGTAAGAAAATCAGAGAGAAAAAGTTTGTTGCTCATTTTTGGTTTTGATACATATCATGCTTAATTCTCCCTGGAGAATATTTGTCCATTTTCGGACCGGATGGACATCTGTCTCTTGTTCTCTGTTATGACTTTTCCCCATAAATATGCCTTGTGTTGTCCTTCTTGTTCTTTGTTGTTCATCATTTTGATTTAGGAAAGAGAAGAGAAAGTTTTTAGTTTTGTTGATTTACGGACCTTTGAGAATCTAAGATTTTGAGGTTCTGAAAAATTCTGAAATTTCAAGGATCTAACAATAGAAGTCTGGCGGTATAAATCTCTAAGTTCTTAAGGAATTGTGGATTTTGAGATTTCGAAAATTTGATAGAGATTACGAATTTCTAAAATTCTAAAATTCTGTGCTCCTAAGGTTCTGAAGGGCTCAAATGTTTTAAGATTATAAGATTTTGAGACATTGGGATCCCAGATTTGGAATTTTTAAAACTTTAGAAAATGATAATTTTTAATTAATAAGAATTCAGAAATATCAAAAGACCTTTGAAAGAATATATCTGGAACTTTTTTCAGAGTTTCAAGAATTCCAAAATTTCGAAAATTTTTGATTCCGAAATGCGGGATATTCAAATTCCAGATTTCCAAGCTTGCCGAAAATTCAAGCTCTAGAATTCTGAAATTGGGAGGTTCAGAGATTCTGAGATTCTAAAGTCAATATCTCGGATTTCAGATTTTTAGAACCTCAACAATATTATAATTTTCAAAATTCAGAACCAACTGATTCGAAATTTTGAACTCTCCGGTACCTTCGAATGTTACTACAATATATGGCAGAATTTTAGAATTAGAGTTTAAGATTCTAAAATTTTATTTTCTCGAAACTTCTTGACCACCACTTTTTTCCATCCCCTTCGGTCAATCAAAAATGGCAATATAATCATGATCATCTGCCGTCGCCGCAGAATGGGTGTTGCTTTTCTTCTTCTTCTATAAAAGAAAAGAGTCATTTTGACATTTATAACCGCTTCAATAATTTTCGGCATTTTGATTTGATTATCAGGTCTCTCTGTCTTTTCGAGGAGGGGACCGGTTCAAAAGTTTCAATCGTTTGAACCGTCGGTTTTCACGATTTTCAATTCTCTTCGTATAGCTCATTTTTTGTGACTCATAAAATTTTGAACAATGGGATAGGTGGAGCTTAATGTTCGATTCCTGTCGAAAGTCATTAGTCAAAAAGTGTGCAGATTTTTATGAGTCATCGTTTAAAAAATGGCCTATAAAATGGATCCATGAGATGGAGTATATTTCAGATATATAGCTTCTCGTAAATCTACCCAAAGACTTTAAGCCAAGTTAAGAAGTGGTCTACTAAAAAAATGTTTATCATAATACCAAAAACATTTTATCATTTTTCACTTTTTGATACCGCTCACAGAAACCTAGATAAATTGGATGAAAGTTAGGGTCCTTTAATAGCGCCCGTTTTGGCTGTAAATGTTAACCCAATTTTTCTGGTTACCTGTAAAAGATATCAAAAAGTTGTCAACAGACCAAATGTTTATCATCATATCACCAATATTTTATCAGTTCATCACTTTTTGATACCTCTTCCAAAACCCGAGATAAATTGGATCAAAGTTTGGGTCCCAAGTTTTGAACCAAAATACATCTGACCAAAATTAGGGAATAAATTCAAATCTCTCAAAACCTTCATATTTTACCCATTACCATCCATCTCCTTCTTCGTCATCTCCATTTTCAATCATTTTATAAATCACCTTCACTTCCAAATCATCCCATATAAGACACTTCTCCCTCCCCGGTTTCCGCAAAGGAGACGGTTCAGTGATCAATTACCATTATCATATCACCTTTTCTTTCAAATCGCAAGCCACGCCCTTTCCCCTTTTTTGTGGAATTCTTAATTTCGGGGTTTCTAGGTCATTCCGAGTACATTTTCGGAACGTCTAGGAGAGAGCGCAGAGAAGCTAGACAGTCTGTTATCTCTGCCGTGTCTTCTTGGTAACCCACCCATCAACTTTCACCCCAATGTTTCTGTTTTATCAACAACTACTCCTCCCCTGTTTCCTTTCATCTTAGATCTCTCACGAAACTCTTTCTCTCAACCGCAGAACATGACTTTTCTCCGATCATCTTGAAATATCTTCGTTTTTTTCTCATAGGCCCCCTCATCTCTCTCTCTCTCTGGGAGCAAAACGAGTAGTAGTGTCACTTGCTGATTGGCAACGTCGCAACAAGTGCCACCTTTTCCTTTGTTTTTTTTTGTCGTCCACTGATCCTGATCTACAAATTTTAAGCTACCTTTTGCAGTTTCTATAAAAGCAACAATTCCACGACTTGATTTCCGCATAGTTAGGCTTGGAATAAAAAGCAAAAGAAAATTTGCGAGGAATTGAACCTGGGACCTTTTGGGCAGTAGTCTACGATCTTACCAGTTGCGCCATCCTAGAAGGCAGTAAAGAGATAGGCGGCGCGTGGCTCGTTATGTCCGCCGACGCCGGTGGTAGTCGCCGTTCGCCCGTGCGCACATGGCCTAATGGCTGAAACGTTTGTCTATGGAGCGAAGACCCATAAGTTCGATTCCCCACCTCTTCCACTATCTTTTTATTTCTTCGACAAGGAAAAATCACTAGTTCGGAATACATTGGAAGTCCCTTTAAAGACATTTTTAGATTCCAATATGACTTTTTTTGGGTGGAGTAGGTGTTTTCTAGAAACCCATCATCCCCTTGTGTCCAAAAATCGGTAGTTTTCACAAAACGACTGTTGCTGCTGCTAACCGCAACCAGCCAGCCACACCCATCTCCTTCTTCTTCTTCTTCTCCTTTTTTTCATCATTTTCTTCAGATTCTGAATTCCATTTGGTTGGGCTGGCTAACCCCGGTTTCTTCTCTTTTCTTCATTTCATTTCTATTCGTTTCACATATCACTTTCTCCATTTTTTTTTGCCCGCTGAGACTGTATTTCGGGAAATCTTTAAGTTTTTTGGCTTTGGCAATGCAATGGAAAAATGATGTGTCGATCAATCTTGTTCCACTTCCTGTGTCCATTTGTTCTGCTTTCTACTAGACTCCTCTCATCTATCAACACAAAAAAAAATTTTTGCACATGGAGAGACTGGTCTTTTTGTGTTTGGTAGGGGAAGAAAAATAGGTACCACATGTTGGTATAGTTTCCGATGACCAGCATTCTGAGGTTTCAAGTTCCTATGGTCAGTCATAAACCTAGCTCGAGGTCTATTGAAAAACGTTAGTCACCTTGATCATAACGCTACACTTTACTTGGGCGCAATTATCTCAGTTCCCATAAAAGATATCAAAAAGTGATCAACTAATGAAATTTTAGTTATATTAAGTCAAACATTTTACTAGTTGACACATTTTTTATATCTCTTAGAGCAACCGAGATAATTGATTGAGCTCAAAGACGCTTATCACTCATCTTATAAACTTCAAACATGGGTCATTTCTAAACTCTTCCAACTCTTCTCCACTCAATGCAGTTTGATTACTACTGGCCAGTTTTTGAAAATTCTGAAATTTTTAAGATTCTAAGTTTTGAAGTTTCCAAGGTTAGTCATAAAGTTAGTTGCAAGTCTTTGGAAAAACGTTAGTCACCGTAATTCGAACGCTTTATGCTACCTTATGTTTCAGCTTATTTATCCCAGTGTCCGTAAGAAGTATCCAAAAGGGATCAACTAACAAAATATAGGTTAAATTACGACAAACATTTTATCAGTTGACAAACGTTTGATATCTCTTTAAGAAACCGAGATAATTGAACTCAAAGTGGGTTAGTCATAATCTACCTCCCCCTCCACCCAAATTTCGGCCGTATCAAAAAATAACGTTTTGTGTTTTATTTCATTTACACACCCCCCCCCCCTCTTTGTTGTTTTATTTACCCACCACATAGTTTCTTTTTTCCGAACTTTTTCCTCCCTCTAACGGTTAGAGTCTAACCGACCCGTTGGCATGTTCGAGTTCAAGTGGTTTGGGGTTAAAACTTTGTAAAAACTTTTGCTACCCCCTCTAAAAGATGCTTCTAAGTGCAAAGATAGATTGCGTAGGATCTCAACCATCTCGGAAATTTTTGTTTGATTTTCGCACAGAAAGTGCCAAGTTCGCACGATCCGACTGGATTTCGATCATCAGGGATCGCTTACAGTAAGCAAAAAAGCAAAAAAAGTTTGAGCTGCTCAGGAACTGAACCCGTGACCATTTGCACGCCAGGCAGACTCCTTACCGGTTGAGCTACAGGGGTGCAAGAGTCACGCAAGCTCTCATGTGTGGCATCCGAGGAAGTCGCGTTTATCACCGTCTTTTGAGGCGCCGCCGCTCTTTTGCTCGTTTGGCGCAACTGGTAAGACCCTTGACAACTGTTCTAGAGATCCCAGGTTCAATTCCTCGCAAGTTAAATTTTCTTTTGCTTTTTTTACCGAGCATATCTATGCCAAAAGCAAGTAATTTAGAAATCAAGGGACGCTGTTTCAAAAAAATTGGGAAACCCAATTATCCCGTTAGCGCTCCTGGCTATACGTTTCCACTTTCCTCCTCCCGTTCCACATTACGTTTAAAATTACGTCTCATCGATCATTCTGTGAATCCTGAATCATCCAGAACCCAATTTTTTGTTTCCTATGTGAATTTTTTTCTTGCTTCTAGGAGAAGGGGGAAATCCAGATGGCTGCTGCTTCTTCTTTTATTCATTTCTCTATCCCAAAAGAACCAAATCAAACACATTTCGGGACCAGATTGTGTGTGAATTTTTCATTTTAAGTATCGTCGCGGCAACATGAGCCAGATGCCCAGGGATTCATGGAAATTCGAAGATTTTGAAAATATGAAATTTTCCTCCTAGTTTTTCTTCTTCTCTAGAGTTGTAAAATCAACAAACTGTCTTCCTTTCCCACTCGAAAAGTTTCGTTTGTATCTCTAAACCTCTCATGCTCCACGGAGCAAGTGGAGCAAACCTTCTCTTATCAGCGAGACCGTTTTATTACCCATCGCGGCAGGTTTTGTTTTTTTAAAAGAATTTTGAAATTTCGAAAATCTCAGAATTCCAAGGTAAAGTCTCCCGTTGTTTTTGGATTACTGTAACTCTCTTCTATCCAATCAGTTTTTTCATTATCAAACTGAACCGCCATTCATCTCTTTTTTTTTCAATTTCCCATCTTCTAGAATACCCAAGGTCATAAAACTTTGTATGTTGTCTTTCTCCCCCCAGAAATTGTTTTCTTCGTTTTCTAATTTCGGGGTTATATAATCTTTTTACGGGGCGTTTTGGGGGTGTGGTGAGAGAAGAGCATTCCAATTTCGAATTGCACTTTTGACAGAATTTCTAGAATTAAAATTGAAATTTCAATGTTCAAAGGCTCATACCATACTTACACTTTGAGCCAATTTATCTCGGTACCCGTAAAAGATATCAAAAAGTGGTCATCTAATAAAATGTTTGTTATTTTATAATATACAATTTGTTAGATGACTACTTTTTAATATCTTTTACAGGAACCGAGATACATAGGTTCAAAGTTAGCTGTTAGGGTGGCGTTCTATTAGGGTGTTCACGGTAGCTTTGATCCATTAGACATTTAGACTTTAAAAAAGTTTAAGTTGTCCAAATATACTAACTCTTTATATATGATTTTCTCCAAATAGAGACACAGAGAAACGAGACAGTCTCCCTTCTCTGGCTTATACATTGGCTCAAAGTTAGAGCTCCTGATTTTGCTTACCAATACTTCAATTTTTGATTCTTTTTTCTTCCGTAAACCGTTAAATCGTTGCTAAACTCTTCTCTATTCATAAAATCTCCAGGGTCCATCCAAACACAAACCTACCCCCCTATCCACAAATCCACGATCTCTGCCTCTTCTTTGGATTTCTCAAAACGAGAGATACGATGAAGAGCCGGTCGTCGACTGTGGTGGTGGCGCTTCTGGCGCTGCTGTTAGCCGGCAACACCGACGCGGCACGTCACCGCAAGTATAGACAGACTTGTAAGTTTTTTGAAAATCTAGTCGGATTTCAAAACAGTCAAGTTTGACCCGAGTTAGGGCCTTTTGAAGGTACAGAATCAGAACTTCAAAAAGGCGCAGCCACATTTTTAGCTATAAAACTGTATACCTAACCTTCACCCAATTTTCAGACCAAGACATCGACTCATCCGACGAGACCTCAGACGTTCAAATCACCGTCTTCCCATCCGAAAAGGAAGTCCGCGACGGACGTGACGTCTCCTTCGAATGCCGTGCTCGCACATCTGACAACTCTGTGTACCCAACTGTCCGATGGGCTCGTGTCGGTGGACCACTTCCATCGTCCGCTCACGATTCTGGAGGTCGTTTGACCATCAATCCAGTCTCACTGTCGGATGCCGGAACCTATATTTGTGTGTCGGATTACAATGGACAAACTGTTGAGGCTAGAGCTACACTCAACGTTGTCTCATGTAAGTGAAAATATAAAAAAGATATCCTCTAACGAAATGTGAAAATTTTGATGATAGACCGTTCCGAGTCATAGAAACTTTTAACAACATTTCGGGTAGTACCCACGACCAGTTTTTGACCTATTCACATTCCAGATGGACCCCAAGAAGTGTCGAACTCGAACGTACTCCGCCAGTCTGGTCAATGTATGGCCGACGAGAAGGCGTGCGGAAACAACGAATGCGTCAAGAACGACTACGTGTGCGACGGTGAGCCTGATTGCCGCGATCGATCCGACGAGGCGAACTGCCCGGCAATGTCGAGAACCTGCGAGCCGAACGAGTTCAAGTGTAACAACAACAAGTGTGTGCAGAAGATGTGGCTTTGCGATGGTGATGACGATTGTGGAGACAATTCTGATGAGCTTAACTGCAGTGAGTTTTTTTTCTTTAAGTTAAGGGTAATCTTAATATAACTAGCACAGGCTGCGCCTGATGATAAGCCTAGAGTCTTGAGAGTCTACAGTAATCACTACCGTAAGTTCTCTAATAGAAAGTATTCCTGTACTTGCAGTTCGAGCTCAATTATCTCGATTTCTGTAAGAGATATCAAAAACTAGTCAACTGATAAAATATTGGAAATATTATGACAAATATTTTATCAGTTGAAAAAATTTCAACATCTCTCACAGAAGTTAAGATAATTGAGCTCAATGTTTTTGGTGGCTTCTCGTTCTAAGGTTAGAAACTTTGGAACATTTAGTAGTAAGCACCTATTATTATGGACCATCGGCGTCAGTATGCGGTCCTTTAGTTAACGCTAAGGTGAGGGCCGTGGACCAGAGCTACGCCGTCGTAGCCGGCGTGTGTCGTAAGATGAAATGAATGAAACTGATCAATTCTACTCGGATCTCTCCTTGAAGCGTCTCTTAATATTTAAGACGAGAATTCTTGCTATCTGAAAACACTAAACATTCCAGACGCCAAACCAAGCGACAACGGGTGCAAACCAACCGAATTCCAATGCCACGATCGCCGTCAATGCGTTCCATCCTCTTTCCACTGCGACGGAACCAACGATTGTCATGATGGTTCTGATGAGGTCGGATGTGTTCAACCAACTGTCGTCGATCCACCACAAACCAATCTTCAAGTGCCACGTGGATCCACCTTCTCGCTGACCTGCAAAGCTGTCGCCGTTCCAGAGCCATACATCAATTGGCGTTTGAATTGGGGACCGGTTTGTGAGCCACCAAGATGTCTGCAAACTTCGGAAGGAGGATACGGAACGTTGACTATCCATGATGCTCAGTGAGTTTTTAAATTTGAATTCTGTGTTTTAAGAAACCGGGGAATCTCAAAATTCCAAAGTTTAAGGAGCTAGGAAAATCACCAGAATCAAACAATTTACAATTTTGTGAAATTCTGTTTTTGTGAGATTTTGAGAAGATTTTCATAGATTTCGAAAATTAGATTCCCAGAATCTCAAAATCTCAGAATCTTAGAATTTTATGATCTCGGTCATTAAAATCTCAGAATTTTTCAATTTCAGAATCTAAAAGTCTGAAAATCTTTAAATCCTAAAATCCCAAGTTCGGGAAATCTTTTTAACTCCGAAAAAATCCGAAACTTGTCAAATTCTCGTAATCTCAATTTTCAAATCTGAAAAACTGAAAGTTTTCGAAACCTAAAATCCTAAAAATCGTTTTTTTTTTGAGATTTTTGAAGTTCAAAATGCTTCAAATGTTCCCTGTACTTGGACCACTTATAAGTAACCGGGTTCTTCTAGAAGTCTTCCTCGCCCTTAAATGCTTTGTCACAAGTACCCCAGATTACTTTAGCTTCATATCAACAGTTCAAAGCCTCTATAGCATATTATCTTTGTGTCTCCTCCCAAAAAAAAGTTTTCATTGTAAAAAAGCCAATTGGTCGTGTAAATTTACGACCTTCATCATTAGTTTTCATTCATTTCGCAGAATAGGCCAATAGTTGTCGTTTATTATATCTTTTGGGGGCAATTGATAGCATTTTCTCACAATCAGTCAGTTCAGCTATCTCTTCTGTTTCTTATCATTATTGAGAGAGAGAGAGAGAAGAGAGAGAGAGAGAGAGAGAGAGAGAGAGAGAGAGAGAGAGAGAGAAAGAGAGAGGAGAATGGCTTGCTTCAGAGAAGAACCGGTTCGTGTAAATACACACATTTTACACAATTTTCAATCAAAAATTCTCCATTTTTTTCATCATTTATGAATTAGAAGAAATAAGAAAAAGATATAAACACATTGGGTGGCGGCGGTGTTGATGATGAAGAAAATAAATTGGAATTTAATTGATAAGCCCAATCAAGAGGAAAATTGATAAATATGAGGAATTGGATATGTGATAATTGATAATTGGAGGGGTCGGGAATTTTTGGATTTTCATGGACTTTTGGATTTTTCTGAAAATTTTAATTTTTGAGATTCTAATAGTAAGACTTTAATATTTTGAGAATCTCAGATCCTAAGATTTCAAGATTCGCAGATTCTTAGATTCATGTATACTGAAGTTTTGAGTGTCTAAAATTCTAAGATTCTAAGATTCTGCAATTTTAGGATTCTGAACTTTGAGAAGTCGTGTTTTCGAAAATTCTGAGACTCGGAACAATGCTCCTATCGTAAATATCTCCTCCAATTCCAGACCAGTCGACCAGGGAGCCTACACCTGCGAGGCCATCAACGTCAAGGGACGCGTCCTCGCCACTCCAGACTGCATCGTTCGTGTCGTCGACGAGCAGCCACGTCCACAACCACCACCAACCGCTCCACCACAAAGAGCCACGTGCGACACCCGTGGAGCCGTGAGCCCATATCCAAACAACTACGGATCGTGCGATTGCAAGTCTCAAGTCACCGGACCAAACTGCGATCAATGCAAGCCAGGCGCATTCCATTTGTCGGAGAAGAGTCCAGAAGGATGCTTGAAATGCTTCTGTTTCGGAGTTTCCAATGACTGCAGAAGCAGTGGATACTACAGAACCAAGGTTAGTTTGAGAAGAAGTGAAAACTAAGCAGTTGTTTATGAGGTTGCGGTAGCTTTGTTTTAAAGGATCATAACTCGCTTCAAACTTGTCATTTTCAAAAATCCAATTAAAGAGATGTAGATAGTAAAAATATCTACAAAGTGGTATAAAACACGATCGAAAGTAGTGATGTTGTATATTATTTTGAAGCCCTTGTAAATTTCTATAGAGCAAAATTTAGATAATTCAATTTCGTTGAGTGTGAAGCGGGTTATAGGAGTATTAAGAAAATAGTTTGAAAACATGATCCTTGTCGGATGGTATATGTGACCTCTACAAAATATATATTGTCCAATGTGAACTGTCCAATGTGTCGTTCTTATAAATCAACGCTTATATTCCACATATCTCTTTTCAGGACGCCGCTTGTGTAAGTGTTTGTCTCCGTCTTCTGTCCAATGTCAAGTTTCTTTTTTATTTCTGTTGAAACCTTTTTGTTCCCCTACTAATCAACTCTTTTAGTTGATAATCTTATTTGCATGCTAAGCTTCCTGGAATCCTGCATCCCGAATGTTCCTAAAAAGAAGATTCTCGAAAAAAAATGAAATTGGTTCAGGACCGTCTTATGTTCGCCGGAGACGCTGAAGGAGTCACCATGTCGGATATCGAAGAGCGCTCGATTGATCGTAACGCACCATACTCTTTCTTCAAGACTGGTTACCTAACATTCGATGGAACCACAGATGGAGTCACTAAATACTGGAGACTTCCACAACGATTCCTCGGAGACAAGGTCACCGCGTATGGTGGAAAGATGGAATTCGAAATCGAGTTCGCCGGACAAGGATCGCATTCTTCAGAGCCAATGGTTGTTCTGAAGGGTAACCAGAACATCCTTGTCCATCGTGTCCGTAACCAGGAGCATGTTCTCCGATCGGATTCTCCTGTTAGAATCACAGTGGAGACTTACGAGACAAACTATGAACAATTAAATGGAGCAGCTGCCACTAGAGAGGATCTCTTGATGGTTCTTGCTGACTTGGATGCTTTCTTGATTCGAGCGACCCATGTTGCTCATCAATCCTCCACTAGCTTGGGAGACGTCTCCTGGGAGATCGCTGTCGATCGTTACACCCCAGACGGTCTTGCTCTCGAGGTTGAGCAGTGTGTGTGCCCACCTGGATACCTTGGTACGTCTTGCGAGGATTGTGCTCCAGGATACGAGCGTAGCGGTCATGGACCATACCTCGGAACTTGTGTGCCAATTCAACCAAGACACCAACAATGTGGTCCAGGAGCATTGGCTCCAACCGCTCCAGCTCAAGGCCAGTGTCAATGTAAGGCATCAGTGATCGGACCAAATTGCGATCGGTGCGCTCCAAACTCGTTCGGACTCGCGCCAGCTAACCCACAAGGATGTATTCCATGCTTCTGCTCAGGTGTCACTCAACAGTGTTCTGCATCGAACTACCGAAGAACTAGCGTGAGTTATATAAAGCACATTCAGCACTTAATGAGAATTAGTTCATTTTTTGTGTAACCAACAATCAAAAAATTTCGAAAAACGTTCTTTATCACTCCAAAATTCAACTTGCACTTTAGGTATTAGTTCATTCTTGTGTAACCAACAATCATCAAAAACTATATAATCTCTATATAATCCGATCAATTTTCCTTCTAACAACATCTCACACCAAACCGTTCCAGGTCTCCATCGACTATGCACGTGGGGATCGTGATCAACTCGAGCTCACCACATCCGACTCTCGTCAGCCATTCTCGCCACAAACCCGCGCTCACGTCTCCGGACAAGCCATCGAGTTCAGAAGCTTCGAGGAGGCACGTGGACAAACTTTGTACTGGAAACTTCCAGAGAAGTTCCTTGGAGACAAGGTCACCGCTTATGGAGGTGTCTTGAAGTACACGTTCAAGTTCTCGGGATCCGGAAGCACCGATCAGTCGGCTGATGTTATTTTGAGAGTGAGTTGCTAGCGAAAACGGAAAATAAAACGAAATTCGGCGGTTTTTTTCAGGGAAACGACATTGCTCTTCAATACAAGCACAGAGAGCCATTCCATCCAGATAGAGAGAACAATGTGGAGATCAAGATCTTTGAGACCAGGTGAGTTTGGGAAGGTTTTGAAAGCGGTCTTTTCTGATTGGTTTATTTTTGGGATTGGCGCTGGGGATGGCAGCCCTATTGGTCCTGTAAAACGTAAAATTCTTAATTTCCTAGGTTATAGAATTTGCCAATTAACTTACTAATTTTTCCAGCTGGCAACGCGTCGATGGTCAACAAGCCACCCGTGAACATCTTCTCATGACCCTTGCCGATCTCGACACTCTTCTCATCAAATCCACCTACAACGACGATTGCACCGATTCTCAACTCATCTCCGTCAACTTTGAGTACGCCGAGCCATATGGTCAAGGACTCACCGCCGCTGAAGTCGAACAATGTATCTGCCCACCAGGATACGTCGGAACTTCCTGCGAAGACTGCGCCCCAGGATACTCGCGTACCGGAGGAGGTCTCTACCTCGGACTCTGCGAGAAATGCGAATGCAATGGACACGCTAGCCAATGTGACAAGGAATACGGATATTGTTTGGATTGCCAGCACAACACCGAAGGTGACCAATGCGAGAGATGCAAGCCAGGATTCGTTGGAGATGCCAGACGAGGAACACCAAATGATTGTCAACCAGAAGCCACGCGTGCTCCATGCCACTGTAACAACCACTCGCCAAGAGGATGTGACTCGTTTGGACGGTGCTTGTTGTGCGAGCATAACACTGAAGGAACACATTGCGAGAGATGTAAGAAGGGATATTATGGAGATGCCACCAAGGGATCACCATACGATTGTACACCATGCCCATGCCCGTGAGTTTTTCTTTTCCCAGGCAGCTATGGGGCTGAAAATTCATTTCGCGTATCTCATCCGATTCAAGTGGTGCGATATCAGGAAATTTGAATTCTGAGAGAACTCCCAACTCCACAAACATCTTTCAGAGGAGCCTCGGACTGCTATCTCGACAACGAGGGACAAGTCGCTTGCCGCATCTGCCCAGCCGGTCTTGAAGGACGTCTGTGCAACGAGTGCGCTCCAGGATACACGCGCTCCAACAAACCAGCCGGGCGTGTTTGCGAACCCATCGGACAAGTCACCAACGAGGACATCACCTTCGTTCAGAAGCCACATGAAGGTGATTTCGCGAGACATTCAGTTGCTCACTCTTCATCAGCAAACACCCATCAGAACACGAATTCGTCGTCACAACGTCGTCATCGACGGCGACGAATTCGTGTTCGGTCTCGTTTCTATCATCAGTAGATCAATCATTTTTGATCTACTGTTTCGATCTAGAAGCCAAATTACTCATTGTGTTTGCGTGTGTTTTCAATGTTTCCGTTCCGTGTTTGTTTGTTTGTATCATGTCCCAAGTGAAAATCGTAAGAAAAAACCAAAAAAAGAAGAACACATCTATCCTATCATATCCTTTCCCCCCAGAAAAAAACTGCCGCAATCACTTGATCCGTTTCGCTTAAATTCTGATTTCAATGTTTTCATTCTGTCTATCCAATTGTCGTTGTTTCATCACTCCCCAGAAATATCTATCTCACTGCCACATAATAACAAAAAAATAAGAGAAGCAATAATCAATAAATCATATTCAATGTAAACGTCTATATCTGTGTCGTCGTCTAAAAAATGTGCTCATCGTCATCGTGTCCAATTACAATCGATGAATCGATTGATTGAAAACCTAAAACAAAAACTTTAGTTCGATTTGCAGTTCTTTATTTTTTGAGTTCTATCTAATCCACAGTCTTTTCTTCTCTCAGTATTACGAGTCAGGATTATGGAGCCGAAACGACAGATTGCTCATCCCGGCGATCGTGTGCATTGGATTTGTCAAGTTTCTGGATTTACGGTAATTAAGTGCAATTAACAAAGAGTTATATAATTATGGTTGAATTTGAAGGTGTTCGATTGGGGTTTTTAAGTTTACTGTTCTTAAAAATCCGGAAATTCTGAAATTTTTAGATTTTCAGATTTTCAGAGTCTGAGATTCTGATATTTTGGTAGTATCAGAACTTTATGATTTATCGAGATCTCCGATTTCAGATTTTTGTTTTTAAAATTAAAGGAGACCAGACATCAAAAAAAAAGTTTTCCTGATATTTTGCATAGAGAACCCCCATGAGGGGTTGAACTCATGACAGGCAGCTCAGGGGTACAGCGCCACTGTCCCCCGAAATTTTTGCTGTCTCGCCTCCTTTAAAAACTATTTTTGAGTTTTCGGATTTTTCGAATTTATATGATTCTCGGATTTTCTCCAAGTTGGATTTTTCGATTTTTTGTGAATTTTTTGAATTTCTCGAACTTTTTAAAAATTAGGTCATGACCTCGAAAAAATTAGGTCATGACCTAGAAAAAATTGGCTCATGACCTAGAAAATTGGGTCGTGACCTAGAAAAAATTCGGTCGTGACCTAGAAAAAATTAGGTCATGACCTAGAAAAAATTAGATCATGACCTAGAAAAAATTCGGTCGTGACCTAGAAAAAATTAGGTCATGACCTAGAAAAAATTGGCTCATGACCTAGAAAATTGGGTCGTGACCTAGAAAAAATTGGGTCGTGACCTAGAAAAAATTAGGTCATGACCTAGAAAAAATTAGATCATGACCTAGAAAAAATTCGGTCGTGACCTAGAAAAAATTAGGTCATGACCTAGAAAAAATTGGCTCATGACCTAGAAAATTGGGTCGTGACCTAGAAAAAATTAGATCATGACCTAGAAAAAATTAGGTCATGACCTAGAAAAATTGGGTCATGACCTAGAAAATTGGGTTGTGACTTAGAAAAAATTGGGTCGTAACCTAGAAATCCCAATGAACCTTCAAAACACCCATACCAACTTCTGAATCTTTTTTCTTTTTTTTCCAAACCAACTAAAATTTAACCCTCTCCTTCGTTTTCTTTTTGTTTGAGTTTCCATAACATTTTCAGACGGAGAAAATCCACGTAGAATGGACGAAAGTCGGTGAAGTGAGCCTTCCATCGAACGCCAAGGCCTATGACGGGTATTTGGTATTAGAAGGCGTCGAGCGGGAGCACGCCGGACAGTATAGGTGTACGGCGACAACGATAACACAGTATGCAACGGATGACGCATTGCTAACCGTTTCCAAGAAAATAAGTTTGTGGTTTTCGACCAATTTTCGTAGTTTTTCGCTGAATGTGCAATTTTTCGGTTTCCTTAACTTTCTAACATTAATCGTTACCCTTTCAATAGCAGTTTGATTTACTATTAGACCCAACGTTGACCTCATTTTATCCCGATTCCTGTGGAAGATATCAAAACAATGTAAACTAAAAAAATGTTGATGATAATATGACAAACATTTTATTAGTTAACAGATTTCTGATATCTCTAATGAGGAGCGAGATAAGTGAGCTCGAAGTATAAGGTGGCGGTGAACCGACCCAACCCGACTACGACATGGGCCGGCGCATAACTCGGTTCAAACTTGGAATTTTTGAGCGAGATAAAAAGTAAATTATAGAACGTTTCAAGAGCTACAATTTTTTAATAAATTCGATTTTATTTGAATTTTGAGTCTTAAACCACAGACCGAAAAGGTTCCAAGCCGACAAATTCAACCTTGGCAGATGGTGCCCCAATTTGGCGGTTTAGCCATTTGACGGCTTCTGACTCAAAACTTAAATATTGATTACATTTGAATTACGTATCATTTTGTAGATCTTGTTCAGTTCTAAATTTTACTTTTTGATTCAAGATGAACTTCTGAGTTTGAGCCAAGTTATGAGTCGATCCGATATCGACCCGGACAAAAAGAATCATACCTTTAGTGGTAATATTCCAAAAAACCAACTCCCCCTTTCCTTGTTGTTTGAGATTTAATAAGCATGATTTGGAATGATTCCTAACCATCCTTGCAGGCGGTCGTCCACCACAACCAGTCATCGATCCACCACATCTCGTCGTCAACGAAGGCGAACCAGCCGCTTTCCGTTGTTGGGTTCCAGGAATTCCGGATTGTCAAATCACGTGGCATCGTGAACAATTGGGAGGACCACTTCCACACGGAGTTTATCAGACTGGAAACGCGCTGAAAATCCCACAATCTCAACTTCACCACGCCGGCAGATATATCTGCTCGGCTGCCAATCAATATGGAATCGGACAGAGTCCACCTGCTGTGTTGGAGGTTAAACGACGTGGGTGTGATTTTGAGTAGCTAACAAATTTGAGAGACTTTTGAAAGTTTGCAGTTTGGATTTCGAATTTCAGCGTTTTCCAAACAATCTGTGTACTATGTAGTGAAAAAAGTTGTGGACAATTTGCAGTCTGTAGTTTACCAGAGGTTCCTAAAATGTTGAAATTAATCTTCATATAGCTTGAAGTGTTCTGTACATGTTTTGGGGATTTTATAAAATTGTACCTAAAATTCGAAATATTCAGAGCTACAGTAACCATAAGAAACAAAAAAAGCGTACTTTAGTGGATTTTAGGAATTTTTAGGAGCCTGGAACTCTTGGAAACTTTGCATTCCGAGAATTTTGTGAAACTTACTAGATTTCCAGCTATTTGAGGATTTCCGAAAAATTCCCTTTTTTATCTGTTTTTGTACTGAAAACATGAAAAATCCAGGCGTCATTGAGAAATCGGCAAATGGCCGGAAAACTAGGACTTTTCGAAATAGCTGAAAATCAACTGAAAAATACATTTTTATTATACATTTCATAGACCGGTACTGTAGATTGATTTGTCTAGTTCCAATAGTAAGTCATCTGAAACTACCTTGTCAACGTTCCATTTTCTTTAGAACCTGACCCAGAATCCCCAAGTTTTCAGCATCCATCCCACCAAAGGTCGATCCAGTCCGCCAAACCGTCGACCGCGACCAACCAGCCCGTTTCAAGTGCTGGGTGCCAGGAAACTCAAATGTACAACTCAGATGGTCTCGTCCAGGCGGTGGAGCACTTCCAAGCGGCGTTCAAGAGCAACAAGGAATCCTTCACATCCCACGTGCCGGTGATCAAGAAGTCGGACAATACATCTGCACCGCAACCGATCCAAGAGACAACATCCCACTTCAATCGGAGCCAGTTCAGCTTAACATCAGAGATCCAGCTCCACAGCGTAAGCACAAAAATTATGCACAAAAGTGCATTTTACTCATAATAGTGAAAATTTCAGCACGCGCCGCTCCTCAAATCGATCCACCAAACCAAACCGTCAACGTTAACGATCCAGCTCAATTCAGATGTTGGGTTCCAGGACAGCCACGCGCTCAGTTGAAATGGTCCAGAAAGGACGGACGCCCATTGCCAAACGGAATTTTAGAGAGAGATGGATTCTTGAGAATCGACAAGTCTCAATTGCATGACGCTGGAGAGTATGAGTGTACCGCTACCGAGCCAGATGGCAGCACACAAGTCTCACCACCAGCTAGACTCAATGTTAACCAGCCACAAGCTATCCAACCACAAGTTGATCCACCAGTCCAAACCGTCAACGAAGGAGAACCGTCTCGTATTCGTTGCTGGGTCCCAGGACATCCAAACATTCAACTCCAGTTCGTCAAACGCGGACGCCGCCCACTCCCGGTCCACGCCCGTGTGTCTGGAGGAAATCTTGAAATTCCAAGAACCCTCAAATCCGACGAAGACGAGTACATCTGCATTGCCACCGATCCAAACACCAATCGTCCAGTGGAATCGAATCCAGCAAGAGTTATTGTCAAGTCGCGTAAGTTTTTCAGGATTTTCAGGATATAATTTTTGAGTGCCTTTTTTACGAGTGCCTTGCATGCAAACTCTATCCTATCATTTCTACTATCCTTTGGTTTTCTTTCCCCCACCCCAGAATTCCCTTTCAGCAATCCGTCCAATCGTCGACCCTGCCGAACAAACTGTCCCAGAAGGATCGCCATTCAGAATCCGTTGCTATGTCCCAGGACATCCAAATGTTCAACTCTCATTCAGAAGAGCATCCGGACAACTCAACGAGGATGCTGATGAGAATAACGGACTCTTGGCCGTTCAAAGAGCTGAGCTTTCTGACGAGGGAGACTACATCTGTACCGCCCGGGACCCGGATACCGGAGCACCAATCGATTCAACACCAGCTACAGTGCATGTTACCAGTGCGGCTGCTCCACCAGTCGTTGAAGCTCGTTAGTGAAAAAAACCAACATTTTTTGAATCTATCCTTAAGTTATCTTTCTCTATCTTCTGCACTTTTTGCGGTGTCTTGTAATTCTATTGTGTCGTCCCACTCCCATGTACATGTCATTCAGAAACTCCACACCCTGTGATCACCCCACAAACGCAGACTGTGCCCGAGGGAGATCCGGCACGCATCCAATGTTCTGTCCCAGGAGTGCCTTCTGCCGTTCAGCACCTCTCTTTCGAGAGAGCTGATGGTAGACAGCTTCCGTTTGGATCTAGTGATGATCGGGGCGTTCTGACGATTCCAAGCACTCAACTTCAAGACGCCGGAGAGTACATTTGCGTCTACGAACCGGAGAATCAGCACCCACAACGGACGAATCCGAGCACTTTGAACGTGACACCTGGTTTGGTCTTTTTTCGTTCATTCACCCCTTTTTCTCTTTCCTTTCTTTTCCTGAACAGCTCCAGAACCTTCTAGAACTCTCCTTCTCACCTATCCACCCTTCTCCTATCACTTTCAGAAGGCGCACCACCTCGCCCCGTTGCCACTCCACCACTTCTCCAGGTGGCACCAGGCTCACCAGCACGATTCAACTGTGTTGCTCACTCTGACACACCGGCACGTATCAAGTGGGGATTCCGCGAGGAGCTTGGAGCCCTGCCGGAGCACGTCAATCAGGATGGAGACGATTTGGTGATTTCTGCCGCTGGAGATGATAACGTTGGCGAGTACGTGTGCTCGGCAACCAACGACTACGGAACAGGAGTCGCGGATCCAGTTCGATTGGAAGTCACAGAGGGTTTGCACATTTTTTCTGATTCCCGAAAAAAAACCAGGAGCACAAATTTTCCCACCACCGAGTGTTTTCCTTTCACTATCCTGTCACTATAGAAAAAAAACTATACTGCATGAAAAATCTATCCTTATGTTCCAGATCAGGTAAGGTCGGAAAGTTACAAAATATTGAACTATTCCATTCTAGAAAGCTCAGAACTTTAGGCGGTCTAAATTAAATTTTAGGAACTCTGAATCAGAAAATCAAGAAAACCCTCGCCTTTCCAGACCAAGAGCCACCAACGGCCGTCGTCGAGCCACGCACTTGGAATGGGAAGCCAGGAGAGCGACACCAGTTCAGATGCATCACTACAGGATCGCCTACTCCAAAGATTACATGGACTGGACCCGACGGATCGCCTCTACCACACGACGTTACACCGCTTGAGCCGAATATTCTCGACTTCTCCAACGGCCGCTCCGAGCTCAACGGAGAGTACACTTGCACGGCTTCGAACCCTATTGGCGAGGCCTCCGACCACGGAGTCGTCAACATTGGACCATCGCTCACCGTCAAGACCAATCCACCAGGTCCGAAATTGATTGTGACAGTAGGAGAGCCACTTCAAGTCAAGTGCGAAGCATTCGGAGCACCAGGAGATCCGGAGCCAGAAGTCGAATGGCTTCATGATCCAGGACCGGAGCGTGGAGATCTTCCAGATGATTTCAAGCCAGTTACTATATCGGAACAATTCATCAGACATCCAAATGTCGGACTTGGAAACGCCGGAGTCTACACTTGCAAGGGATCCAGTGCTCACGCCACTGCCACCAAGAACATCTACATCGAAGTAGTAGAACCATCCAGAATCGCCACCGTTTCAATCCTCGGAGGATCGTCCCAATGGTTCGATCAAGGAGAAAAGGCCGAGATGATCTGTACGGCTACTGGAAGCTCATTGGTGGATCGATTGGAATGGGAGAAGGTCGATGATCAGCTACCAACTGATGTTGAAGAGCATAATGAGCCTGGACTTTTGCATTTCCCAAGCTTCAAGGTGAGTGGTTTACTGTAACCCTAACTTTAATGGCATGTTAGCTATAAAACTTGGAATTTTCCAACAATTCTGCCAATGCAAAATTTTTAATCTAGGTCTCTTTTATAACCTCCAGAGTTTTCAAAGTGATCGGAAAAATGACAGGCGGGCACCAGACTTCTGAAAATGAACAAATTCAACTAAAAAATACGTTTTTGTTTATCTTATAGACCGGTACTTTAGATCTGTAGACCCATCATAGCAAGTCTCTTAAAATTTTGTAGGCACTCTAAGGCTTACCTGTACAGTGTCTCTGCCAAATTTCAAATTTCTAGCGCTCTCCGGAAGATGGCTACAGAGTCGCATAGCCGGCTTCTAGTCAATGATTGGGATAAAACCCAAAAAAAAATTCTCGAAGACTCAAAATACCAAATCACCCAAGATTGTTCCAGAACTCATACGCTGGCGAATACCGCTGCAATGGATACAGAAACAACGAGATCATCGCCTCCGCCGCTGTTCATGTTCACTCTTCAAACGATGCTGATGATGAGCCAAAGGTTGAGATTGAGCCACCACGTGTCAGAGTCGTGTCCCAAGGAGACAACATCGTCCTCAAGTGCTCAGTTCAAGGTTAGTGATCTTTCGAATATTTTTTTTGCTCTTTAAAAAACTCTAACGCTCTTTTTTCTTGCCTGAGCAACAGTTAGCTTAACAGATCCATCAGCTCGTGTATTGTGGTGGCACGCTCAAGAAGACCTAGTCTCGTTCACTAACGTCGCCAACACTAACACCCTTCACCTAAAACACACGGATCTTTGTGATCGTGGATTCTACTACTGTACGCTGGAATCGACAAACTACGAGATCGGCCAATCGCCGAATATTGTTATCGTGCAGCAGCAAGGGCCACTAGGTTATGTGTATTTTCTCACTTTTCACTTTTTCTTATTCTTGTCCGTTGTGTCTATGCCAAAAAACAAATTCAACAAAATTGTCCGAACGTCAAAACTAACAAAATTTTTTGGGGTTTTTTGGCGGGAAATTTCAGGATCGATGGATTTATGTGAATATAAGTCTGCTTAACACAGAATGTGCAAGTTTTCTAACACTGTTTTTGAAAAGGTTCGTTTTTTTTTGCGCTTTTCGGGTGCTTTTTGGGGCTTCCGGGAACTTAACAGTAAGCATGGAAACTTTGATTATTTCAAAATTTTCGGAGATACAAAAAAGTCAGAATTTTTGAAAAAATCTAGTTTTCGGAAACTTGGAAATTGAAAATTCAGAAATTAAAAATTTTTCCGAATTCTTTAAATTCGGATATTTCAAAATTTTGAAGAATTCAGAAATTTAAACTTTTTGGAATTGTTTAAATTCAGATATTCCGAAGTTCAAGAATTACGGATATTTGAAATTTTCAAAAGTTCTTTTTTTTTGCGAAAAACGGAAATTCCAAAATTCAAAAATTTTTCGAAAATTCAGATATTCAGATATTTAGAATTTGAAAAATTTTAAATTTTAAAAAAATTTAGATTCAGAAATTGAAAATTTGGAAAACTTGGAAATTCAAAATTTTCAAAAATTCGATTTTCCAAAATTTTGAAGAAGCGAAAGGTTTCGGAGAATTCGGATATTTGGATATCCAGAAGTTCAAGAAAAGTGCATTTCTGAATATTCAGAACATTGGAATTTTTCGGAGATACGGAAATTTTGAAAATGACAAATTAGAGATATTATGAAATTCGGGAAATCCTTAATTCTAAAGCTTCACAATTAAAAAAAAAAGAAAAATCCATTATTTCCAGGCGCCGAAAACGGCGAGCACTTCAAGTGGGCTCTTCTCCGCGGCGGCTCTCTGGTCCGTCAACTTGGCACCGAGCCAACATTGGAAATAGTGAAGGCAGATCCATCGAACGATTTCGGTGTCTACAGATGCAATGTGGAGGATAACAACGGACTGGTCATCGGGTCCGCCTACACAGCGGTCTCCGTCGGACAACAGGACAAATCTCGTGAGAAAAATCGATTGTTCTAGAATAAGAAAAATAGAAAAAAAAAACCTAGACTATGGCATTAGACACAACGGGACACAGAATTGAATCAGTTCAGAACTCGGTTCAAATTCGGAATTTTTGTATGGTCTGAAAATTAAATTGCGAATCATGACGACATCTACAAACTTTTACCTAATTCAACTATATTTGAATTCCGAGGTTTATTCCACAGACCGGCAACATCGTCTTACGGTCCGTGGTACCAAAACTCAACATTTCGAATTAGGTATCGTTTTGTAGATCACCTCAAGTTTTACATTTTAATTTTTGATTCAAATAAAAAATTCTAATTTCAAGCCGAGTTATGGGTCTACGACATAATTACTCATCTCAAACTTCTTTTCAGACGCTCAAATTGTGAAATTCGATGACAAATCGGATGCTTCATTCACTTGTCCAATCTACTCAGTACCTGGATCGAAAGTCGAATGGACTTATGATAATGGAGATCTTCCATCGAAGGCCGTACCAAATGGAAACAAGATTGAAATCAAGGAATTCGATGATGCTTCGGCTGGAACCTACGTTTGCAAGGTTTCATTCGATGGAAATGTTGTTGAAGGATTTGTGACCGCACAGATGTTTGGTGAGTTTATATCGAAATTTCAGAACTCTATTCACATTTCTAAAACCCGGCCCTCGAAAATTCTGAATTATGATTTTCAGTGCCCGACACAATCATCCAAGTTCTTCTGGAAGTTTCTTCCGAGTCCCCACAAATCGGAGATCGGGCCTGGTTCGATTGTAAGGTCACCGGAGATCCATCAGCTGTCATTTCATGGACCAAGGAAGGAAATGATGATTTGCCACCAAATGCTCAGGTAATTTTCTAGAGTATTTGAGTTTCAGACAAGGCGGATCAGGGCCGCGGCCGGTCGTAGGCCGGGCTATAGGTATTTCGCCGTGGACCGAAACTAGGCCACTGCACCCTGCAAATTCCGCGGTCCCCTTTCCCATAGCCTTGGTTTCCGATTGAAAAACGTTTTTCAATTGCTACTCAAAAAAAGCCGACAAGACGGTAAGACCGGATTTCAGGTGTATCCTATACTTAGACATGATGTTGTTTGCAACACAACCGTAAGTATGAATATAGTGATTGAGATATTTTGTTTTTTGAAATTCCTGAAAATCGATAATTTCTCCTTTCCCTAAAGATTTATTTTAGTTTGATTTTAATTTCGACTGATTTTAAATGATTGGTTTGATGAAATATAATTTTCTCCTAATTTAGTTTTCTTGATCTGAACATAAATTAGTTGAATTCCCAAAATCCCAAAAAATCCTAATTATCAGTTGATTTCCAACTTCTTATCACTCGTTTCCGTTTTGCATGATTATATATATTTTTGATAGTGATTGTGTGTTTGTGAGTAGTTTCTAGAAATTTTCAAAAAAAATATCGTAAAACCTGTATTAGAAGGGCACGCCTCTCTAGTTCCATGGTACCTCCAGAGGGCTCTTCTATTAGAGGGCTAAGTTTAAAAATTCTTAAAATGAGACGTTTCTAAAATTGTGTTAGATTTCTTCGATTTTGAGATTTTATAGAGAACCATAAATCTCCAATTTCTGTTTTTTTTAGGTTTTAGAAATTTCAATAAAAATTTGTTTCAAAAAAAGAAAATATGAGATTCTAGAAATCTTAGGTTTTGAGGTTTTGAGATTCTGTGATTCTGAGATTCTCAGATTCTCAGATTCTTAGATTCTGAGATTCTGAGATTCTGATATTCTGAAAATATGAAAAACTGAGATTCTGAAATTCTGAAATTCTGAAAATTGTGAATTCTACAATTCTGCGGTTTCGAAGTTCTGAAAATATGAAAAAATGAGATTCTGAGATTTTATGATCCCGAAATTCCAAACTTTCGAGATTTGGAGATTTTGCAATTCTGAGATTTTGAAATTCTGAAATTCTGAAATTCGCTGGGGTCCTTTCATTACGGCGGTATATGAAAACTTTTCGAAAAAGTAGGCTTTTTTGAAAATTGAACAGAAGTTCCAAATTCTGGAACCTAAAAGAATCATCACCAGGGATAAAACTACGCCAACCTCACAGAAAATACAACAATCTCGACTTTTAAGTATTCCGAATGCTCAGTTCCCCCTTTATCAATTTTAACACCCAAATCTAAAAATTCCAGGTAACCGGAGGCCGCCTTCTGTTCACCGATCTCCAACAAGACAACGCCGGAGTCTACAGATGTGTTGCCAAGACGAAAGCGGGACCACTTCAAACGAGAACTGTCCTGAACGTTGGATCCGGAAAACGCAAGCGAAAACATCTGGGGAATCGTCGGGGACGTCGTCTGAGGCATCGTAGACGTAACGCCGGTGTCCAAGGGTCCGGTGTTCAGAGTCGAAAGACAAGAACCACCACTAAACTTTTTGGATCGTGGTTCTAGATTTTAAAAAAAAACGATAAAAATGAATTTTGAGTATCTCCAGAAATAGTGTGCCTGATTTTGTGTCTTTTATAACCCTATCCACCCATTTTCTTCCATTTTTCCACTGCCCCCAACCGGTAACCGGTGTGTAAGTGTGTTACATTTCAATTCAATCATAATGTTTTTCTAGAATTTTCTTTTTTCTTGCTCTGTGGTGCTCAAACAACCCTATATTTTATAATATGCTTTTTCTTCCCGTATCTTTCTGTACTTTTTTCTTTTCTTACTAATTTTTTACCTGAATTTTCGAGTATATGTACCGATGAGTGTTTTTTCCTTTTTCTTCCTTTTTCCTCACCAACCGAATAAATCTAGCAAGGTATCACAAAAAGCACCGATTTTGGATTGATGTGGATTTTTCCTTTGTCCATTTTTTCAGAAAATTTCTAGAAATGTATCGGAGTTGTCCGAAAGTTTGAAATTCTAAAAAAATTGATTTGTTGTGATTTGAAAAGGAAAATAACAAAAAAGTTTTTTCTGGAATGCTGTGAGACTGGAAAAACATGTTATACATAGATCAGAGATACTATAAAATTCTGAAATTTGAAGATTCTGAAATTCTGGGATTTCGAGATTCTGAAATTCTGAGATTTTGAGATTCTGAGATTCTTAGATGCTGGAGTTCCGGAATACTGAAAACCTGAAGTTCTGAAAATCTGAGATTTTCGGTTCTGAGATTTTGGGATTTTGGAATTCTCAGATTCTGAAATTATGGGATTCTGATATTCTGAAATTCTAAGATTTTGCAGTTTGGAAATTCGGAGATTCTGAAATTCGGAAAATCTGAGATTCTGAGATTCTGAAACTGTGCTGAAGTTTCGAATTCTGAAGTTTCGAAATTCAGACATTCGGAGATTTTGATATTCTTGATTCAAAATTCTGTGATTTAATGGTCAGAAGATATTGATATTCAGAAATTCCGAAATTCAAAAACTATAATATTGCAAAGTTGCACTTGCAAATTTCGAAAAAAACAGAATTTCTAAAATTTCCAAAATTCAGAAACTCCAAGAAATCCGAAAACTTCAAAATCTAAAAAATACCAAAAACTTGGAAATCCGCCCCCTTCTTCCCTTAAATGCCGTAGCGATCGCGCACCCCCATTTTTGACATTTTGTAGAAAATTTCTTTGAAAGCTCCTAACTAGATTCATTTCAGTCCGTTTTGGCCAAATCTTTTTTTGATCGATAGCAAATCTCCCTGGCTACGCGGTCACTAAAAATCGTCAAAAGTTGTACTGTTTGAACCGAGATATGATAACGAACGTACAAGTGGATACCATTTTTTTTCGGGTTTTCCTGTTTTTTTCTGCCGAACTAGGGCCTAAATCAAAAATCCGGCTTTTCCATTCGATGCGTAATTTTGATAGCTACAATAAAAAAAAGAAAACTGGATTTGCTTCAAGAATTAAAGAGTTAATAGGTTTTGAGTGAAAAATTAATGAATTGTTTTGGCGCACATGTTACAGGGCCGAAGGTCCTTTCCGGTCTGTTCGACCTGAGCGAGCGAAGGGAGAACAGGCTAAAATATAAATCAACTGATTCCACTGAGCCAGGGCCGAAGGACCTGCATCTGATTCCACCTAATTGCGCGGAGTCGGCCGTAGGCCGAGGACGCTAGTCCTGAAACTTCAAAAAAGTTGTAATAGCGCTACATTGAAAATCTGAGAAAACGGTTCTAAAAATATTGTAATATTGTACGATTCTGGAGTTTCAAAATCTAGAAAATTGTGGAAAATGTTTTTTCTAGATTTCGGATCCAAAAATGTTTCGACGAATAATTTTTTGTTTCCGCATTTATTGATATTTCAAAACATGTCAGTATTTTGCAGGAAATTTGTAAAAAATCATTGAAGAATTTCGAAAAAAATGTCGAAGCTTGTTTATTTTTGAGAACCGTCTGAAAGGAGGGAATAAAATAAATACCTTAATTATTCACTAATTAGAAAAGTTTCGAGAACAATTATTTTTCATGTCACCTCTCCTCTAAAGACATATTTAAGACTCAGGGCCTCATTCAGTTATTTATTTATTTTTTGTTTCTATAAAATCACTTGCTGCCTCTCACGACACACGAATCCCTTCACGGTTCCCCACGCCCTATCTCACTATCAGTTTCTAATTTTCACCCACTAATACCTATATTTCAGCCGACGAAGAAGTGGTGACATTCACTGTCGCAGATTTTCTCCCAGTCGTCTACACGGTCGGAGATCCCGCCTATCTGTCATGTGTCGGAAAAACCGAGACCAAACCGTATCAGACGGTGATCTGGACAAAAGATGAAGGAGATCTCCCATCCGGGTCTCGAGTGGATAAGGGAGTGTTGATGCTGCCATCAGTTCATAGGAATGATGAGGGATCGTGAGTATTTGAAGTATTGAAGGAGGGAAAAGAAGGAATCACGCTCTATGGGACGATTAGGGGGTACAAAGCGATTTAGGCGTACAAAACCCACAATTTGAAAGTACAAAACTGGATCTTTTCCAGGTATTTTGTACCCCCGTAATTGACAATTTTCTACACCTAAATCGGTTCACACCTCAATGACCTTAAAAGTTTTGTACCTTCCGGCTTAATTGCCGTCTGAATTCTTGAGGCTTAATTGCCGTCTGAATTCTTGAGGCTTAATTGCCGTCTGAATTCTTATGGAGGAAATTCTTGAGGAAAAGTAGATCATTATGAAAAAGCGTATTCCCTGAAGGCGACGGGTGAAGGTAACCAGAAAGGATCTTAGGAATTAGGGTAACCTTAAAGGAGGCGAGACAGCAAAAATTTCGGGGGACAGTTCGGGGGACGAAATCGCGCCGCGCTTATGTAGACCATCGGTCGTCAGGCGCCTTCGCGCCCCCGTAGCTCAGCCGGAAGCGGCGCTGTACCCCTGAGCTGCCTGTCATGGGTTCAACCCCTCATGGGGGTTCTCTATGCAAAATATCAGGAAAACTTTTTTTTTGGTGTCTGGCCTCCTTTAAGGGTCCTCGAGGGTTAAGCTCATACCCAGCTAGAGATGATTTAACAAATCAGGTTCCTATTCGAGCTTTAAACCTCGCGAAATTCCAGCTACACCTGTGAAATTGTCAAAGAAGTTGATCCTGTGTTTTCAACTGTGGACCTGCAAGTCGACGATTATGTCCCCATCATAAACGGAGATCCCATTGAACTTCCACCGCTAACCGATGAGGAAATTGTCAATTTCGATATTGAAATCACTTTGAACTCTTCCGATTCTAAAGGAATCCTCTTCGAAACCAAACGAATCAATAGTGGAGACTTCTTGGCACAACCAGTGGATACCATTCATCATGAGGCGAAAATCTCGGATCATGGAACTATTATCTATGAGTTTGATGTTGGAAATGGACGGCGTAAGTGATGGAAGAACAATGAATTCAAAAACTTTTCAATTCAGAAATTGTGGAGACCACCAACCCAATCAACCCGAATGAATGGAATATGGTGAAAATCAAAAACGATAAGAATCAAGTGACAATTCAGCTGAACGGAGAAACCGCCACAATTCGGCAGCATTCAAATCCACTTCCAAGATTATCGTTAGGTGTAAACCGGCCGGTGTTCATTGGTGGAAGACATGAGCCAACGAGTGAAGCTGACGATTTTAATGGAATCATTGCTCAGGTGCTACTTTCTGGTCAGAATGTGGGGCTGGGAGAGGCTAGAATCCCGCCAAGTGTCGTGAAATATAACGCTTGTGCTAGTAGGAATTTATGTTTGAATGGAGCAAAATGTAGAAATGCGAACAATCATCAAGGATTCAGTTGCGAGTGCTCCAGCAAGTTCCACGGAGAGTACTGTCAGTGGAGATCGAATAGTTGCCATGAAGGTGAGTTTTTTTTTGAGAAGAATATCAAAAAAAGGACAACGGACTGATAAGGAAGTTGCTTTATCAGTTTTAACCTGTTTCGATAACTGTTACAGGAGCCGAGATAATCTGGGATCCAAGTTAGGAGGGTATTTGACCGTTTATATCTTGTTCAGTTTTAAAGATATTCAAAATTTGCCAACTAGTAAAATATTTAAAATATTCATAGCTACATTTTTGTTGTTAATAACATTTTTCTAGCTAGCTTAGTTTTTGTGATAATGACGTTTCAAGCAAGAGGGAGGTGTTTTTTTTTTGCTCTTCTTTCCAGCTTACTAGGGAATGACTCACAGAAGATGTGGAGTTATGGGACGAGACCTATATCATTCGAAAGAGGATGAAATTTCATTTTCAAATATATGCTCAGTTTTTGCGGCGGCCTCCGCTAACTCGAGAAATTTGGGTCAGAATTTTTCAGTAGATTTTGCACTGAAATGCATACGTGAACGCTTCCACGTCCTCATTTCTTTTATACGCTTTGAAGAACCATTGAAAACAGCAGTGGGATGGTTCAGTGGTAAAGCGGCGGGATGGGGAAATGGTACTCTATGGTTCGACTCCTTCATAGTCGAAACTCTTTTTTTATTTTTTGTTGGTTTTTTGTTGGAAATTTTTTTTTGAAAATTTGAAAAGAGGTGTATGGATCATGAAAACATGCGAATTTTCTTCAGAAATTTTTTTTCCAAAAACTTGGTTAATTTGTATTTGACAAGATGCCAAAGGTGTTTAGAGTATGGAAAACTGCTGAAAACAGCTTTTGAGCTCAAAAACAGGTCATATAAAAAACCAACAAAAAATAAAAAAAGAGTTTCGACTATGAAGGAGTCGAACCATAGAGTACCATTTCCCCATCCCGCCGCTTTACCACTGAACCATCCCACTGCTGTTTTGTTCTTCAAAGCGTATAAAAGAAATGAGGACGTGGAAGCGTTCACGTATGCATTTCAGTGCAAAATCTACTGAAAACTTCTGACCCAAATTTCTCGAGTTAGCGGAGGCCGCCGCAAAAACTGAGCATATATTTGAAAATGAAATTTCATCCTCTTTCGAATGATATAGGTCTCGTCCCATAACTCCACATCTTCTGTGAGTCATTCCCTAGTTAGTGATGACATAACTCGCTTCAACCTCAAAATTTCCGTTTGGTTTTAAATGTAAATCGTAGAGCATAACAAAATCTACAAAATAATGCTTAAAACGAAAAAGAATATAAGTGCTATAAGTTGCTCCTGTTTGGGCGCCACAGTAGCTCAGCAGACATTGCAATATTTAAAATTCCAGAAAACTGCAACACTGGGATCTGTCTGGACAACGAAGAAAGTGGCAATGTGTTTGCCCATTGGGTACCTCTGGTCTTCGATGTGAAGAAAAAATCGACATTCCCCAACCCCTTGGCTTCACCTCCGAAACCTCATTCCTAGCTGTCCGCAAGCCAGTCAAATTTGAATCTGTAAGCATATCCCTGTTTTCTTAGCTCACGAAGAAAATGTTCAGATAAAAATGAAACTCCGTCCAACTGCTGATAGCGACGAGCATATTCTAATGTATTTTGCATCGGAATATGGTGCATCTACCAAGCAATACGCGTCACTTTCGTTGATTGATCAACAGGTTGTGTTGACTGTGAATAAGCCAAATATGGGTGGGTGGTTTGAAATCAGTAAATATGAAAAAATCGAGGAGGAGATTTCAGAAGTTCAAAAAGTGAAATCTGAACCTTTGGGCGCTGGTGAACTGATTGATGTGGCTGTTAGACAAACTGGCAGTGCACTTGTGATGACTGTCAATGGAAATCAAGTTTCCGAGGTTAGTCATAGATCAGAACACAGAAAACACACACGAAGAATGATGTCATAAAGTTTAAGTATTTCTCCGTCTCTCTCCTTCTTCCTCTCTCCTTCTATCTCAATTTTCAGATCCAAACTGACACGCTCAAACCTGGCACTGAAATCTTTATCGGCGGTCTCCCACCTGGTCTCTCTTCCCCTGATGACGTCGTCGAGCAGTCGTTCCAAGGATGTGTCTACGAGATTTTCATCAATTCAGAAGACATCGATCTTCAGAATCTTTCCTCTTCGGGAGACATCTCATCGTGCGAGGAGTCGAACTTTGATGATGATGATGATGATGATGTGATAGTGGCGACAGAGAAACCAGAAGAAGAGACAACGACGACGACGACAGAAGAGCCAGAGCCAGAGACAACAAATACGACCACGGAGGAGCCCACGACCGGAGAGCCAACAGAGGAACCAACCGAGGAACCAACTACTACTGAAGTGCCCACGACGACTACCGAAGAGCCAATGACAACAACCACGGAGCTTCCAACGACTACTACAGAAGAGGTCTATCATTTCTACGAAACATCCAGAGATTCGGACCCATTGGAAATTGAGATTCCTGTTGAGACCACGACTACGACTACAGAGGAGCCAGAAACCGCTCAAATTTTGCCAACGGATTCTGTAGAAGAAGGTGAGAGGGACTATGGGGACACTCTGATGTACAGGTTGAGGTTTCAGGCAATGACGTTAGCGATGAAGAAGACGAGATTGCTCACGTTAGTACAGTGGCTCCAGATACAGACGACTACAGTGAAGGCACACTGCCACCGGATTCTGGAGAAGAAGTGAAAGTGGAAGATAGCTGTGTGGATGGTAAGTTTCTCAAAGAATTCCAGAGTTATTGATTTTTTCCAGGAGTCTGCCCGATCACAACCACAGATGCACCAAACAACATTTGCATCAATTCCACCTGTGGAATGAATGGGCAATGTGTCCCAAGGAATAAGACCCACTACACCTGTGAATGCAAATTATACTATGATGGACCGACGTGTAGTCTTTGTAAGTCTGTCCGGTCTGTTCATCCAGAGCTGGGTCAGCGGTCGGTCGATCGGTCAACCGAATTTTCCGACCGAATGAAAGCCTTAATCTTGATCTCCCTTTTTTCAGTCAAACCCATCGAACATGCTGCCCGATTTGATGGAGACGCATTCATCGAGTTGTCCTCCGACGAATTTCCACATTTGACATCTGAGAAAGATGAGATTGTGGCGTTCAAATTTAAGACTGAGCAACCGAATGGGGTGTTACTGTGGCAGGGACAACGGCCTACAGTAACCCAAATGGAGGATTATATTTCAGTGGGAATTGTCAATGGACACTTGCACTTCTCGTGAGTTTCTAAGATTTTGAAGTTTTGGGATTCCAAGTTTTTAATTTTATAAACTTCGGAGAGCCAAATATTCGAAAAGCTCAAAATTGAAATGTTCAAATTTTCAGGTTTACTGTGGTTATTATTGAAAAGTTCAGAACATCAAGAACCCGAAAATTCTGAATTGCTGAGATTTTGTTAGTCTGATACTCTGAGGTTCTGAAAATTTTAATTTGAGAATCTGTGAATTTTAAATTCATTCTGAAATTCTGAAATTCGGAGATTTCGATATTCCGATATTCCGAAAATATGAGATTCTAAGATTCCAAAATTTTGAAATTCAAGATTTTGAAGATTTTGAAATTGCGAAGCTCTGAGATCCTTCAATTCTCCAATTCAAAAAATATCTTAATTTTCCAGCTACGAACTTGGCGGCGGTGCTGCTCATTTGATATCGGAAGACCGTGTTGATGATGGAAAAGAGCATAGTGTTCGTTTCGAACGAAAAGGAAGAGAAGGTCAAATGAAAATCGATAATTATCGAGAAATCAATGGAAGAAGTACCGGAATATTGGCAATGTTAAATGTGGATGGAAACATTTTTGTGGGCGGAGTTCCAGAAATTTCCAAAGCCACAGGCGGTCTTTTCTCGAATAACTTCGTTGGATGTATCGCTGACGTCGAGTTGAATGGAGTGAAATTGGATTTAATGGCGACAGCGATTGATGGAAAAAATGTGAAGCCGTGCGATGAATGGATGCACCGAAAGAGATGGTTGTATAGAAGAAGAATGCGGTGAATAGTTAAGGATGAGCAACGTTGGATTCTAGAAGATTTTTTTTTCAATTGCAAAACTGCCCGATTTCTGTGATAATTTATTTTCTTTCGCCTTCCTTTTTTTTCCTTTTTATATCTCATCTGGAAACCGAACGATTTCCAATTTTATTTACATTCAATTTCACGTTCAACTTTCCCCTTCTTTCCTCTGTCTTGATTCAACTGACTCATCAGAAGACAAAAAAAAAAGAAAAGAAAGTATCACTTTAAACCAAGTCTGCCCATGAAAAAAAGGGAAGTGGGGACATATAAAAGAAAGTCTGAAACAGGATATATATTGATATCTCTAACTACCATCGCCACCAAATTATATCGATGACGCCGATCTTAAACTTGCGCATCACTTCACTTTCCATCCCCATTCACATTACGAATATCTCCTCTTCTTCAAAAGATGAAGAAGACGACGGAGAGAATAAGATAATCAGATGCAAGTAGTTGCCCTACATCCCTTCTCTTTCTTATCCTTTATCCCTGTTCTTTTCTCCCATTTATCATCGAATCATCGATCCAAAATCTATGAATTTGTTTTTTTTTGGAAATTTCTGATTTGCCTCGATCCTGAAGCTTATAGGATTTTCTACCGAGTTCTGAAAGAAGAAATTTTTTTGAAATTCGGTTTTTTATACAGTACCAGGTAAAACGGTACCTACTTTTAATATATTTTTGGGGGAGCTTTTTCCATTGCTTTGAAAAGTTTTGAATTCCAAAAGTCAACTCCTCGAGAGGCATCTTTGAACGGAATTTCGAGAACATTATTTTTTTCATGTCCCCCCACCTTTAAAGAAATCTCCATTAGGTTCAACAAAAATGATCCTGAACTTAGCACCCTGACTTTTTTCTTCTTTTATCGTACATCTGGATCACATACCTCTCACCGAACGGAAGTGATTGGTATCTTTGGTTAGCATAAATAGCAGGAAAAAAATTTAGAAGAGGTTTTCTATTTTATTAAGTTTCAACTTTCCTTTAAGAAGAATAATTTTTCGAAATTTGGTTCATACAACTCCTTCGAGGAGTTGAACTTGTGGGCCCAATGTTGGAGTTGCCGCGTCACTACCAGATGAGCTACGGTAGCCACACGCTTTGTATCACTGTACATCGTCACGTCAGGATACATTCCGTACCTCTTGGAAAACCCGATAAATCTCCTGCCCCCCCCCCCCTTCCTTTACGGGCTCGATGCTCTTTTCGTTTTCGCATCATCCACTATTCTTACCCCCATGACTCAATTTCAGTTTGCTAATTCCAGAAATGCGGAGACGGACTCTCCTGTGTTTAGCAGCACTCACAATCGCTGTGAGTGCACAAGTGGTGCCCAATCATGTCAGTTTAAATGAGAAGAGAAAACACATTGAGGTGGACTCAACGTGGCTCGATAAGAAACAAAAGGAAGTGCAAAGGGTGAGTCTGCCGGTCCATGAGCTTTCATAAAACGTCGCTTGCGTTTGAGCTCAATTATCTCAATTTTTGTGAGAGATATCTAAAATTTGTGAACTATCAAAATGCAGGTGATATTATGGTAAACATTCATCCGTTCATACATTTTTGATATCTCCCAAGGGAACCGATATAATTCAGTTGAAAGTCTACCAATAAAAAAAATGAGGTCCCAAACATGGCCCAACTTTAAAGGAGGACTCCGAGCAAAAATTTTTGTGGTATTAAAATGTGTTAAAAGTTATCTATTTTCCTAATATTATTGTGAAAAAATTCAAAAGAAATCCGAAATCCCCGAAAAACGCCGTTGAAAATAAAAAAAATTCAAAAAAGGTGCCGCCGAGGGACGAGGATTTGAATTCCCGCGCAATGAGAAAACTAGGCCACGGCGCCTGATAGCATTATTTTCAAGTGGCCGACAGTATTTTTTAACGTTTTTTACCTGTCGCAGATAAAAGCGAAAAAACTCCGGAAAATTTGTCCGGTAAGAAAGTCGCGCCGCTCGCGTCGCCTAGTTTTCTCACTGAAAATCCTCGTCCCTCGGCGGCACCTTTTTCTGAATTTTTTTTCCTTTTCAACGGCGTTTTTTGGGGATTTCGGATTTTTTTTCGAATTTTTTCGCAATAATAAATTCTAAAAATAGATGAATTTTAACACATTTTGATGCAATAAAAAAATTGACAGGAGTCCCCCTTTAACAGCTTCGAATTTTCACATAGATTTTTGACCAATTTTTCTTGAGACGTAAAGGCTACACATCAAATATCACCTTGATTCGATTTTTCAAAAGCGGTTCAAGCTTACGGTAGTGTAAGCGCTAAAGATCTAGCCTAGTACTCTTTTTTTTAATTACACATAAAAGAACTATCTAGCCAATTAGATCTTACCCAAATACATGACATGTACTAATAAAAAACCGGCTTTTTCAGGTAGCCCTTGACGCATCAAACAAGGAGAAAGTCGTGTTGGATCTATTGAACACCAATCAGAGATTCAGTGCCTCCTCAGCCGGAAATGTCGCAGCCGCCGAGACTTTCGATGGAAAGAGAGCACAAGTGCAGAAGATTGGAGATAAGGGAGGAATCGCGACGGTTGATGGGCATAAGTGAGTTGGACATTCGATTTCCTATCGATTTGTACCTTTTTCAAACGCGTACGATGCTTCTGATAGTGAGCAAAGTTATGATCCAATAGTCGGTAAGCAGGAAAAATCGGCCCTGCTCCTTTAAGATTTCAAAGGTCCTGGTTAACAGATAGTTTTAAAAACGAACCCACTTGCCTCAAGACTAATTGAAAATCTTTCTATGTTTCCAGGGCTCAACTCCGCACGAAAACCGACGGCGAAGGAGAACACGCTCTTCTAAAGGCTGACGGAAAGTACGAGCTGGATACTGTAGCTAAAGGAGACCTGAAGGGAGATCCATCGGTTAGTTTGGAGCGCACTTGCAGCGTTTATAAAGGAATTTTTTAGAAGACCGAATTCGAAGCGAAGAACGAGAGATTGGATTTCAAGCTGAACCCACATGCCCACAACAATAATAGTGGAGATGGTACGCTGTCGTTTTATGATAAGGTGAGAAGCACATTTTCGTACTGATCACAACCATGTAAAAATCACAAAGTGTGAATTTTGATTTCCTATCGATTGGTATGTATTTCAAACACCTGCGATGTGTTTGAGCAAAGTTATGATCCATACCTTAATGCTCTAATAGAAGCAGATCATATAAGTGCACATTGATCTCGATTACCTCGGTTCCTTTGTGAGATATAAAAAATCTGCCAACTGATAAAGTGTTGGTGTTAAAATGATATTTTCGGCACATGTCTGGGTCCACCACGGATGAACTCATAACTCGCTTCAAACTTGGAATTTTTGTTCAAACTAAAATGTAATATGTATAACTTGTCAAAATCTACTAATTAATATTAAATTCAATTATATTTAAACAACGAGTTTTGAATCACAAGTCGCAAAAGAGCCAGATAGGCAAAAACGGCCCATGTGGCGCCTGACCTTTTACTGCCTCCCAGATCTGTGGCTCAAAACTCAAAACTTGATATTAGTGAAATCTAATGTCATTCTGTAGATTTTGACATGTTCCATGATCTACTTTTCGATTCGCACAGAAATACACAATTTAAACCAAACTACCATAAAACCCGTAATAGAAGGGCATTGTTCACTTTGACCATTTTTATCTCCGTTTCTATAAGAGATATCGATATCAAAAAACGTTTAACTAAAAAAAGATAACTGATAATTTTATAAATATTATGTCAGTTGATCACTTTTTGATATCTTTAACCGGAACCGAGAGAAATAGGAACAAAGTTGAATATGCGCCGGCGTCCACGGTTGACCCCGGTAGATGTAGATTTAGTGCAAAAACTCACATAAAGATAACAAGCAACATCGTCAAGACTCATTATTTCATAATTCTAAAATTCCAGGAAAAAGACAAAAACGGAAAGTACGCCTACACAATTTCTCAAAACGGCAAGAAAACCGACGCGACTCTCTCCGCTGACAACCTGATTGGATCTGAACTAGAGCAGTCGCTTTTCGGAAGACGTAACAACAAATATCACTGTACTGCAGAGACACCAGGAGTCTCTCAGTGCTATGATGCCAAGGGACAATCCGTTGGAAAAGTCGTAGCTGATAAGAATGGAAATACTGTAGTCTATAACGATAAGGATGTGCCAATCGGAACGGGATCTGTGAAGCAAACCGGGCCACGATCCTATGAGGCTGTGATCTCCAAGAATCTGTTCATTGCTAAGTTGAAAGATGTAAGATCCGCTGCGTGCTGCAAGGAACTTACTGGACAAGAATGTGCTGCTCCTATCAAACTCGCTAACCCAACATTCAACCATCCATCTCAAAGAGAAGGAGACGGAACTTTGCACCTCACTTGGCCAGATTGCTTCGATATGGGAATCGATATCACATTGCCACCAGGAGTCCATATCAATAAGCTTGCTATGAAGCTTGATGTCTCCATTCAACCAATTGGAAAACTTCGATGCATGGATGTGGCGACTTGTGGAAGAGAATGCTTCTATTGTGATTGGTGTAAAGAGTCGAGAAAATTAAAGTTGTTGGAGAACACAGAAGGCAACTTGTGCAGAGCAACAGGAGAACGAACCTATCGGCTCACCACAAAACTTTGTCCACCTCCAGAGGATCCTAACTTCACTATGTGCACAGCATTCTCCAAATCGGTTTGGCAAAAAGACTACTGGCAAAAGCAAGGAGCTGTGGATGTCTGGATGAAGTTTTATGAGCGTGGACAGACTAGACCGGAGCTTGAGAAGGAATTCTTCGCCCAGATTGATAACCCATTGCTCGGAAAAGCCTTCAAATTCGCCATTATTGGAGAGTGGCTAGCTGCCAACTCTCTGGATCAGGGATCCTATACCCCAACCAACTCTGAACTTCTAGAATACTGGGTCTCGAAACGTGACCCAGATCGTTTGTTGGCTTGTCAGCACGCTGTTGTGGATTACGATATTGAAGGAGCCAAGGTGAAGACCAACTTGCTGTTTGAAGCAGCCACCACTGCCAACTCGATTCCAAATATTCTCAAGGATAAGAAGTGTGGAGCTTTCGAGAAGCTTCAAGAGGACAGATTCCAGAAGGAGGCTGCGGATTATAAGCGCACTTCTGGAGGTGGAAACTTCTTGTCGGGACTTGGAGGATTTTTGAACACTGTTAGAGGATAAGAACCCTTAAAGCACGTCGGAAGGAGTGAAGAATGAAGAGATAAATTATTGGTATTTATTATGTTTTTTTTCTTTGTTTGTAAATATATAATTTTATTTTTCCTTTTTTTTTCAATGATGATGAAGGTTTTTGATCTCTAATCGGCCACAGGAATAGCGATAGTACTGGAACAGTTGTTTTAACTCTTTTCAGTAAAAAATAGTCAACTTTAAATAAGGTCCTACGGATGTAGTTCAAAATTTTCAGGTTTGTCTGAAAGTCTTATAGGTTACTCAACAAAATTAAAGCTTTATTTTTGTAGTTGACACATTTTGTGTAACTAACATGGTTTTTGAGATATATACCTCAAAAACCATGCTAGTTACAAAAACGTTGAAAATTACAAAAATTAGTCTTGTTCAGTACACTCTGGAATTTTCAGATAAATCGAAAACATCTGAAATACTTTTTTCTGCACTCCAAAGTGGGCTTTTAAACGTCTAAACATGCTTATTTTTTCGTTTCTGTTATTCTAAGTTTTCGGAGCAATGCCAATTCCGAAATTTTAACTTTTTGAGATTCTTACTTTTTGAAATTTGGGTTTCCAGATTTCCAAATTCTGAGTTTTTTCCGAACTTTCTGACATTCCGGAAATTACCGAATTCGGAAATTTTAGAAATTCAGAAGACTAGAAACTGAAAAACTCAGAAATCTGGAAAAAATCAGAAATTCAGAAATTCAAAATTTTCGAAATTTCGAGAAATCGATATCTCGAAATGCTGAAAATCGAAAAAAAAATCTGTGATTCTGGAATTCGGAAAGGCAGAAATTCAGAAACTTCTGAAGTTCAAAAATACTGAAATCCGAAAATTTTTTAAACTCTGAAAATGCAGAAAATTCTGAAATTCTAAAACTGCGTAATTTTGAAAATCTGAGTTCGTGTTTCTACTTAACTTTTTAAAAAATCACAAGATGATCACAAAAATTTTGAGCTTCTAATTTTGACAAATTCACAAAATTCGTTTCCCTCATTTTTTGTCTTCCAATGTCGTAATCCATAATCCCGTGTTTCTACATCTCAATCACATTTTTTCCTGCGATTTCAATGATTACGCTTCACCAAAAAAAACCGGTCCTTATCATCCTCAAAAAATCTAATCCTCAAAAATATCCCAATACGATCTTGCCAATTCCCGCCGTGATTGCTACATATCCATTTTCTCCCCATTCAGAATGACAACAAATTCATTAAAATGTCTAATTTTTTATGCCTTATTTCTAAGCTCTTTTGCTCGTCCCTCCCAGAAACCCGAGGACCCCTTTAAAACCAAATTCATCACCAGTAAAAGTGAAGAAGACGTGGATTCAGAAGACGATATTTCTCTCGAAGAATCCCATGAAATGGTCAGAATCACAACGACACACGCACCACGTCTTCTATATCCCCCAACTCATCAGAATTTGCTCTATTCGATTTTCCCAACGCTCCAAAAGGAGAAAGACTGGCGAAAGTATTGTCCAGCGAATCAATATCAATTCCAAATCACTTGTCGACCGGGAAAAAAGTTGAGATATGATCTTCAATTATTCTGTCAACAATTTTCGGATATGTGTGGAGTGCCGAATATTAACTTGTATCCGAGTAGATATCAGACTGCAGATGATGAAGGACGACCTGCTGGTTATGGACAGAAGCAGAAAAATGGGAATGTTGGAATCGGAAGGAGTTGGGCGTTAGGATTGGGTGTGATTCCGGGAATGGAAGTGAGAACCAGTCAAGGAGCGGATATTGGAAATGAGAAGTTGCCATTCTTTGATCAGGTGGGTCAGGATTTCTGAATCTCTGAAGTTCCAGATTTCTGAGTTTCTGAGTTTCCGATTTTCTGAATTTTCTAGGTTTCTGATTTCTTCAAAAATTTTCTGAAATTTTCAAATTTAAAAAAATTCAAAAACTTTTTAAAGTTCTAGGAATCCTAAATTTCAATTTTTCCAAATTTTAAAATGTTTTTTAACGGTGTCAGATCGGTGGAATGATGCTGAACTACGGAGGCGAGGTGGGTGTACTCGGACACCGTACCGGAAAGGGACCAGCTCGTTCGATGAATGCATTGGCTCGTGGATATCCATCATTTGGTTTGGGACCACCGAACAAAGCAGCAGACAGTCAGTTTGGAGAGTCCGTGGCTAAAGCTTTGGGTGTTCCATCCCTTAATAATGTATTTGGAAAATTGGCGAAGAATTCGAAGAATAAGAAAATCACTGGTTATGAACCAGGCTATGGAGCAGTTAATCCGCATGGTCCATTCGCTATTGGAAAGGTAATTTTTTTTTTCGAAAAAAGTCCAAAAACAAAGCAAGATGAGCCGAAAATTGGGAAGTTTTAAAAGGAAACGGCTTAAAGAATGATACACTCTTCACACAAAATCTTCATTCAAAAAAAAACTTGACTTGCAAGTCTTGACTTGCAAAACTTGACTTGCAAAAAAAACTTGACTTGCAAAAATAGATCAAAGTACAAAAGTACTATTAGAGGAGCGTTTTTGGCTTATTTTTTGTTTTTAAAACATTTTTTCCGCGGAATCATCTGTCAAAAGAAAAATCACTGTAACATAGTCAAGTTTTGTTCAAGTTGATCCAATAAATCAAGAGTTTTTGAACTTATTAGCATTATTGGAGAAAATAATTTCAAAAATGAGAAAAAAAGCTCCGCCTTTTTGAAAATTAGTAAAAAAAGCGTTTTTGGCTCATTCGCTTCGTTTTTTTACCGTTTTCATTAATTATTTTGTATTTTTTCAAATGATGCATTTGTGTAGAAATGAATCAAAGAATACATGTATTCTTCAAAGAATACATGTATTCAATGTATTCAATACATGTATTCTTTGATTTATTTCTACACAAATGCATCATTGAAAAAATACAAAATAATTAATGAAAACGGTAAAAAAACGAAGCGAATGAGCCACAAACGCTTCCCCTCATGCTCATTTCCTTTTTTTACTAATTTTCAAAAAGGCGGAGCTTTTTTTTCTCATTTTTGAATTTTCTCCAATAATGCTAATAAGTTCAAAAACTGTTGATTTATTGGATCAACTTGAACAAAACTTGACTATGTTACAGTGATTTTTCTTTTGACAGATGATTCCGCGGAAAAAATGTTTTAAAAACAAAAAAATAAGCCAAAAACGCTCCTCTAATAGTACTTTTGTACTTTGATCTATTTTTAGACAGATTTTTCTCTAAGAAAATGCAAAAAATTCGAAGAAAAACGATCAAAAACTAGGCAAAATGAGCCAGGAAACGCTCTCCCCTGCTAGCCAAGTGGGCGGAGCCAAGGTACATACAAAACATAATGGACGGCGGAACCCGGGAAGTGTCGGCCGCTCGCCTACCCTCACCCTTATAATTCGCCTCGCTTTCTCTTTATAAATTGGCGGTGCGTTCGTCTCTTCTTCCGGTTTAGATAGATCTCAGTCTCTCGTGTAAGCACTTAGTAGAACTCACTCCGCAAGAAACCCACCCATTCATTTGAAAGTGTCTCTTTCTTGAAGAATTCTTAACGGAATGGGAGCTCCCGTGTGGATTGAATCGCATAACCGTTGATTGGTTGATTCAAGACGAAAGCTCGTGAATGATGCCACGGTCCCAGAGCTCCCTCGAAACATCGAGGTTCACCCCCGCCCTCGCCGAATGGAAGTAACCTCGTCATCTGACTGATGGACTCTTCCGTTGGCTTGAATACGTCGGGACTACTGGTCACTATGATAGGACGCAGGCCTCACCTAGGGAAACAACAAAACGTAGGAAAACACAGTAGGATTAAAGTAATAAGAAAAAATAAAGAGCAAGCACCGCCGATAGGAACTCCGCTTGTTAGGAGATTCCATTTTTTCGGAAACTTTTTGTTTAGGTACTGTAGCAAAGGTGGCGTAGACCAGGGATGAACAGATGAGAAACTTCAAAAACCTGAAAAAGCTTATTTATTATTCTTGTCCGGTTTTTTTGGCGGAAATTCTGCTGATTTTTCATGTTTTCATCGAAAAAAAAAACAAAAAAAGCGAAAATTCGAGGGAAATGGGCAAAACTGAAATAATTCTGAATTACTATCAAAGGTGCATGAAGTGTTTATGAAAACATATTCTAAACTTTAAAATTCCTCTTGAATTTTCAGTTTTTTAAGTAAAATCCCAATTTTTATTTCAGACCGATCTCGACGATATCAACCTTCCTGGCGGTTTCGGTGCTGTCGAGGTGATACGCGGAAGTGGAATGGGAATTGGAAAGAAGTAATATTAATTTTGTGTCATTATAATAATGTATACTATTTGAATTGTGCAATAAAACCTTCCTTTTCTTTGAATTTTGCACCTACTTTTTTGAAAAAAAGGTATTTTTTCTCTACTGTAAGAAGTTTCCTTAAAGGCGCATAACATAAATTTGTTTTAGGAGTCTTGCCGCGATGTTTGTATTGTTTTGTTTTCAGAGTGTTTTAGCAGTTTTCTTGTTTAAAAAAAATATTTTCATCATAAAAATAAAATTTTCCATATAAATTTTTGATTTGAGCCTCTTTTATTATGCTTGTCTGTGAAAAAAAGGTTGAGACGCAGAGAAAAAGTGTCTGCGTCTTCACCGTTTGTGTGCTATTTAGGCTCTCCGCTTCGATATCGCTACCGTATTCAGACTGCAAAAAATACTCTCTAACCTTTTTTTCTCAGACAAGCATAATAGCCGATAAAAACGGGGGTTTTCGGAGTATTTGTTGTTTTTTTTCGCTACAGTAAGGTTTTAAAGGCGCATTACTTATTTAGCTACTTCCGCTGCGACATTCGAACTTTCTCTGAATTCAAATCAAATTTCCAGCAAATTCCATCACGATAATGTCGAAATTTCAATTGAAAGTTGCCAAATACTACCGACTCTCCGAGAAATCCGCATCGGAGGTGCGAAAAAATCAATAAAAACTCTGAAATTCTCTCTTTTTCAGACCGAAAATGTCTCGATCTTCGTCGACACTTCAACTCGTCGATTGTCAGTTTTCACTCGGCAAATCGAACGAGAACGCGTGACAATGACCACCGACTCGAAACAGAGTCCAAGCATGATGTAGGTGAAATTTTTAAAATTGAGTTTTCAAAAAAGAAATTTTAGGTTCCGCGACAATTACCTCTACATTCTGTACAGCAACGGTTCGAACGAGGGATTTCGTGTGACTTTTCGAAAAGAGGAAAGAGACGAATTTCTGAAAATTGCTCATTCAATCGGCATTTTTCAAGAAATTCCGATCGATCGGCCACCAGAGGGATCTTCGCAGTTCTCTCAAGAATCGACTCGTGGCAGTGGCGGGATCGAGAGTCAAGGGGTGCGGAAAGACAAGTTTTGCTATAAAATAGCGAAATTTTTCGAATTTCTGGATTTTTATCTGAAAAACCCCTATTTTCAGCCATCGCACCGCCCGCCAAGCTTCACACAACAACCCACTCCATCACCTCACATGGTCCCCAACATCCGTCGAGACACCACCCACGTACTTCGCCGAAGTTCAAATTTCGCGCCATTCCAAAGTCATGGCACCTCGTTTTCGCAGCCAATCCATTTTTCGTACAACCCGGATCCACATTCGAGGAATTCGTTCCAGAGAAACGAGCACGAATTCGGAGAATCCGTGGCGAGAAAGTCTGGAAGAATCGGAAAAAAAGACGAGGTGCGCGGACATCCGGACACACAGACAGACAAAAAAATGGAAATTTTTATGATAGCCGTAAAAGCGCTCTGAAATTTCTGTTTTTCAGACATTCGGGCACAAAGACATTAGATATTGGAAATTTAATGATTTTGAATTTTTTTTTTACATTTTTCAATAATTTTCGTACTCTTTTTTTCTGCAATCATAAGGTTTTCCATTCAAAAAGTCGAAAATTGACCAAATTCTTTGAAAAATGAAAAAAACCGGGCAGAGGCTCCGCCCATCATCGGAAGGCCCCACAACGACAACTACCGTAACCTCAAAAAAAATAGTTTTTAAAAAACTTTTTTTCTCGATCTTCTACTTTTCAGTCGATTTTTTTCGAAAAAATAACAGAAAAATCGAGAAAATAAAACTATTTTAGGTTACTGTAGTTTTCGTTGTGGGACCTTCGACCTGATTTTTTGTACCAGGGCTCTGAAATTCGCGTTTTTTCTTAAATTTCGTGGACATCCGGACACCCAGACAAACATATAAAAAGCTTAAAAAACCGAAAAAAAATCCAGAAGCGTAAGGTGGACAAAGCGATACAAACGGATGATCTGATCGATTCGCTAATGGAGGATGAGGAATTCACAGCGAAAGCCATCGAAACGTTCATGAATAATGAGCAATTCGTTGAGGTCGTCAAAAAGATGAGAACTCGTTTGGAGAACATGGATACGGTCGAGCGGCAACGATTGCACTGGGTACAATTTGAATTTTCCACGATTTAAGCCTCTTAGGCACAAGTGGAAAAAGGGCCTGAAAAGCCCTTAAAATCCTAATATTTTTTTTCGTCTAAATCTTTTTTTTCAGAAAACGAATCCAGACTACAATAACCAAGGAATGCCGCCTCCAGTGATCCGTTTGCCAACCTCTGAAATGGAATAATTTCTTTTAATTTTTCGAAATTCTCTTTATTATATCATGTCCCATTTATTGCTCATGTATCATTTTTTAGAAAAGCTTCATTTTTCTTTTAAAGAAATAAGGCACATTGAGTGGGTTATCAGTAGAGCGCATCTTACATAAAACAATAAATAGGAGAACGTCTTTTACTATTCGTCATCATCTTTCTTTGGCTCCGAAGTGGTCACATCGGCGGTCGCTGCTTCGTAGACTTTCTTCAATTCGGGAACGATCTCTTCTTTTGTGAATTCCGAAGCGGCCTCGTACTTCTCGGCCACCCATTCTCGAATATTCTTATGCGTTTCAGGGTCCTGAAGTTTCTCCTTGTACTCGTTGAATTTGTCGCGAATCGCTGGTGAGGCGGTCTCTTTGAACCAACCGGCAGCGTTGTTCAATCCACCGCTGACCTGAAAGAATTGGAGGGAATTTGAATTTTTCTAATTTTCAAAAAATTCCAAATTTTGCAATTAGAATTTGCGGAATTTCGGGTTTTTGTGGGTTTGAACTTATATTTTTAGCTAATTATCGCAAAAATGCTTTCAAATTTGAGTTTTTTATCTAGATTTTGAACTTGCTATTGCAAAAAAAAAAGATTCAAATAGAAGAAAATTTCGATTTTTTAAAATTCGATTTTTTCGAAAATTTGTACCGAAAAAACCGAAAAACGACGAAAATTTCGCTGAAAACCGTGGTTTACTGTAATTTTTCGAAAAAAACGACATTTAGCCAAAGGAAAACGCGCTCTGCTGCGAATATTTGCGAACATTCCAAATTTTCACAAATAATCCATAGAGCGCGCTTTCACCTTTTCATCGCATAAAATTTTTTTCTTCGAAAATTTGTAACGAAAAACCGATTTTCAGCTGAAAAGTTTGCTGAAAATTGAACTTTTCATGTAAGAAACTATATCCGCCCATGGAAAACGCGCTCTGAAGCGAATTATTGAGGAAAAATCACATTTTCATCGATTTGAATTCTCAGCGGATCGATGTACGATTTGCTCGTCGTGTAAAAATTTGCTAGTTTTTCCATTTTCAGACGAAAAATTACACTATTTTTGATTCGAAACTAAATTTCCACCTAGAAATCCACGTTGTAACTTAGAAATCTAGAAGAAATATGGCTTTCTAGGTTACCTGGAAAACCCGAAACTACTGTTTTTTCATGGCCTAGAAACCCAAAAGTTTGATTTTCTATTTTGTACGAAAAAAAACTTACTGTATCAGTGAATCCATCCCACCAATCGGCTCTGACGGAGCTGGCAAGAAGAATCGAGAGAAGAATCGTCAAGGTGACTGGTCGCATATTTTATTTGGGAAAATCTGAAAATGTGGCGAAATTTTGAGGAAACTCATCATTTTTATATGGAAGAAAATGGGCGATGAGTCATATCGGAAACCGTTTTTTTTTTGAAACAATAAAACTTGTGTGCGGGGGTGGAAATAGAGTTTTTATGGGATCTGACCGTTTTTGGAGGCTTGGAAAAATGAATACAGTAACCTCACATGGCGAAAATCGATAAAATTTTGCTGAAAACTAAGTTTTTCTGTACAACGTTGGCTTGCAGTTCGAATTTGGGACTTGGAAACTAAAATGAGACGAAGTCTTATCATGGAAAAATTCAAAATTTTATACAAAGCGAAAAAAAGCAAATACGGAAACAAGAAATAGTAGTTTGATATGCAAATATGGAGAAGTGTTTCCTGTATTTGGTCCTATGTTCGCCTCAATGCTGTCGGCAAACATTCAAGGACTATCAAATATCATCAGGTACAGTATTCCCCGGAAAAAAGTGTTCAAGATTTTTGACAATTTGGAAAATGGACAAGTTTAAAGTTCTAGGAAAATGATACATACTTTTTTGAGCTGTCTGACACTTTCAGAGTATAGCAAACAAAAATAGAGCTTCTTTTTTGTAGTTGACAACTCTTTTGTAGATGTCGTAGTTTTTGAGATATGCTCCTTTAAAGATGGAAGCCGCTACAAGGCAAGTAAGATAGAAGAGTGGAGGATACGTTTTTTTAAAGGCGCACATCTCGAAAATCGAGAAAGTTGCACAAGAGTTGTCAACTACAAAAATGAAGCTCCATTTTCGTTTGGTATACTCTGTAATTTCCAGACAAATCGGAAAATGTTGAATCTCATTTTCAGAGACTTCAATTGTGGCGTTTTTTTTTAATCTTAAAATTTGAAACTTTGAAATTAAAAAAGAAACTGAAGTTTGAAATTCAGGAAATTTAGAAGTTCCAGAAATTCTAAAAATCCGAAATTCATAAACTGCGAAAACCATAAATTCAGAAAATTCAGAAAGTTCGGGAATTCTAAAATTTTTTATATCAGAAATGCCAAAAAATCATACATTCCAGAATATGTAGAAACAGAGAAAATTCAAAAATTCAGAAATTTCCAAGTATTCCAAAATTTTGAGGAATTTTCGAAATTCAGCAATTTCAAAGTTCTAAATTCCAGAAAGTTAATTCTAGAAAATTCTAAAATTCAAGAACATCATGAAAATCTAGAAATCTTCAAGGACATGGACTTAAAAATAACATTCAACAGCAAAATCCCCAAGAACGATCAGTAACTGGCTGAGCCCCTTATATCAGGATCACTTGACAATCTACCCATATAGGTATTAGTTGTGTTCCTAGACTATAAGACTGTGATTGTTCAAGGTTAAAAATTTCAAAATTTAAGATTTTGAATGCTTTTAATGTTGAATTTCAGAATTAGAGAATTTCAAGTTTTCAAGAATCAAAGCGTCTTTTAGACCCATTCATCTGCTGCCTACAAAAAAACTAGGCAGAGTTTCTCCAAGCTAAAAATAGCAAAAAAATCTGTAGTCTTTTTAAATAACTAAATGTATGTAATTCCCTAAAACACACAACTGATCCGCGGACGTCCAACTGGTATCCCACTAAACGCTCTGAAATGAGCAAAAAGTATCAGAAACTAAACGGAGCAAGGGAAAAGAGGCTGAGCAAGGAACCAGGTGACTTTTCTTGGTGTAATGTATAACAATAGTGTAATAGAAGAAAAATCAGTAAGGATGAGCAATGGATACAAAACACAAAGATTTCTAGAGATGTTTTATAGGTGCTGTGGGAAGAAGAGGAATGGGAAATGAGTCATACGATTTGTGAAGGAAGACCTGAGTGATTTGGGAAACGGAACATTTTGACGAAGTTGGAGAAAAGTTTATGAAGGCAATTTCGTTTGGAGAAGAGTTTACTTGAAATTGTGAAGGAAATTAAATGAATGGATTTTTTGAAAATTTGGAAACCGTTGAATTTTTTTTGGAACTCACGAATATCAGAATTTCTAAACTTCCGGAAATTTTAAAATATCAAGGTTTGAAAACTTTGAAATTTTAAAAAAATTTACAGTTTTTGAAATTTCAGAATATTCGAGTACAAATTTATGAAACAAATGGTGCAAGAAATCAGTTAATCCAGAAAAAAGGATATTTTCCAAATTTTCAGATTTTGGGAACACATTTTTGGATTTATCGATTCACTGATAACTCTTAAGTTATCAGAATGTTATCAGTTTTTCAAAAAATCTGGGACGATTTCGTCAAGAATTTTTGAAAATGGGAATCAAAGAGGCAAAAAGAAATCAAAAATTTTGTTTTGAGAACGAGTCAGAAAATTGTTCCCTTCTCAAAACAAACCTTTTGATTCATAGTCACAAAAAAAGAACAAAAGACGACTTTGACCAAGTTTATCTCGGTTACTGTGAAAGATAACAAACCGATAAAATGTTGGTGATATTATGATAAATACTTTATCAGTTGACCACTTTTTTAAAACTTTTACATTAATCCAGATAAAATGGGCCAAAGTTGACAGATCTAGCTAAGCTTAGCGGTCGGTTGCCGACCGCTTAACTTTGAAAAGATTCAACTCGGTTACTGTAGGAGATATCAAAAAATGGTAAATTAATAAAATGTTTATCATTATATTCTCAATATTTTTTATCAGTTCACAACATTTTGATATCTTTTACAGAAATCGAAATAAACTGGGTCACTGTGGAAAGCATCTACGGCATTTAAACAGCCGCAAAAAATCAAACAAAAAAATTGGCAACAAGCCAAGCCTACCTTTTCAAAAAGATGAGAAAAAGCGTCAAAACCACAAAAGCATAATCCTAGGACTAGTTTTTCGGGTTCCCGAAGCGATGATACATACATTTTACAACCGCAAAGCAGACTTGATCCCTTGAACATACATAAAAACAGACATATATAGAAATTGAAATCCAAAATATCTCGGTTCCTATGAAAGATATCAACAAGTTGCCAACTGACAAAATGTTTATCAAAATATCAAAAACATTTTACCAGTTGACAACTTTTTTATATCTCGTAAAGGAACCGAGATAATTGAGCTCAAAATAAGAGAAACATATGTGAACTAAAAATACATTGGAACAGTATATAAAACGAAAATTATTGGGACCACACTAACAGACACTAGACAACATTGGCCTTGCACACAACAATAGATCAGATTGATCGCTGCCTTAGCCGCTATCTCGCCGGGGAAGAATACGTACAATGATGAGTAAGAGAGATAGAGAGGGTAAGAAATAATGATGGAGTGTGTAATAATGTTGACATCTGAAGTGTAAAGAAGTGGAGAACCCAAAGGTCCTTGAGTAGGGTGAAGTTTAGTAGCAGATGATGATGGGTTGAGTCATTGGTTAGTCATCAATTAAAGGGGGGGGGGGGGCAAGAGTACGCATTATGACGTGACAGTGTACAATGTTCGGTGTTTACACCTTTCACTTTTTGAACAGCTTACTGAAATTTGGCAAAAATGCTAAAGAAAATATGTTTATCACACTCTCCAACTTTCAGATTCCTAGCGTAGCGCCCATGCTGAGGCGCTGTGTTGGTCTCTGAGCTCAATTACCTTGCCTATAAAAGGTATCAAAAAATCTTGAACTACAAAAATATTGCGTATTTTATGACAAAGATTTCATCCGTTGACAATATTCTGATTGCTTTTATAGGAACCGAGATAATTGAGCTCAAAGTGTAGCATTCTATTAGTGAACTTATGACAATTGGGATGACCTAGAAAACCAAATGTTATGAGAACTAGCCGATACTGTTTTGGGACCTGAAATTTCACAGCTTTCAAAGTTGAAAACAGTCCGTACTGATGAATTTCGAAATTTTTAAACTACTTTGAAATATCTATGCTTTGGTCAGTTTGTTGTGCTGACTCAATGAAAACATTTTTTTTACCAAAACAATATTTTTTGGAAAAAGAGTCATCAGTTGTAGTTAGCATTTGGCATACAGGAATAATGGGATTTCACTGGTAAAAATCAACGACCGGCAGTTGAAAATGATGCTCCAAGTTTTTGTTGTAGTCGTAGGAAAAAGGAACAACAATTTGAAGGATTTTGGGAACGAAAAATCGAAAATAGGATTTATTCAAAAGTTTCCAAACATTCGGAAACTCATTTTTTCGAAAAGTTCAAACAGTCAAAAACGTCTGAAAACTAAAATCTGGAAAACATTAAAAATATAAATATAGCAATTTTAAACCTGAACAATTTTTAGAACCGGAAATTTAAAACTTCAGAAATCTGGAATTCCAAGCTTATAATGTTCTGAAATTTTGAGAATCTGAAAAGCTGAAAATAAAAAGTTATATTCTAAATTTTCAAAGTTTCGGACATAATTGGGTCCGTCAACTTTGAGCCCATATGTCTTATTTCCTGTAAAAAATATCGAAAATTAAACAACTGATAAAATATTTTTGATATTATGATAATCTTTTTATCATTTGACCACTTTTTAATATCTTTTACAGGAAACGAGATAAATTGTCTCAAAGTTGAAAAGACGCTTCTCTCCAAAAGTATTGCCAACATTTCAAAAATTCATATAAAACTTTCAAATTTTGGAATATCTCGGAATTTTTAAATTTCTTGGATTTTCTTTTAATTTTTCTGAGCATTAGCATCTCATAATTTTACCAGCCAACCTTTGTAAACTTCAATAAATTCTCCTATCCTTTTGTTCCTCAATTCATTGCTGACCTTACCAAACAACTCTCCGTCTCTTTCTCTCCCATACTCTCTGCTCTGTAGCAACTCCAAGATAACACCACCCGTTTTCCTCGTCTTCTTTTGCCTCCTCAAAAAAAGCAACAAAGGGCGTCATTTCATTTTGTGTGCAAACACCACGACGAAAAAATTCAGACAATTCAAACTTCGCCTGTCCCATGAGGATATTTTAGGCTCTTCTAGAAACCCACTCTACATTCTTCTCTACATTAGGTCATGACAGACCCTCTCTACATTCAGATCATGCCTGATCCTAAAATGGAGGTTTTAGACGGCGTCGGACATTTGGTAGATCAGGAAATGGAGGAAGTAGAAGACGTTGAACTATTTCCCCTAGAAGTACTGCCTGTCGGTATTGTTGCGAGCGTATTGGAAATGATGGAACCTCACGAAATGTAAGTGTTTCTTCACTTTGTTCTTAATTATCTCGGGATATGAAAAATATATCAATAAGGTGATAACTAAAAGAATGTTGAAAAGTTTATGACCAACATTTCATCAGTTAACCACTTTTTTACACCTTTCATATCAACTGAGAAATTCGTTGGTAAAGTAATATACCCTCCGACAAATGCGAGCGAACCATGTCATTTCAATCGGCCCATCTGATTTCAAACTGAAAGTTACACCAAAAACTGCAATAATAATTTAAATTTATGCCGGATAGTAGAACTTATTTGAATTCGCATTCAAATTATCAATATTTTTATTTATTTTGGAAATATTTATTTTAGAGGAATCGAGATAAATTGGCTCAATTTTGAATTTTCGGCGGTTGCCTGCCAAGCTGCCTGATCGGCTGCCGATCCTATAACTTAGAGGCAAATTATCTCGTTTTCTGTAAAAGATATCAGAAAATTTCAAACTGATAAAACAAATGCTTGAACCTCAAGATCCTCGATTTAATGCTAAATATGGTTTCTTTTTTCAGGTTAAATCTAGCCTTGACAACGCCCAAGATGGAAGCGTTCTTCAAATTCGTTAAGGCTGGAATCACCAATTTCGTCATTCATTTCTCGGGCGAATCTTCTGCTATTCAAGTGCAAGCTGATGGTGGAACGATTATTTGTGGAACTGATCCGCTGAACGCCAAGGTTATGGTCCCTAGGGAAATCATTCAATCGTGGATCAATCAGGAAACACTGTTGGGTGATTTGCAATCGGTCTACCGTAATCTTGGTCAAATGTTCACACCTCATAACCACGACACCGTTGTGTTGCGGACCACAGGACTTGACAATTTGTTAGTCGAGGAGTCGGGTTTTGTGAGGGACCGATTGAGAAATTGTGAAACTATTATCGTTGCCGGAGGGGAAATCAGCAAAGATGCATTGGAACTGATTCTTCATTTTTCTGTCGCAGAGCCAACGGATAACCGTGAGCTGGAGCTGAGAGGTGTACAAGTTCCACAGGATTTTGAAACGAGAAATGTGAGTTTTTAAATGTCAAACCTTATATTTCTTTTTGTAGAACTTTTCTTAAACTGCAGTTTGCAGTTTGAATTTCTCCAAAACATTAAGTTTTAAGAAAACACGAAATATTTTCGAAGCTATGCTTCTCTAAACATCGACGCAGGAGATGGCGTCCTAAGGCGACCTCTACTGAAGAATACTTAAAACTATTTAAATTTTATACCATTCTGTAGAACTTATCAAGATTACAATTTACATATTTCAAATTATCAAAAAATTGAGTTTGAAAAGAGTTATGAAAGATTTTCGGACTGTGCTCATTCGGTTTGACGAGTCTGTCGGTAACATCGGAAATTCAAATTCAATCAAATCTATTATCAATTTGTAGAACTTTTACAGATCTACACTTTGAAACAAATTCCAACTTCAGATTTTCAATTCCAATTAAATTAAAACCAATTTATTCCAGGCCTTCCAATTCCGCAGAAGCGTCTTTGGCGACGCCCGATGGATCAAATTAAACGACTTGTTCAAAATTCGGGACTTGTCTCATGTCACTTTGAAAAAAACAAGTTTAACGAACTCGGATATGAATCAGTTCATTAAACATTGGATCGATGCTGATGAGGATATGTTTGGAGAGTTTTATTCAACGGGATGCGAGGATTTTTTATGGGACAACATTTTGGATGGAATTGTGACACTGGAAGTGAAGAGGTTGTGTATCGGATGCTATTTCATGTGAGTTGACGATTGAAAATTAATACGATTTTTAAAATCAGCATTGTCAAAAGTGCCGAAAATTCAGAAATTGTGACTTTTGGACGTTGGAGAGCTAACCAGACAAAAATGTAACATATTTTTGACCTTGTTCAAGTTTGAAATCCTTAGAAAAATTGTTTGTGAGGAAACAATGTCCAACATGACGAAATTTCTGAATTTCTGAATTTCTGAATTTCTGAATTTCTGAATTTCTGAATTTCTGAATTTCTGAATTTCTGAATTTCTGAATTTCTGAATTTCTGAATTTCTGAATTTCTGAATTTCTGAATTTCTGAATTTCTGAATTTCTGAATTTCTGAATTTCTGAATTTCTGAATTTCTGAATTTCTGAATTTCTGAATGCCCTATTTTCCAGCGCCTCCCGACCATCAAGCAACAAAACCTACCCATATCTCGCTGTCACCATTTCACGTAAAAAATTGAAAATGTTGCCTGTAACATTTGAAAAACATGGAGCGGCTGAAAGTGACGAATTCGAATTGACCAAAAGAGAGTGTGACGTTTTGGAGAAACTTCAGAAGAAAGAATTCGTCGAAGAAATGTTGGCAAGCAATACGATGCAGGATTTGAGGCCAAGAATGATGCGAGAACTCGAATTGATTGGAAATTTTTTGAGAAAATACAAAGTGATTTTTGTGAAAGGACGAGCCAGAATGTATTATAGACAATGATTCTTGATCTTTTCAATTTTTTCTCAAGAAATAAACTTTTTTCTACAAAAAATTCTGACAGTATTCTGAAATGTTGTAATTCTGAGATTCTGAGATTCTGAGATCCTGGTCTTCTGAGTTTTTGAGATTCTGAACTTCTGAGATTCTGAAATTATAAGACTTTGAGAATCTTAGAATTACAAATCCTCGAAAAAAACGTTTATTTCTGAAAATCTGAAGAAATGAAACCTGGGTGGCCTAAAAAACCTTTTTGGCCACCCATATCGGTCTTTTCAGACCACCTATATTGTTGGGTCAAAACTTTCAAATTACTCCCAATTTTTACTCAAAACAAATTCTGAGATGTTTAGTTTCTGACAAGGGAAGTGTTTTCGGACGGAGGTTGAGAATTAGCTCAAATTTTTAGAACTTATAGTTTGACAAGGGAGTTACTTGAGGGAGCAGGTTTAACTTTTTTTGAAATTTTGGGAGCAGATAGAAGAGCTTATGAGGATTCCAAATCTGTTTTAAAAATCAGCGAATTGCTCACGTGAGCTGAGTTATGACCTAGAAAAGTTTCCCTATGATTAGGCAATTTCTCGTAAAAATTTTTTCACGGAATAGTGTATTTCTTTTAAAACACTAGATTTCAATCAGCAGTGTGGTAAAGTGGTAAAATGGCAAGTTCAGAGGAGGAAGTTTGTAGGTTCAATTCTCCCGATCCCAAAAATTTTGCAAAATTTTTTTTGTTTTTATTTAAGCTGCCATAACTGGCTCTGGAATAAAATTAACGCAATTTAAACATGTTTTTTGGGAGTTTCTCGTTATGAATAGGCATTTTCCAGAATAAAAACAGACATTTAATTTTTGAAGAAATTCACAAATATGCTCATGGGTTTCATCGAAGATTTTTCAAAAAATTTTTTTTCAATTTTTTTTTGTTTTTTTTAATTAAAAAACCGTTGAGGATACAAAGTTTGTTTATATTATCCGTAATTCTTCGCAATTTTAGTTTTTTTTCCAATTTTGACTAGGAGATTTTAAAAATTCTGAATTTTTGGATTTTTCGATGTTTCGAAAATAGTGATTTTCTGAAATTTCGGGTCCTCACAATCAGGAATAAAATTTTTTGGAAATTTTGAATTCGCAGATTTTTTTCCAGTCTGTAATAAAACTTTCCATATTTTTCTCGCTCCCCCATTCCATTTTTCAAAGTTCTAAAACTGATAAGATAAGAGGAACATGAGATCGGTGTCTTGACTTTTTTCTCTTTCTCCAACCAATTACTTTTTTTTCTGATTGACAGACACAAAACCCCTTTTTGTACGTTTTGTCTGTTTGAACTTTTTTCTTCGTTTTTCCGTTTTTCGCGTACTTAAAACTCATAAAAATGTCAATTAGAGTTTGTGGATTACGGTATTTTAATGAGGTTTTCGGAGAATGACAGGTTTTAGAAAATTTGATTTTTGAAACGAGAAACTTTAAGAGAAATTGACAGTTTCAACTTTTTGAAAGATTTTTGAGAATTTAAACTTTGAATTGGATTACTGTAGTTTAGGATACTGTACTTAACTTCTTTAGTACACACTGTGGTAGGGTTGTTGAGTGAAATTACAGTAGTTCTCAGTATTAATTGTTACTGTAACGGGAGGTGATCGTAGTTTTTCTGGGTTACTGTAGCTTGGTAATATACAGATTATTGTAGTCGAATGAATGGATTTTGGCTATTGGACTACTAAAGGGGCGTTTTAAATTGGGATTCCTGTAGTTTCGAATATCGGTGGTTACTGTAGCGACATGAAATTGCCTTCAGAATATCTGAAAATTATTCAGATATTTAAAAATTATTCAGAAATTCAAACAATCAGATTCAGAAGTTCCAGGTTTCAGAAGTTCCGGGGGGGGGGAGGAATTCAGAAACTCGTCGGCAAAAAAGAAACTCCTCGGAAAATCATAAATTCGGAAAGTCAGAAATTCTCAAATTCTGAAAATCAGAAATTCAGAAATTCAGAAAGTCAGGAATTCAGGAATTCAGGAATTCAGAAATTCAGAAGTTCAGAAATTCAGAAATTCAGAAATTTAGAAATTCAGAAAATTAGAAATCCAGAAATTTAAATATTTAGAAATTCAGAAATTCAGAAATTCAGAAATTCAGAAATTCAGAAATTCAGAAATTCAGAAATTCAGAAATTCAGAAATTCAGAAATTCAGAAATTCAGAAATTCAGAAATTCAGAAATTCAGAAATTCAGAAATTCAGAAATTCAGAAATTCAGAAATTCAGAAATTCAGAAATTCAGAAATTCAGAAATTCAGAAATTCAGAAATTCAGAAATTCAAAAACTCCGAAATTCAGAAATTCAGAAATTTAGAAATCCAGAAATTTAAAAATTCAGAAATTCGGAAATTCGGGAAAAAAATCTAGGAATTCCGACAATTCAGAAATTTGAAATCCCAAAAATTCAGATTTTTCCAGAAAATTCAGAAAT